GCCAGTTTCCGCAACCGCCAAGACACATGACACACATGGCTTCTTTAAATAGACTTTTTAGAACTTGGTGTATTCCTGGTGAATACAATGATTTGACAGGGATTTGATGCAAATGTTTGATAGATTAATTAGGTTGAATATGTTTTTAGTCCAAGTATATCATCAAATCACCCAGTTTGTACATGGGAGAGCATTTTTAAGACTAACAAGATAATTTTGACACTAAAGATTTGAGCCTTCTACTTTATGGTTATCCCAATCTGATTAAAACACAGATCCTATTTCATTTCGTTTTTTTATAGTGACTTCTTGACGTGCCATGCACAGAACTGTGGGTAAATCACTAGAAACGCTAACGCTGATTGATTAATCAATGTCTGACGACATAGGGTCAAAAGCCACTCGTACGACCCCTGACACGACCTTTGAGTACAACTTGTCAGATCTTCATTTAGTGGCCATCGAAAGTATAAAAAAAAAAAAAAACGAAATATAGATCTGTATTTTAATCAGATTATTGTCATCCCTTATATAGTTTTTGATTGGTTTATACCATCACAAGAGTTGATTTTGACATTATACAATGTACAATATGTACATGTATGTCAAATGAATTTTGAGACCAAGTCATTTCCTGATGTCTCAAATAGTTCCGATATGGTTAAGATGAAGCCATTACATTTGCTTAATTGCAAACATTATGCAGTTATGTTATACAGATTGTGTAATAAGGTATGTTTAAGGTATGTTTCCAACTGAAATCCGACCCTTAGACATTTACTTGTGGTGTATTCAGGGGGGATGCCTCTTTTGTCTATTCTGTGCCGTATATCCCCAATCCTAAGACACTTTCAAATTTTGCTGCATACCTCCACCCACCCACCCGCTTTTGGAAGGTCCTGGATACACCACTTGATGTGTCATTCCCTCTACACCTATGTCTATTTCTGAAAACCTTAGGACAAACTCATTCAATGAAGAATCAATAAATACAGAAATATAAAATATTAAATTATAAATTCTTTAATAGGTTGGAAATTATTATTATTATTCTAATCTAGAAATAATATTGATTTTATAGGATGCTAATATATCATTAAACATCATTAAACTACCGAGTCATACATACAATATATTTCCGTTATTGTACAATGTAAATTAATTGATTGTTGCAGTATTGTTATATTAAATAAATAAATGAAGTGAAACACTTGATTTGGTTTTGTTGTGGAAATTTACAATGGTATATTACTTTTCACATGTTAAGGCCATGTGTTTAGAGTAACTTGGACAATCTTTTTTTGTGACCCAAATTACCAACCCTAATTTTTTACTCTCATTTCCCAGATTCTACAAGTTGGTCTTGTCATGGATTTCTGCAGACAAATTCAAACACTGAAATTTTGTTATGTACAACACCTTGAATCAGTATGATTTTCCAAGCCCTTAATCAGTAATCAAGCTGGAATTGCCAGGAAATAATTAATAAACACTTTTGCAAGTATCATTGTATGGCATTAAAAGATTGATTTATTAGTTCAGTTAGTTCTATCAAATTTTACCCCACAAATTCCATTGAAATTTTATTTAAATAATTTGTATGCGCGTAGGGGTCTTTAGCAGTGGGGGGAAACCAGAGGACCCGGAGAAAACCCACAAGGTTGGACAGGCGACCCCACTCCTTGTCACGTACAACTGGGGATTCGAAACCATACCAGTTGACTCAATGACAGGCCTGATGATACAGCGCGCACATGCTAACCATTCGGCCATCCAACCCCCCTCCCATAAAAAAGTAAAACAAAATTTGACCCAGTTCTTTGTGGCTAAGGAACCGTAAACACAGTATTATTTTTTGTTTGGTCTTATCAAAATGGATCAACTTTAAATAACATGCTTCTGAACAATCTATTCAAGATTCAACAAAGTAACATTTGGTTGTGAAGTTTACCTGCCTTGCCTGTAATAGAGACTTAAAAAGTCGATGATTATGAGTTTAATTTTTCGGACATCTTATTGTACTCAAATTGACAATTTAAAGTTTAATTAAGACAGTAAAAGCATTTAACAACGGAACATAAACTTTTCAGTTTAAAAAATGATCCATCAGAGGATTTTAGCAAAGATTATAGGTGGCAATGGCTTGTTTTGATCATATCCAGGTTTATATCATAAATGAAATCAAATGGGGTTTAACGTCCTACTGTTCTGCTCCAAACTGGGCTAATGAAGATGGTATATCACATGCAGAGGATACCAAATGTTGACAGATTTTCAAATATTGAACAGATTTGAATCATTCTTGAACTGATATTCCTTAAAGAGATTCAACTTTCACAATATTGTAGTTTGCAAGTGATTGATAATCCCTCAAATGACGATAAGAGACTTTAACAAACTGTTTACTCTTTAGAGACTTAATTAGTGACATACTTGGTTGTGAAGTTTTTCTGCTTATTCTGTAACTAATATTTTATACCAAGAATAGCCAACATTACACATTGGATGATTAGAAGTGGCGTATGGCATTCCTTTTACAATAATAAAGTTAGACAGTAAGCCTACTTATTATTTTTTGCTATGTTATTATTTTTAGCACATCTTTTTTAGCGAATGTTTTCTTCTCTCACATTAATAATTTTATTTCAGTTTAGAAAAATGTTCTTAATAAATCAAACAAGGAAAGACAAACTTGTGTTCTGTAATGGTCATTACATTAGGTCTATTATAAACATACGTTTTATTTACAAGAAGTAGACCAGGGTATGGTGCATCTGAATTCGTGTGTGAACAAATTGATGCATGGTATGTAAAAGATTGACCACCCCTGTTTTACACTATAAACTCAAGCCTTAGAAGATTTAACAGTGTGTATATTCTAGAGGGGAATCAGTCTGACTTTTTTACAAAGTATCACTGGTATGCTGAAATCATCTGGGTTGTTTGTGGATTTGATATAATGATAATTTTGTCCTAGAGTAAACTATTAATGTAAATTGTTGTTATTATTCCAACACAAGACCAGGAGACCAGAGATAAAAGTCTGACGAATCTGGGGGTATGAACTGGACTGAATCAAAAAGTTATAGAAAGGATTCGATATTTTCATTTTCTTCGCAAACTCTTGCCTTAGAATAGTCACATAGTACCTATTCCTTGAGGATTTGACTGGCTGTACTATTAGCATAATATATTTATGTTTACATCTGTATGTAAGTAACTTGTATACATGTAGTTAGTTAAAATTGTTCACTAACGATAAGCATCATTATAATACATATTATCTTTGTTCATACATGTGATATACTGTATTTATGTTTTTACTGATTATGGTACTAATTTAGTTGCGATTGATTTTTTGTATATGTATGTATGTGTAAAAATCAATATAATTACTCTAAATATAGAATTGTGAAGGGCTATTAATATCTGTATTCTTCTTATCCTGTAGTTATTGGTTAAAGTCTCAAATGGCTGGATGGTTGGTTGCTGGTTCCTCATCTGAAAGTCATAGAATTTATGAAATGATAGATAGGGTTAACATCCTACTTTTCTACAATGACTGGGCTAATGAAGACGGGAAGAAATGATAGAGACAATAATTTGATTACCTGTAGGCTTTAGGTTTGATTGCATGTACATGTAGGTTGTCAGTTTTGTCCTATTAATTACATCACCCACAATCTATGAGCTTGAAGACATGTCTTGATACTGCACCATTGACTATTCTTTAAATTACATATGTTAAAGGCCAGATGTCTCATTTGCATTTTTGCTAAAATATCAAATTTCTCACAGCTTAATACACGTTAAATATGTACTCAGATTGACTATTTAACATTTAAGTTCAGAAAACAAAATCAAAATATCAATGCTAGATAACCTCCCGTCACAGATTCAATCGGATTTAAGTTAGGCCCATCAGGTTTCTCTGCCTCCAATAAAAGATAGCGGCACATTGTTCTTGTTACCCTCAGGCAGCATAGATCGATGAGATTTCAAGTTATCATAACTTTGTAAATAATGAACAGAATTGAACCATTTTTGGACTGATGATCCTAATCCGATTAGAGATTAAACTTTCACAATATTGTAGTTGGCAACGGATTGCTATTATAACTCTAAACGATGCATCAAATCTTTATAAGCAAATGGTATGTGGTATTGAAAGGAAATAAGTAAAGTATGAAGTATCTTTGTGACATTCTTTCATCTGTTGTGATTAAGAATGTTTTAACACATTACCAGCCATTCAGCTTGTCACTGAACTTAGATGTATTTGAATCCTTTTAATGGTTACTAATGTTATAGTATTAAGGTTTCTGTAAAGGTTTTAGATTTTAATTGTGTTTCAGATGTTGTCTTTCTTAAGTTTATGCTTGATTATTTACAGTATTATTACCCTTGCTTTTAAAAGCAGATGTGCTCTTTTTACTTAATTTACATTATTATTAACCTTGCAAGAGATTTTCTCTTACAGAATTTTTTATCTTTTATCTGTTTACGGTGTTATTGACATTGCTCTGAAAACCAAGTGTGCTCTTTTAGAAGTTTTAAAGGAAAGTTATGTTCTTCTCACCATTTTATATTAGTAACCAGATATTTCATTTCCTTTCTTCATCTTAAGATACTAATAATCTGAGGAAACCTAAATTTTTCTTCTCAATTTATTAGTGGAGTTGATAGTTTTAGAAAAGTAACACATTTAAATTTAAAACGAAGTAATAAATAAGCCTTTTGGTCCATAAAGACAATGTTAGAATTTATTCAAGTATGTTCAAGTAGATTTTAATTGAGAGTATTGTATTTGTTTAATACCCTAGAGAAAAGCCAGGAATGTTGTTAGTGTGTAAGAGGTGGTCCTAAAGGAGATTCATCAGCATGTTTAATGATTTACTTTACTAGTACATTGTACATGTAACGTCATAATGATGTCGCTATAATATTGATCCTAATACTCTGGATTCAATATACCAACAGCTGGCTATGACTTACACAATACTCAACCCTCCAATCATAATATTATTCCTTCTTTCTTCATCAAATATTAAAATTGATTTAATGAAATTTAGAGAACTTGCAAAGATATTGGATTTATAGAAAAACAGACGATTGAAACTGGATTAGTTGTTATATGTTATCAGTATCGTGGAATGTTTGGATTATTAGCAATGGTTTATTGGATTTTTCAGGTAAGGTATTGTTGTATACATATACTTTAGGTCTTTAAATCACAGGAATGCAAAATATATAGGCCAAGGTTAATGTCAGTAATAACACGTAGATTTGTGATGTGCTTGTAGAACTAGGCAGTGTATGCTTAGCATACACTTTCCAGCATACATGATAACTACGTATAATTGCTCATCCGAGGGGAACTCAACTGCTTATTCATATAGCAAGTTTACATAGAGTTTTTGATCCTATATTCTTTGAGTTTTAGAAATATATTTTGATTTTAATGTATTACTACTTTCGAATTTGAGAGAGAGAGAAATGGGGTTTAATGTCCACTTGACACAAACTAGGTTATTTCAGGACTAACATATGGTTCAATTTTATTTCCATAATTTCGCTTGCACATAGGGGTGTTTAGCAGTGGGAGGAAACTGGAGGACCCGAGGTAAACCCACAAGGCTGGACAGGCGACCCTATTCCTTGTCACGTACAACCGGGGAATCGAAACCACGCCAGTTGACTCAATGACAGACTTTATGATACAGCGTGCACATGCTAACCATTCAGCCATCCAACCCCCCTTTTCGAATTTGATGCCAGTATCGTTGAGTCTAGGTTTTAGGAAACTTCTAGTCTTGTTTCCCTCCGGATCAGTTGTGCAGGATGGATGGCCTGGCAAGGAAAATCGTCTAGTTTTTCAGTTGGAACAAACCACAGAACTTGGCAGTGTAAATTAAAGTAGAGCATACATCTGGGGAAAATTCCCCTCGGAGCACACTATTCTCGTCTTCATTAGCCCAGCTGGTGCAGAAAAGTAATATGTTAAAAAAAACAAAAACATTTCTACAGTTTTTCTTAATGGTGTATTAGTCCATTTGTTTTTGATACCAGAATTATAAGACAAATATATTGTAATCTGAAAACAAGATTTTTATGATTATATTGACTGTAAACCTTTTTATATAAACAGCTCATACATGTAGAAGTACAACATCTTTTCTGCTTTCTGGGTAATTTGTGAATGAGAGTAAAAGTCAGAAAATGGTAAATGGGTTTTGGTATTTGATTTTCCATTCATGAATTATTGAAGGATATTTTAACCCAAGGCAGCTACAGTAGAGAAAAAATACCATTAAATTGATTGCTGATTCTAATTTGATAGAGAAATGGACCTTGTAAAAGAGGACTGTGTTTATGAGAAATAAAGCCTCCCATTTGATGTGTTGCTTTTAGATATAAGAATAAATTTTGTAAAATCTGTACTAGCAGGATATTAAATATAAGAATAAATTTAAAATAGAATATTATAGCAGAATATTAGATAGAAGTAAAAATTTTAAAATAGAATGTTATAGCAGGATGTTATAAAATGATTGTAATAAATATTTTTTTATAGATCACTGAAATTCTTTTGTTCTCAGTAATCTTTCTCAGATATAAGATCGACATACATTGATTCAGATAAACCATAAACAGAAAGACGTTTTTATTGCCATACATTGATACGAAAAACAAAACAGCAGGTACACGATTTTATTTTCCATTTATTGTTTATTTGAATCAGTGTGCGCCTGGTTTAAATATACCACTATGTAGATATAATTTTCCATGTTCACATGGCGATTTTAGTTATTCAAGAACCAAACACAAAAAGGTGTGAGAGAAAAAATATATTATTATATCTGAAAGCCATCAATACCGATAGGAAAATAAGTAAGCCTTATGGTATTATCATAGGATTCAAATTATTCTTGGCATATTGAAAGTGGAATCTTTACTTCATTGCTGGATGAAACAAGGTACAACTGTACAAAATGTTTTAACTTTTATCTCATTATTACGTGTTGAAAATAGTCAATATTTTACACACTTTGGGGAAGTGGATATAGAGCCAGCCTCCAAAGTTAGATTTTGCTTATACTTTGTGTCATTTTGAATACAATTTATTTAATTGTACCTTCTACCAGTTCGAAAATGATGCAAAAATATTTGACTGCCTGTTTATCAGAGTATGTGCAGATGAGGTCACAATTAATGGGTAGTTTATATGTTTACAGAAATTTCAAATAATAGAATTAGATATGATTGCGTGCGATCTATATGCTTAGAACGACTTCGATCTTCTTATAAGTGAAGCATTATTTTTTATAACATTTGTAATGAATACTGATCTTGAGCCAGTACTTTCTTTTACATTGTCATTGCCATTTTCCATATAATATATAGATTTCTTTTAATTTCACCACAAAGTAGGGTAATTCAGCGAGGGATAACAGTATTGTCCTTGTGCATATGATACATGTAGGTTTGTTTTAATATTTGCCTATATGAGCCAAAACTCTGCTTGTGACTTTGGGTATTGTGTACAAAGCAGAGTGTGCTTTTATTGCATGCTAGAACACTAGATACCACTTGTCATATGAGGAGCTCAGATAAGCTTACAAATATTTAGATTTGAATGCAATTGATGCTTGTTTTCGACCATATTTTAGTACCATATTGAAAAGAAAGTTGTTAAATAGCTGTGGATATTGTAGAGTAATAATATTATGTACCAAAGGAATACATTCTCTATTGGAAATAATTACTATAGGGTATAATTATATGATCAACAATGTCTGCTTATATACCAGATACATAAGTAGAGGACCAACTGATAGCAGACTAAGCTATGATGAGGTTATTTCTTATTCCTGTATTTAGACGAGCTCCAAGTTATTACTATACTCAGATAAATCAATGTTTCTTCTCCTATAAAACACTCTCAACTTTTTAACGCCCTCTCTTTCTCATCACTTGCCATTTCTTTGAATACAAGATTACTTCCCCTCACTCTGATGATTCTATTGATGAGCTAACTACAAAAAAAAGAAGATGAAAGGCCACATTCAAGATCATTTATGGAGAGAATTCGCTTGGAATTAATCAAAAATATATGTTCTAAATGTGTTGATGCAATCTGTAGATATATAAATTGTCAAACATTAAATGGAGAAATTCTATATTAAGATATTTACGTTACATAGAGAAATAATTGAATGAAATAAAGACGAAAAAGTGCAAATTATATTGTTACATGTAGATATATTCATGTTTTGTTAAAGGACAATATTGGTGTCAGTCATTATCACATATGTGATAGAACTAGTTAAACACATTCCAAATATAATTTTAACACGGAGATCATTGCTACGATTGATGCGTAAAGAAGGTTTCAACAATCGGAAGTGACGAACGCAAAAGGAAAACACGAGTTATCCCTCTATATAACTGACTGAAGTGACGAGTGATAACAGATACACAGGCAAATTTCTGCTCACTAATAATTCCTTCAAAGACCAAAAGTTGTTATATGAGACTGTAAGAGGATATCTGACGATTCAAAAAAGTAATTGAATGTCATTAGATAAGAGAACACGAGAAAAATAACTTCTGGTCTTCGGAGGAATTATTATTAGTGAGCAGAAATTCGCCCATGTATCTGTTATCACTCGTCACTTCAGAATGGACTAAGCAAGCGTAAACGACTGCTGTTCAATTTGAACTGTTCAGTGTTAACATATTTCACTGAACATTTGATTAGAAATTACATTATTTATTTTCAAAAATTGAATATAAATCAGTTTACATACATGCATGTTACATTAATATGTGCTTTTAGAACCATTTTCATCTATTTTATGGTTTAAAAAAAATAGAGCTATACGCCCTTTAAGTATAGGCCTCCATGTTAAACACCAAAATGTGAAAAAGTATCCCAAATAGTTTGTCTGAAAGTTTCAGCTCCAGATGTTGAGTGGTTCAGAAATGTTCACTAGGCTTGCAAATTGAGGTTACATAATAATGTAATATTTATGTCACTCTATCCATGTAGATGTATTTTATATATTTTCAAGTCATACAGTTGTTGTTAGTGTTTCAGTGAGATTAGCGACCAAAAATGCTGTATCAGTGGTGATTGGGTTATTTTCAGATAATTAGTATGTAAAAGGCTATTCTAAATCTGATAAAATCTTTGAATTGCTGTTAGACATCCGGTTTAACTACTGTTTATTTACATGTATTTACAAGGTACTGATCTGTTTTCTTCGGGTTTTAACATTAATTGCAGGCAGACAGCATCTACTTAGGTGTCTTATTATTAGGCTGAAAGCTTATTTAAATGTCAATCTCTTTTCACCTGATGGCAGACAAGTGATGTGAACATCCTTTTGGAAGCACATCAAATGTCTGGTAGACAAGATGTCTCTATCTCAACCTGTATGTATGTCGATTGATTTATATAGTGTTGGACTGTTAAATGGTGTGAGGTTGATAGCTGTAAATAATGAATATCAATCTGCTAAGAATAAAAAATAAGTGGGATGTCCATTTTTGGTAAATTAACTATAGATATCCATTATTTATGCTTCCAGTGATTAGTTTGAGTTTCATGAATGTATGCTGCCAGATTGATCAACTCTTTCGAAAAAACATGATCACATAACTCCAATTTTAGCTTCTTTACACTGGTTACCCATTAAGCACAGCATTAATTTTAAAATACTTTTACTGTTATAAATGCTTTAATGACACTTCACCCGCTTATATAAAAGATTTACCCACTGTATATACGCCAACCAGGTGTTTGAGATCATCTAGTGACTCGTTTCTTCTTAAACCCATCTCTGTAAATCGTTCTTCTTTCGGAGAACAATCCTTCTTTTTCAAGGCACGGAAACTCTGGAATAAGCTCCCTTTTTTCATAAGGTCAGCAAAATCTATTACAATATTCAAACAATCACTAAAAACACATTTCTATACACAGGCTTTTAGTTAAAAAAATTTATATATCTTGCATTTTTATCATATGATAATGTAATTTTCTATGTGTATGTACTTTTATGTACATTTACATTTTGCATTGTTTCAATTTATGTTTTTGTAAAGCGCCTCTGAGTATTGCTCTATGGTGGAAGATGAGCACTGTATAAATATCATTTTATTAATAATAATAATAATAAGGTTTTGAAACTCCATCAAAGATAGATTTCATAATATCGATATCTAAAACCAGATTTTTTCTGAGACAAAGACTAAATTTGTGTCTAAATTTGTCTTGTCAGTGACTGCAGTGACAAGTGGCTTTATTTCCAGACTTGACTCACAAGAAGGTATTGGTAGTAATATTACCAATAGGCTGTGAATATTAACTGGTGTCTATACATATGGGAGTTGGGATGACCTACCTACATGTAATATCAAGCTCTAGCTGGCCATCGCTGTTTGAATCCCTTGTTTGAATGAACGTGACTTGGAGATAAGAGCATCTTCTGAATGTTGGTGGTTTATTGCAGTGCTCTGGTTTCCTCTCACAGCAATCCAATTTAATTTTCTGTTCTTCAGAATCTTGATAAATCATGTTTTATTTAAAATTTCAAAACCTAAATATTTGGAACTAAAAACTTTTGAACAGAGCAACATTGTACTTTTGGTTTTTAAATTAGTTGTTATCCCAAAGAAATACATTGTAAGAAGCAAAATTTTGACAGTTGTTCCCAAAGAACAGAAAATAAAATTGGTTTGTCCTGAGAGTTTTAATTGTTTGTTGTCAACCCTAGTCATATCTTGATTTATTCACATCTTTTCAATATTACATGATTACATGTACTTTGATCTGTCTTGTTGATACCAATTAGCAGTTTATTGATTCTTAATTATCTTGGCTGATTAGGTTAGCATCAGATATGAATTATATGTATTCTACCGTTCTGTCATTTGTTTAGCAAGCCGGCTTTGTAAGAGAATTCCCCAGGTGACAGCTAAATTACTATTAAATATAGCAGGAACTTGTCGTGGTGCCATTGGCGCCACAGATAATAGGTTTAATTATATATATCAAGACAGTAATAGGTTTTCTGATGCCAATATATATGGCTTATGATCTGCATGTAGGTGGGAACTGAACTAGATTTAATTGAATAACAAAATAGTTTGAATGACAATTTATTAAAACTGATTTACAATACATCTGAGTCATTTTGGTTCTTAAAAGGGACATTGACAGAGTTGTACGTTTGGTATTCCAGGAATAAATTGTTTTCGCCATTCAAGTATCTTAAGTAGACTCATATCATTAATTTAGAACATAATGTAGAAAAGGATCAATTAATTATCGTACAAGAAAGTTAGGAATATTTAAAGAATTAAGAGGATGTTATCATAGTTACATGTACATGTAGTTATTATATCTTTTATATAAATAAGCTGATTGCTAAAGGCTATATTTATTATTATCAATTTCGTCTGATTCTTTCAGGTTATTTTTTTGTGCCATATTTGTTTTATGATCCATATTTGACTTAGTCAATTAAATAATGTCAGATCACAGTAATATACAACAGCAAGGTACATGTATCATGAAATCAGAGTGATGTAATAGGAAAAGGATGGATTAAATAATTATAGTAAAATATTGCAAGGGGAGAGCAATGATGCAGGATGGTCGGACTGGCAAGAAACATCATCTAGTCACTCCGATGAGATTAAAAATCAATTAATCAAGATTCTATGTACACATTTCCATGCATGTAACCCGTCACAGTTGGAATTCTACCAAGACTTTGAAAATGCCACAGTCAGGGTGAAATTTCCCTGATAGAACATTGCATGGAATATGCCATTTTTCATTTTGGTTGGTGAAGAACAGTAGGGCATTAAACCCCATTTCATTTCTTGCAAGTAGTATGTTGTTTTGATACAGTAAAATGATGGATGTGTTCGAGTTTGACACTTTATTACACATGTTAAAATTCATTAATATGGAGATGTTTGGGTGGTACAAGTCATAATTTTAAATACAGTAGAATAAGAAAACCATTGCATGGTGAAAGCAGTTGTCTAGTTATTTCATGAATAAGACACAAGGAAGACGTTTATAAAAAGAAGCCTTCTGGAAATTAATTCTATCTGTTCGCAATTTCATCATTGTTCGCCTCCATGCAGTAGTATGTGGCCATTATCTTCAGTCATTTGAACAAATCAATTTGACACATCAGAAAATGCCTGAAGGTATAGACGGTAACATTTATCATTTGCTATACATAATTTCTAGTCTAAGAGACGTTGTTAATTACGTACAAAAAAATGTAGATAATTATACCAATACACAGGAATTGTGGGCAGCTTTAATTATTACAAATGTCATTGGAATAAACTGAAAGATTCTGAAATACATAATGCATGAAACAAAACAGAAATTAAAATGATCTGCTTTGCCTTCTGCCAAATGCTGTCACATCTGTCACTTTGTGTTAAACAATAGATTATGAATAAAGAGACCAATTAGTTATTATGGATACATTAGGCATCATTCAATAATTCAACTTATATGTATATCATTAAACTTATATGTCTATCATTAATGTTAACTATCATGAATCAAGTACTCCATGGGAATTATATAGATCATGAAAATGATTAATGGCCTAATACAGAGCTTAGCAGGGTAGTTTTGAGGATTTAAAAAAAAAACAAGCTCTATTTATAGGTAGTAAGGTAAATATTCTTAACTTTCAATTACTAAATTCAAAATTTTTGGGGAGTGGGGTGAGGGAGGTTATCCACTGTAGGGCCTAAATTGAGCGCTAGGTCCCCAAGTACTTTATGATAGCTACACTGTATATATATGTTGACTTAAATACATGTTTAATGAAGAAAAAAAATATAAGCTCAGGGCAAATTATTTCAAGTATAAACAGTTACCGAGTACTTGAATAAGGTTCTTGACTGTATGTACCAAATCAACTGAATATGTTTTATAAAGTATATGTCTGGTTTATTCTTTTTTTTTCTGTTTTGAACAATATTTTTTTATACATTTAGCAAAAGCAAAAAACTAGGAAACAGTAAAGATATGTTCAAGCAATAGACAGTTACATCATTGACAAAAATTATTGTATATATACTACACATTATACAATACAAAGCAAAACCCCTCAACAAGCCACAGGGGTATCACAGATCTTACTAAACGATTAGCAGGGAAAAACTCAGATGAAAAGACCTTCAGATTGTTTCCATCTATCTTGAACTTTGTCACTGAGTATAATTTGTTCTTTTTTGAAATAAATAGTAGGCCTATAATAATTTTTTTTAAATACATTCAAAATTGGTTTATTTTCTCTGTATTTAAGCCTTTGTGCTAAACCATATACATGTATCAAATTAGGAATTTTATTATCACCAGTATCAATACCAAATAAACATGTTATCAAGGGGATATCAAAATCATTGTTTGCCTTTAGTTTAATCCAACATAAGATAAATATTTTGAGGGTAAATGGGTAGTATTAATCTGATATCTGTTGTTTTGGGATTTATATTCTTTAATGTGCTCTATTTAGCCAGAAGGGATTTTTTTAAATCCATCCAAGGCTGTAAAGTGTGGAGAGAAATTAAAAATAGATTGAATGTGTCCTATGTCATAAAATCACCTTTATAGAAAACCTACTTGATTTCCTTTCTCATACCAAACATCAAAATATATTGTTTTATTGTTTATTTTTATATTTGAATTGTACCACAATGGCTGACGTAGAATATTAAAAAGCTGTATATCGTTATCTTTTAGTTTTAACTTAATTAGCGCAATACTTATATAATTAAAAACCTCTTGCCAGAACCCCAATTTTGTATGCCTTGATAGTTTAGAAGAATAATGTCTGTTTTTTTCCTTTCTTTGTAATAGTGAGATAAATATAAATCAAGCTCATAACTTTAGAGTGACAGTATTAAAATAGGTTTGTCTGTATGTCTCTCTCTCTGTGTCTGAGTTGACTAAATTCGATAATGAGCATTTTCTATTACAGCTAAGCAGAGATAATATACAGTTACATAATAGTATAATTACCACTTGATGATAATCAATTTACCATAGGCATAAGTTTGTTTATTTCGTTATTGGTGAAAATTTTTATTTTATAATAAATTATAGAAATGGGATTTTTTTTTCTTTCCAGAATAAATGAATTAAAATGGGAGTGAGAACTTGTTATTCTAATCTCAAGTCTCTCTTAACCAGTGAACAGATGAAGCTACATGTGTAAATGACTATGGATACCTATGTCAACATGTCTTTTAGTAGTATATTTAAGAAAGCGACGAACTTGTTGGGTATAGGTACAGATAGTGTTAAATCACCACCATTAGATGGAGAGATTATATATTGTAAGAATAACGTGTGTGTACATCCACCAGCACCGTTAACACTAGAAGTAGAACATCATCCTGGTTATTTAACAGTTAGAGCTCAACAAGATGATGTAAGTATATTTCATAATGCATGGGTAATATTCGTCATGTAACGAACTCAATAAGACAGTACTTAAAGAAGATTTATACTGGATTAAAACTAATCTTCTTCCAATACAGTCTTGTCGAGTTTGTTGCTTTGGAAGTATTATTTTTGGTTTTTAATCCCAACCGTATCACCGAGATCTAACCTTCTTCAAATACAGTATTATCAATTTCATTACTTGGGAAATATTACTTATATACATTATTATTTTTCCTTTTATACCCATTCGTCTCACTGAGATCCACTGTACCAAGGATTCTTCCACCCACCTGCTATAAGTTCAATAAGGATTTAATTTGTCACAGCCTTGGATTCTATTTAAATTAAATAATGATGTATGTGCACTATATTCCATCCATACATGTACATCGATTGCTACCTGATAATACACATGTCTGTATCTCTTAAATATAGATTACAATAAAGCAATCGTTTCTGATTGCTTTATTGGTCCTTATAGTGTGACAGTACAATCTACCAAGGAAGAATCCAAAATTCAGTGCACTTAATAAGATATTAACTAGAAACGCAGACAGCTATTTCATTCTCATCTTTTCATTAAATATATCTTCATTATATACAAATTAAGTAAAGTCTGTCCATGTAGATTTATTCAGAAAGGTAATCTCAAATAAATGTCAACAAATGCCAGTTATTTCTATATTTTAATTTACTGCTTTATTAATATTCCATATTTCTTATATTACCTATGGACAATTAGAAGTAAAATTTGATTCTAATCATGTCACCAGTATTCAAGACTTTTCTACGAAGTAATACTGGGCTGATGGAGACAATACTAGGAAAGCTTTTGTACAAAGTAATATGGAAAATGAAATGAAATGAAAATGGAGTTTAACGTCCTACTTTTCTGCTCTGTCCGGGCTAATGAAAACAATACTGGGGAAATCTTTTGTACAAATTAATATAAGATTTTTGCTAATGAAGACGATACTGTGGAAATCTTATTAAAAAGTCTTGTTACTAGATCAATGGTCACTTTATGATGTCTTAAAATGTATGTTTTTCTTTCTAGGATAAAGGTCCAACATTATTTCTAACATGGATTCCGAATGCTTCTCTAAAAAAGAATCCAAAAAGTATTGAAAGTAGTCCAAGTAAACCTAAAGGGTTTACTCCACGGGCCAGTCCTAGGAAGGCACCAAAACAAGAATTTGCTAAACCTGATGAAGATACCTCTCCATCTCCTGTTGGATCCCCAGTTGACCAAGCCAGTGTAACCTCAAACTGTCTCAGTGAACAAAAGTTAGATAAGGATCAAGTACCAGTCCAGAACAAAAAACACAGTGTAGATAATACAAGTCTTAGTTCCGATTTTTCTCTTGGTTCGCGCGATGAATCTCACAGCCTGGATAGCTGGCAGCATAAAGAAGATGGAGGATGTCGCTTGGGAAACAAGTTAAGCTCTAGTTGTAAATCTCAAACAGATTCGGGTATTGGCTCTGAGGAAGCCATTACAACGCATAATATATCCAGTGTACAGAATAATGAAAAAGGTACAGGGTTAATAACCAAGCCTTCGAAAGTAGGCGTTAATGTGAATGACTTGCACGAAAAGAACTGTAACTCTAATGGTGAAGTTAAAAATTTGTTGAATACCACTCCTTCTAAAGATGATGATCCATCATCTCAGGAAAGCGATGGATTAACTTCAGAAGAACAATTAGCGGCCATGATGAAACGTAACAAACTCCATGCTAAAGCTCGTGATTCTACTGATCCTGCTCGGGCTGTTAAAAGCATCGTCATGGATGGCGATCAACTTCAAGTCGTGACAGAAGAAAAGGATGTTTTCCTAGAAGCATCCAAAGATCCCCACGAAAAAAACATCAATAAAAACGAAAGTAAATTTGAAACAAGTAGTTCTCAATCCACAGATGTTGAATCTTTAAGTTCTGATTCAACCAATCCTAGCCCGTCTGACAGTCGATATGAAAGCCTAGTGGCTGAACTAAGACAAAACGGTATTGGTCAGAATATTCCTGAGATTAATTATTATTGTGACACTCTAGAGGACAGTGGTAAGAGACGTGAAAGTATTAAGTGTGGAATACAAGTTCCTAATGAACTAGATTTAAGTAATTTTATTATTCCACCACCCAACACACCAATGCTAACACCAGATATTTCTGTGACTCGTTGCCGTAATGATTCTTCTTCTTCTTCTTCTTCCACAACAACTTCGGGACCTGACTCCCATCCTCCAACTCCTTACTCCTCTGATGCTGAATCACTTCCTTGTTCCCCATCAAAAGAGGACTCTGTTCACTCGTTGTCAACAAGTAGTGCTGGGTCTATAACTACCTATAATATGACTTTCCCAGAGAACTCAGTATCTTATTCTAATTATCGGAAAGAAAGAAAAAGTGCCAAAGAACAAGTTTGTGGAGTATTTTCTGTAGACCTGGGTGAGTATGTTTTCAGTGTGCCAAATCCAAGCATATTGAAATGAGTTCTAAACCGTTTTCTACCATGTACTAAATTTTATGTAAATGGTTACTCATATAAAGGTATTTTCATTCAATATGCCTACATTTATATTTCATTTAGCACCTACATGTAGTCAATCATGACTCACTAGTATTATACAACATTTGTGAAATATTCCCCTATTGTTAGTTCGTTTTTCATTTTGAGTGAAATCTGTATCACTACAGGCCTGGGACTCAAAAGTCCATGGATACTTACACTTGATCTGATGTGTACGTTTGTTGTTTGTGATGTCTGTATATTGTGTCTTGTTTGTGTGTGGTGCAGTCCCCCTGCACTTACTATTGAGATATATTGTAAACACGCAGTTGGTTATGACATAAACTAGAATAATATAACTACAGAGAAAAAAGGAAATAAAATGGGGTTTAAGTTAAACTGTTTAACGTCCAACTTTTCTGCACCGACTGTCAAGGGGTGTTTTACGTACACGGCAGTGTGTTCACTGGACCCAGGTTTTTAGTAAAATCCGAACGGCTGGCAGAGAAAAAGTAGTCAAAGCTTAATTTTACGACTGTGAAAATGTGTTCCAATTCTGATATGTACAATGCCCACCTTCAAATTGTCTTATATCAGTATCAATATTTTATAGTTAAATCGTGATAATAATAAAATATTAAATCTACTGATCAGTGACAATCACCATTGTAACAGTTTCTCTTTAAATCTTTTCGAGTCAAGTTTAATTCACAGACCATGCACATTGGGCAATTTTTTTTCCTTTTCTGTCAAACATATTTTATCTTAGTAGAGGTTTTTCTGTCATGTTATTCATATATCAAAATTTTACAGTGCAGACAGAAAATTAAATTTGAGGAATAATTAAATGAAACTTAATATATAATTTATTATGGAAACCAAATGAAAGTGACATTCATGTACATTTGATGTCACTCTACCTGTATGATGTGATTTCACAATTGCAAAGAAATAAACTAGTACATTGATAGTAAATATAAGCCTTGAGTGACAGTTTGCAATTGAACACAATATAAAACACAAAACAATCACTGGTTAGTACACATATAGCTGAACGTTTGGACAAGTCTTCTCTGATTGTTATCAAGCACAAGAGAACGCTCAATGTCATCCTATTTGTGTACAAACTACTGATTTTTTCCCATATAAAATGTGTTGTGTCTTTTAATAGTAAATATGGTTCTCAATATATTACAGGTCAGATGAGGTCGTTGCGATTATTTTATAGTGATAACGAATGTACCCAGGGGCAAGTTGTTATAGCTAGTCCTGAATCACAGTATAAAATATTACATTTTCATAGTGGAGGACTGGATAAGCTAGCAGAAATATTTGAACAATGGGATCTTTTCAGGAAATCACAAGTAAGTAAATTTAATTTTTTATAAATATAAAAATATATTTTTTTTTTTTAAAAATATATATTTTTACATATCACGACAGAATAAAAGAAGAAAACAAAGGGCTTATGTTGGGTTTTTTGCAAGTCAACATTTGTCATGTTATAAAGAAACTTGATGTTGTTCAGAAATAAATCCATTAGTTAACAATCGATCATTATTAATTATTTTAATGAAACTTGACAAAATTGGCACATTAAAGTAACGATACATCATTTGCATTCTTCGGCAATCTCCGCTAAAATATCAAATTTCTCATATTTTAATCCATGCTAATATGTGCTCATATTGATTATTTAATTAAGAAATCAAAATACCAACGCTAGATAACCTCCTATCAATTATGTTCGCCCACAATTATATGGCTGCAGGCTTATAGCATAGCGAACAACAAAGATCAATGAAATTTTAATTCAATGTATCTTTGTAAATACTGAACGAAATTGAACCATTTTTGGACAGATATTAGAGATTCATCCTCCACAATATTGTAGTTTACAAGGAATTCTTATTGCGCTAAAACTAAGATGATGAAATGAGAATTTATTTTTGAGAGCTTGTATAACTTGTATCTTATTGTTTGTGATTTAGAAGAACCTTACTTAAAACCATTGATATTTATTATATTGAATCCCTTGTAAACTACAATATTGTGAAAGTTGAATCTCTAAAAGGAATATTAATCAAAAATTGGTTCACTTCTGTTAAGTATTTACAAAGATATGAAGAATTCAAAATTTTGTCAGTGCCTACTATATGTGTTGGGTAATATCTTTTGATGGGCCTCATTTTAGTCGGATTGAATCATAGCTGGGAGATTATCTGCAGTTGAATTTTGATTTCCATAATTACAGCATAGGCTATAAAATATTGAATTCAGTAGTTTATTTTCTGGTTTTTATCTTATATGTAGTGAACAAAGTGTTTTTGTTGTAGACAAAAGATAGCGACACACCATATCGACAGTTTCTAGTTATGAAACCCCAAGTCACCGACGACCAGTGTCATCCTGAGGAAGGTGTGTATCCCAGGGTAACAGAGGACGTTTGGCAATCACATATGATGGATGATGGCATCATAGAAGATGATTATCAACTCAGAAAGGTTTGTTTATTAATTGAACTGGTATATTATTTCATTTTTAAAAGTTCTTTAATCAATTTAGTTGAAAAAATGTCATACAGGTTGTCATAGATGAAAAAGATGTTAATACCAAAACGTTTCTACTCCCTATATTTATCATGCCAGTATCTATATAGTCTTACAAAAATATGTATTCTTGACTCAGAAGATCGGTTTCCATGCAAAAATAGTTAGTTATTTAGATTCAGACAAGAATTCATTCTTGTCATCATAAAGTAGCTGTGATCTCGTGCTATGACGTATTATTGCACGTAACTAAATCCTAATGTTTATCATTAGGGAGGAAGAAGGGCATACACCATGTACAATGTAGAGTGCTTTGAGGAAAATGTTGCCCAGATGTTTTTGTCTACTCTCCTTCGAATTGCAACTATCAAAGGTCATTTAAATTGCATTCCAACATGCACGCAGTTCAGTTTTTCCTCCTATATGAATGGCTAGACATATACCTTGCCAGACCCTCTTTCCTGTACCACTATAAGGGAAACACATTCAAAAATCCAAGGGAACTTCTGGTTAGCGACCCAGTGCCTTGCTCATTTAACAACCATAGCTCCTAATCTTTTGTGAGGTGATCAGAAATAACATTTGTTTTGTTTTTTGTTGATATTTCAGGCAGTATTTTTTGGAGGACTTGATCCTCTACTTCGACATGAAGCTTGGCCATTTTTACTTAAATTCTATCCTTTTCATTCAACATTTGAAGAACGAGAGAAAATCCGTAATGATAAATATATTGAGTATCAGAATATCAGAAAACAAAGGTAGGTAGGATTTTGTTTGATAAAAATATATCTTTTATAAAATATTATTATGTTAAATTTGTTTTTGTCTGAAGCATGTACACCACAACCAAATCGCATCTTGAATCTATTCGTGAAAGTGAAGAACAGAGAGATTTAACATTCATTCAAATCAAAACAAAATAGGTCATTTGGGCATATACTCCTGTTTTTATGACATACCCTGTGATATACATCCCCCCCCCCCCCATCCCACCCCAATTTCTAATGTGATAATAATCAACATATTGCCATATTAGAACTGTTTACATGTAATATTTGTTGATTTTGATGATTTTTGTCTATGATTTTGTTTTAGAGAATCTATGAATGAAAAAGACGCTGAGAGGTTCTGGCGAGCTATTCAGTGTACAGTAGAAAAAGATGTTGTTAGGACAGATAGAAGTCATCGTTATTTCCGTGGTGAAAACAATCCCAACATTGAAATATTAAAGTAAGTTTCATGTTTACAATTTAACCAGCTAGCCTTTTGGTATTGACCTGAAATTCTTCAACTGTGACGAAAGTGATTCTACTCTATTAACGAATATGAAAAGCCCCTAATGTTTTTATTTAAAGACCAGTTGCTTCCCTTGGACTAGTGTTATAGAAAGGGTTGTCAAGTTCAATCCATTGAAGAAACAATATTTTCATAATTTATGAAACACATCTAGTCTTTGTATGCAATTAAAAGACACTATATAATGGCCATCTACGTACTTAGTGAATTTTACAAACCGCCACATTTCTCAAATAAAACATTTGAAAACAACCTTTCTTAAATTGGTTGTCAACCAAAATAACATTTGTGTACAGTAATAGATGTTACCGAGAAATAAATTATGGGCATTATTTAAGAATATTACAAATACCATTAAACTGTTAGAATTTCTGAATTGTTACAGGTACATATTCTATAATTGGTATAATTTATGAGGACAAATTACTGGCTGCTTTAAGCATTAGTCCTCTTGCCTTTGTGACCAATGATCTAGTACTGTTCCAGCCCTGTCACAAATAGATAACATTATAAAAAAGATATAAACCCAGTACTCGATTTCGAGTAGGAGGAGAAGAGACATACTGAATTTTAGAAACTAAATGTTAACAATTTCCTTAAATTTGTTTGACTATCAATAGTGACACATTCATATGGAACATACGTTTATTTCTGGCAACATTTTGACAAAGGTTCTCTAATATTTCTCAGTAAAAGTTTCCACCTTTCGAGTATGATTTTTCACTTCTTATTGCTGAACTTCACTATGTGATCAAAAGCCATCTTTTGAATTTCTAGCATGTTTTGATTTAGATTGAAGCAATTGTAAAAACCTAGTCAAGTATATTCAGAGTGATGGAAATTGGATATTTCTAATGAATTTTTGAAAGTTTGGTTTAGCATATTTGTTTTTAATTTCAGAAATATACTGCTGAACTACGCTACAGCTCATCCACAGATGGGTTATACTCAAGGCATGTCAGATTTATTAGCACCAATTCTAGCAGAAATACAACATGAAGTTTATGCTTATTGGTGTTTTGAGGGACTCATGCAGAGAACTATATTTGTTAGTTCACCTCGTGACAGTGACATGGATAAACAACTTGTAAGTGTACTTTTTATTTCAATAATTTCTTCATTTGAAAGTAAGGGGTGCAAATTTTCCTCTGAGCTGTGCCGGTAATACCTGTTTATGCTCTCTGCGTTTTATCTGATTTATATTTCTGCTCAAATATAAGTGACATTAAAAACATACTTGTTTTTACATTTATTGGTTGTTCCTGCTTAGTGAAATAGACCAGACTTATGACTTCCTCTGTGAGGGTGTCAAAAGAAATGTAAAAAAAATGTATTTTGACACCTACCAGGACATGAACTTTTGAATGAACATTTTAAAGAATTAAAACAAGTATGATAGTGCTATATAGACCAGGTAATGGGCATGACATATCAAAGTCTGTCAATCGATGCGCAGTTGTCCAAGGAACAAACTTGCCAAGTTTAATGTCAATCATACTTGAAATTGCCAGAGCATTAGGCTTATTTTGAACAGTGTTGCCCCCAAGAAGAACAACCAGATGAGTAACACACAAAAAGAAATAACAACAATCAGTGATGTTTTTATTGATTTCCAGAGCTATTTACGTGACTTGCTGAATCTAATGGTGCCCAAATTTTACAAACATTTGGTAAAATTAGGAGATGATGCTATGGAACTTTTATTCTGTCACAGGTATTATTTTTGTCTATCATCTATAGAGTTATGATCAAGATTAACCTGTTTCATTTAATAGAATTTTAAAGATATGAAACGGATTGCATTTGGCTATATAAATATTAAAGAAAATGAAATTTATAAATGATAATGGTGATGCCCAATTTATATATTGTCAAATGGTTTTAATTAAAAACAATCAATATTTTTGAAATCATACTTACATGGACATTGCTAGAAATCCAACATTTTAAAAAATCGTAATTTTACATACTCAATCAATTTCAAAAGAAAATCCAAAATAGCAAAAGACCCCACCCACACACACACACCCACACACGCACACTTTGTGTATAACCCCCAAGAAACACCCCTTGCAACCCCTCCCCACTTAGGGTATAACTCTCACCTCCACCCTCACTTAGTATATAACCCTCAAGAAACTCACTCCTGCTTATAATTAGTGCATAGCCCTCAAAAAAAAAACCACCCCCACCCCCTCATTCAGTGTGTAACCCTCAAGAAACTCACTCCCACTTAATGCATAACCCTCAAGAAACACACACACCCAACTTAGTATATATCCCCCAAGAAACACCCCCCACTTAATGAATGTATTTGATAATTATTATATTTCAGATGGATATTACTGTGTTTTAAGAGAGAATTTTCAGAACGTGATGCCTTGGTGATTTGGGAAGTCTGCTGGTCACATTATCAAACAGATTATTTTCATCTATTTATTTGTGTTGCTATCGTATGTATCTATGGTGATGATGTTGTTGAACAAAATCTTCCTGCTGATGAAATCCTCCTTCATTTTAGTAGCTTAGCTTTACACATGAACGGTAGAATGGTCTTAAAAAAGGTAAGTAAAAACAACTGGCAACAATGAAAGAACATCACCTCAATAAACTCACCCCAATCTGATTAAAACACAGATCCTATTTCGTTTCGTTTTTATAGTTCAAAGTTTCGTTTTACTTGTCTTTACTACACTAAGAGTTGTTATCATTGACGTGTTCGGAATGGTGTGAGGGATTAGCCAATGAAACGGTCTGTTACGTCGAGCTTTAGGCGTGTTTTGCACGGAACTGTGGTTAATCAATTAGTAACATCAATGCTGATTGGTTATTCAAATGTCTGACGTCATAGGTTTAAAAGCCCCTCATATGACCTTTGACGCGACCTATCGCTACAACCGGTCAGATCTTCATGTAGTGTAGGCCATCGAAAGTATATAAAAAAAAAAAACGGAATATAGATCTGTATTTTAATCAGATTGAAACTCACCCCAGTTTAGTGTTTCACCCTCAAACAACCCGTGTTACATGACCAATACACTAGAAAATATGAAAGGAGATAAATGGTTTACAGTAACATGACCAGCTGAAGCTTCTTGAGAAATAAATGTTTTGAAAAGTGTACAAAATTCTGCTTTCTACTAGTGTTTTATTTAATGTGATAGGATTTAGGTTTTTGCAGAAATATCAATATATCTGTTGTATTTGATTGTTTCAGGCAAGAGGGTTATTACATCAGTATCGTAAAAGAAGGAAAATCCCCTGCACTCTACATGGACTCTGTACCCATTGTGATCCAGGTATGTGGGACAGTGGACATGTACCTACTGTAGAATGTATTGGACATCCAGATGATACTCCATGTCCTTATTCTAGTACACCCAGTTCTCCCAGTTCCCCTAACTAATCATACCATCGATCTCAAGTAATGAACACGTTTTTTTTTTTTGTCCATACCGGATTTTATTTGTTTATTTCTGAAAGAGAGGTGATCTCCCTTTAATAACTTCCTCCAGAATTTGTTACCAAGGTTACTTCCAACTAGAGTACCGGTACTATTTAAGGAAATTAATAAAGGTCATGCAAAAAATATTCTGTTCCTTTAAAACATTCTGATGTAGGAGAGAGGTTTTGATATTTTTGATTTTATTTATTGAAAGGAACACGTGGCTTATTACAAACATCAAATTCCAAAGTTCTACATTTATAGGGTGACCCACCATAAATAAATATCTCCATATATCTCGACAATTACGCCACAATATTTATATATATGCCAAGCCTCAAATCAGTTTCACACAATTATAGTCACCAAATAAACGATCATGTTGTACTTAATAAGCTATGACCATTAATCATGTATAAATAATAGACTGAAAACTGGTTCCAAGAGTCGTCCATAACATCCAGACACTTTTGAGTAAAAGATAGGTTACGTGCCCTTGTTTTGAAATTTGTCTCGCTTAACCAGTCTATCGACCATTCTACGTCTGATTGACAGGTCGGGATAATCAAGACTACTTTTTTACGAAACATAGCAGAAAGCTAGAACAAGAAATTGAATTTAGAAATAAGCACGTTAGGTAGCTCAACAATCGTTTTAAGAAGCTTGTAAAAGTAAAATGAAACTACTGCTAGTATCATGTTCCTGCCTAACCCGAGTGATTCAGAGATATTATTTGTACTAAACCAAAAGATGCCGCTCTTAACGGTACAGTTAATGATAAAGCGATTTAAAAAATGAAACAAACGTAATTTCTAAATCTGCTGTAATAACCAAGAAGCTTAATTTTACTGCTATTCAAAATCGTCAACAATAATTTTTTTACGGCTGTAATAGTTGATAGATTTGTAGAGAATTGCACGTGCCATGGCTATTTATAGTATCATACTGTCAGAAAGTTGGTCTCGGCACGGCGAATGTGCACGCTTCAGTGGTAGTCTCGAACTATCAGCGGTGGGCTGTATTTCTGTGTGTACATGGGTCACCCTAACATTTATTTCATCACATGTTTAGGCATGCTGTATAATGGAATTCACTTACATAATTACTAATTCTTGGGTTATATATGTCAAGTTTATTTGATTTATAAGCACACTTGTCTTGATGGTTTTCACTTCCTGATGAACATGAGTCAATTTCAATTACATTTATCAGGGTTATATATGTACACTATAATTAAACCTACTGGAGCTTTCTGACTTCCAACAGGAAATGTTTACTACAGTTACCTCCCTTTAGCATGGGAAACAGAAACATGGCATAATCTGTGTGAATGTTTTTATGTTTTAGAAAAATAAATTACCTGATGAATTTGTATCTGAGAACCAGAATATCTGTTTATGACCATAGTATGAATGTATTGTGTTACCAGGATATTGATCGGGCATATTATTTATATTTAAATAAGATAACTTTATGTACACATGACCAAGAGCCAACATGATTTTAAGATGGCTATCATACATATAAACCTAGTAAGGCTTGTATACAATTAGCTGAACATTTATTGCAATACGTATATATACGAACAAATATAAGGTCAAAAATGTTATGTATTTAAAGATTAAAACAAAAAGGGTGGCTTAAATAATACAAATATTAAGGATTGATTATATTGAATAATATTTGGACCAATAACATTTAGGGATAGTCGTTTACATGTGTCATCTCTATACTTGCAGGTTATTTGGGCATGTTGTGTCTTTAAGTATACAAATTTTATCATTATTGATTTATTTAGCAATCTATAGATATTATAAGATTTATTTAGCTATCTACAAATATTCCATATAATTTAAATTATATTATGTTTTAAAATTTTATTGTTTTTTCGTTTAATGTGGTTGCGGACTTTAATTAAGATGAATTGAAGAACAAGATTATTATATACTGATCATATTGAATCTCAATATACTGCCATTCCAAGATTCCAGTCAAATTTAAACATTGAATCTTAATTACTCAATTTTGTGAAAGATTATTTATAATTTACAAAAACTAATGTTATTATTAATTTATTTTGCATATTTATTAACATTCCTGATAGAATATTATTTCATGTAATATGTTCAGACATGGTTACGATGATCGATATGACAGTCATAATAAGAATTCCAATATCAATTGAGAATGGACCTCTTTTGTTTGTAAAAATTAGTTAAATTTATAGACTCATTAAGATGTGTATTTAGAGACTGATGTATTATATGAATTATATAAATTGTATTTAACTACCTTGTATAAACATTGTATTGTACTATATATTCCCTATTAAACATTTGACTGAATCAGGCAGCTAAAAAGCATTGAACAAAATCGCTAGAAATTACATATTAATACTCTGGATTCAAATATTAATAAATGATGTATAAGTAATAATATATAAACGTTTGAACAAATAATCAAGATTGGCGCTGTGTGGCATGTGATTTGCAGCAAAATATATTACATATTTTATACAGATGACTTAGGAAATACTTTGGTAATGTTCATGAACTCTTAAATTGAGCTAAGTTATGGAAGTAGCTTTTTCATTTGTTAAGAGCGAACAGATATGTTCTTTGATTTCAACACTCAAAAAATGAAAAGGCTGTATATTAAGTTTTTGTTTCTTTAAGTTGTCGCTGTATTCATTTTTATGAAGATTTTCGTTGTATACACGAAACTCTCCTCACAAAAATGTATTAAAATTATATAATCTGATAGCAGCCATCACCACAAAAAATAGCTAAGAAGAATTGATGATGACATGGTTTCAGATATTTAAAATTATTGTCTGAGTATTTGTACAATGTCTATAGAAACTTCAATCTGATTAAAACACAGATCCTATTTTGTTTAGTTTTTTATAGTTAAAAATTTAGTTGTTATATAACTCGCATTCTGGTTGAGGTGAGAGGTTAGTTGATGAAAGGGTCTGTTGCCATGAGTTATTGGCATGTGAAGTACAGAACTGTGGGTATCCTACTAGAAACATCAACGCTGATTGGTTAATTAAATGTCTGACGTCATATGGTCAAAAGTCGCTCGTTTGACCCCTGATGCGACCTTCCACTACAACTGGTCAAATCTTCAAATAGTAGAGTCCATCGAAAGTATAAAAAACGAAACGAAATATGGATCTGTATTTTAATCCGATTGTAAAAACTTTATATTGTTAATAAATATGTTAATATTGTTACAGTCTCATCATTGATTGACACTATATTAGTTGTGTTTGTAGACTACATATTATGTGGACTCGTCATAGCAAAATGAGTCGGTTGCAAGTCTTTTACGATATGAACAATAATGTTAAAATAGGCTAAAACTATCTTTTTAATGATATACCAGGAATGGTAAAAGTTTAGATTTTGTTCATGTATTATCGTAAACAATGACATCCAACTCATATTGCTGCCTACTGGTAATATATTTATAGTTTTAGAGCTGTGTGTGGGTTGTAGCGTAATCTTTATTTCATAGTGTAATAATATATATTTATCATTATTGATTGTACATAAAATATATCAGTATATATTACACTCATGTTAATTATTACGCATTGTGTTCTTTTTATTCATGTATTTCACGGTTAAATTTAAATATTTCAATGAATTATCAAATATTTTTATAGTACCTATATTATACATAGCATTGGGATTTTGTAAAATTTAAGAAGTACGGGTACCTAACATTCCTGTAGAAATGTTTGTTTTGTTAAAACAGAATTACACATTTATTTGAGTTTTAAAATATAAATTATAAATACCAGTACTCAGATTACCTGGCATTTAATAACTAACGATTTATTATATAGCATATATTATGGTACAATAGTTTATTCAATCTATATAATAGGTCTACAGATATTACATAACAACATTGATACCACCGTATTACAAGACTACAAGGCAATAGGGTACTTATTTACCACAAATTCACAGATATTAAAAGGATATAATTATCTCAATGCCGTGTTAGAGCTACATACCATGGGTCACTGTGTCTCAGTCCATAAGTTTGAAGCTTACTTTTTCAGGGGAATATACTTTTCCCCTTTTTTCCTGGATCTTTTCTTTAGCTGTATATGTTGTTCCTAAAGTTACTTTAGGTTACCTTTTCATGCGAGTCACATTATTTCCAAATAGCTTTTCAGATGGCAATATCTCGACAACTCATTATATAAATATCACAGATTTTCACAGATTACCATTTTAAACATAGAGATTCCTTTAATTACATGTATATTGTTATCTTGTGAAAGAATCACATACCATTCTGTGCTACTCAAAAATTACATATAGGCCTACTATAGGTTTCATATTCTGTTATCGTAGAATTTATTTGTTAATGATTGTGTAGGCTAATATTATGAGTATGATCAATGTCATTATTTATATTACTAGTTTAATCTGTGAAATGAAGTATGGTCAACGTCATTATTTGTATTACTAAACTGTGAAATATTTGCTTAGTACAATCAATGTCATCATTTATATTACTAGCTTTTAAAATGTGAGGAAAATATTGGTTGTGAGTATGATCAATATTCAATATCATTATTTATATTACTAGTTTAAACTGTTAAATATTGTTGTGAGTATGATCAGTGTCATTATTTATATTACTCGTTTAATCTGGGAAAGATCTATTTATTATTAATTTAATTGTGTTGCATGCTATTGTATTATTGATGTTTCATAATATTGTTATCTCATGTGCAAGCTCAAATTACTCAAGTGGTATATGATCTGTAGATAAAACAGTAGGAGATTTGTTTTGTATAACTACTTCCAGTTATGTTCAGTATTGTTATATATTCAGATTACTCAATTAGTTAGTGATCTGTAGATTAGATTTGTTTGTGTTCATGTATCTACCGTTAAATACATATATGTCTGGTTTCAAATTTGTCATTCAATGAATGAAGGCCCATGTATCTTTTCTTGTTTACCTTTTTCTCTTGTGACCAAATGTTGTTTTCATATACTACATTCCTATATTTCTCTTTACATAAGAGACAATATTGAGTTTTAACATCCTTTCAGGACTAACACAGTATATATTTATATAGGCTATATAGTCTGTGTGTTTGTCATGTATAAATGTGGGACTGAAACCACACCACATCATTTGCATTGATGACACCACTTGCATTAAATTAACTTCTAGAAACAGTGCGAATTCGGTCAATCTGTGAACTGATGTGGTACAGGGTTTGAATTAGATCATAAATAGAAACTGACTTGAAATGGCTATAATTCATGCAATTGACTTGAAATGGCTATAATTCATGCAAGAAGTGATCAATTTGACTTGTCACCGAATATGGTCTCAAAATTTTATTCTCTCAACAGATTAAACCTCATAATTACTTACTGTTATACATCTATGTACATTATTTAACATTGTTAATTGTTTGTTTTTCTCTTCCTAATCACTAGTCATTGTGTAAAAATACAATGTATCATTCTGTTATATTAATTAGTTTGTTTTATTTTAGCCCTACAGAGGGAAAGAAATTGTTTTTTTTAACCTCCACTCAACACAAACTAGGTCATTTCGGGACTCACATATGCTTCAATTTTATTTCAGAGAGTCACTTGAGTGTAGGGTTCTTTTGCAGTGAGAGGAAATAGGAGCACCCAGACAAAACCCACGATGTTGGACAGGCCAAAGTCTCAAGTCGTGATAAATATTTTGAGTCGAGTAGCAAGACGGGTCTTTGATGCAACCTAAGCCGGACTTAAGTTTGAGTTGTGGGACTCAAGTTACCACCTCTGGGTACAACCAGTTTACATTTAAAATTTCATAATTACTGATTTCAAGTGAGTAGCAAGTTGAGTCCCATCTTCAATAGAAGGCTTGACACATATCGATTTAATTGCACATTTATCTTTTTTCAAAAGTATTGAGCAATCAAACTGATTATCTATACTTAGTCTAAGCATAAAATATTCACGATCAAACCCAGTCAATGTTTTGAAGTACCTGGTAGTGAAACTATACACTAAGTTTCATCACTCTCCATCAGTTAGAATCAAAGTTATCTTGTCCAACCAATGAAACTGCTGCTTAGCTCTACTAAGCTTTAGTGGAAAATGTTAATCATTGAACTCAGTTACCTAGTGAACATCTACATCAAGTTTAAACATTCTACCTTGTTATGTTCCAAAGCCTTGACCAATCAAATTGCTTATTGCTACTTAGCCTAAGCAGAAAATGCTCATTATCAAAAATTGAGGTATTGATGTAATGAGAACTAAAGATATTGTGTCCCAAAGCATCAACAAATCAAATTGCTTACCCTAAGCAGAAAATGCTCATCTTTGCCCTCCATCAAGACATTCACCTAATGAACGCCTACACCAAGTTTGGACATTCTAGCTCAATTAGAAGAGTTATTGTGTCCCAAAAAGTGTGACGAACGGACAGACCCATTTGTAATAGTCCCCTGCTTTCTTCAAAAGGCGAGGACAATTACATGTGTTGGCATCTTCATCAAGGAGTTCTGGTTGAAGACTATTTTCCTTACTTTACGGTTAATGTCTTGTTTCGTGTACTCAAACGTCAAATACTCAAAATATGCAAAATCATGGATATAGCTAGCTATCACCAGGGACGTGGTGAGGACTAAAGGTCTGATAGTATGGGTGGTCCAGAGTGGTGCAAAAATGTAGGTGTGGGGGGAGGGGGATGTTCTCTCCACCCTGCCCTTGAGAAAATTTAAATAATGGTTAAATCGAAGGTCCATTTTCTAGTATATCTAAGAATATTTGATGCATCGTTTTGCTTAACAAACCCACCCCATCCTTGAATCGGCCTAGCAAAAAGATTTAGTGAATAATGAGAAATAATTTGATTTAACTATTAATTATATTTACTTTTGGCGGGTTGGATGGCCGAATAGTTAGCACGTGTGCACTGTATCATAAGGTGTCATTGAGTCAACTCACAGTGTTTTCATTCCCCGGTTGTGAGTGACAAGGGGTAGGGTCGCCTGTCTAACCTCGTGGGTTTTCTCCGGGTCCTCCCACTGCTAAATAAAATTGAACCATGCTAGTCCTGAAATGACCTAGTCTGCATTGAGTGGACGTTAAACCTCATTTCTCTCTATATATATATTTACTTTGAAACTGAGATATTCGAAACATAAAACACAAAAACATGAAAATTCCATAAGACTTTTGTTTATGAATCATGTACTCACCTTTTCAGATTTGGCCCAATATATTTTCCTTTCTATATTTCTTCAACTTTTTCTTTTCCTTGGCAAAATTCTGTGTGAAATAAGAGTGGCACAAGTAACCAAGTGGAACATGAGTATCTGTACTAGGAAACTCTCTATCACCACACCCCTCTGACTGTCACATTATTAACTCATTATTATTGATATAATGAAGTCATTTTTTTTTTTACATTAATGAGATAGTATTTGGTAAATTGTCCTGCCCAATCAGAGGAATTAGTTCTTGCATCACCTCTGAGGAACTCAGCAAGTCTAGTTGTTCAGATGGGTAAAAAAACAAATTCCCTTGACAGTTGGAAATTGAAATAGTAGGTCATGGTGACGCCGTCTTCGCAAAATTTGCCTCATAGCACACTGAATGGCATATGTCTATCTTCATTAGCCCCATTGGTGTATAAAAGCACATTTCATTTTCCCCTCTGATGAACATTTTCCTGTCCTGCTTTTATGTATTAAAACAAAAGACAAAAATAACCAAAACACTAGTCATGTTTATTCCATACCAGTAGCAATAACAGAATGCACCCACATTACAAACAAATAGATTCTGAAACATAATTCCCAATAAGGGTAGTATTCTCCAATCCAATACTGTTTAGAGTAATAAGTATTTAGATATAGCCTAAATCAATCGATTTGAAAATACAGAGTTATATTTCTTGAGCAATTTATGATTAAAGAGGTATAAATTAATTTTTAGACATTTATTCACATTACAAGCCCAATATAATCAACTCTTTAGACCACTGGGTGGCTTGGATATTGAGTGGATTAGATAAAATCCACCATATCTGCGTTAAACATTTCTATCACTCACCAAGCCAAAATCTTTCAGAAATGCATGACGTCTCTCCCTGATAGAGCCTGCTGTCTGAAACTTGATAAAAGTAACCATGCATAGTTTCACTCAGTAAATTTGACTGAACTATTTTTAACTATAATAGAAAGAACAACCAATTCAATTTCTCTGCATCTCACATAATGCCTTGTTAATATAGTCCTTGTGCAATGAAAAATAAAAAGTAATGAAAGCCCACACAAATTTGTACAATGGTAAAAACAATTAACATCTAAAGTTACATGTATTTCCAACATAATATACAACTTTTCCTTCATTTATATTTTTTTAAAAAAGAAATACATGTACATACAATCTTGTTATCAAAAATAAAACATTTTATAAATGTTATTGCACATGATTATTTCCATTTGCCAAAATTCATCAAACATCCAAAATGCAGTAGCAGCAAGACTGGCACAACCTTAAAGCTTGGAGGGCTCTTTATGGAAAGTTCCACTTCTAACCTATGCTAACATGCAATAATAAAAGATGAAATGCACTCCATATCTAATCAAGTACACCTGCCTAAATTTCCTTGATATAAGAACAGGTTTTATGTATACAAAGAGTAATAAAGTCCATATAAATGTGAATTACACTGATTGAGTTTCACAACAGAAATAAAATTCTAAAATAAATGCTTGAATTCAATCCTAAACCAATATACTGTATACATGTTTAAAAACACTTATTCCGATTATTATCTATTCAAATATTAATCAAATAAAAGTAATGAAAAATAAATAAAAGTACAACCATTAGTTCAGGTAGATTGAAGCATTGAACATCAGCTGTGTAAGACAATAGAATATACTATAAACAACATAAAGCAAAAATATCTATATTATCATCTGGAACACTGGTTTTATCAATCCATTTAATCATTTTTACTGCCATTAATGTAATAAGTTTATAGACAGATTTCCCATCACACAAATGAATTTAAATTAGAAGGAATATTTTTTCAAACGCACAAAAATATAATGATAGCTAACATTGTTAAAATGTTTTAAGATTTTACATAAACCAAGTATATGCTGTATTTTAATTCCATTCTTAAACAGTTTTACTTCTATTCAAGTTTTACATGTATAAGGTTACATACATGTAGTCAGGAATGGGAATTTTTATATTCTGTACATAGAAATAGGGATTTTTATATACTGTTCATCAGGAACAGGGATTTTAAACATTCTGTACATAGTCAGGAACAGAGATTTTTACATTCTCTATATCGAGAACAGGGATTTTTTTACATTCTGTACAGTCTGGAACGGGGATTTCTTACATTCTGTACACAGTCAGGAACAGAGATTTTTTACATTCTGTACATAGTCAGGAACAGGGATTTTTTACATTCTGTACATAGTCAGGAACAAGGATTTTACACATTTTGTACATAGTCAGGAACAGAGATTTTATTTTACATTTTGTACATAGTCAGGAACAGGAATTTTTACATTCTACACATAGTCAGGAACAGGGATTTTTCACTACAAATCAGGACTGGACAGATATTTGGCAAATTATAAGGCAAAATTCTACTTCAACCCCTTAACTTGAAAACAGATTCTACAGTAAAGAATATCTAGTACATTAAAGATGATATATATGTAAGTGAAATTTCAATTGAGAACAAAACAAAAAGGAAATGGCTATTTTAAATACAAGTACTAGTAAACATTGTGACAGGATGAAACTTTGACCCATGAATGAGTATTAATATATCTATAATGGATGAACACTCTTAAAGAGACAATTAAACTGTATTAGGCCAAAATAAAAAAATACCTGACCCCATTTTTATGATCCAAAATCGCTGACCATAAATTCTTTTCTTCATTTCCCAGGCTCTATAATTCAGTGTTTGTGTGATTCTCACCAAACAAATTCTGATGCTGAAATTTCGGTATTATTTTCAAGAACCTTATCCAGTAACTAAGCTATAAATACTTGGAAATAAATAATACAAACCCCATGAAATTTAAAAATAATAAAAAGAGTCTCCGACCAACTCTATTTTATATAGCGAAGTATAAGGGTAAACACAAGTATTTTTTTTTCTTGGCATATAACATTTCAACTAAAAGAGTTATTAGCATTTCGGAGATCAGTTGTTAGAAAATAGAAATTGGAGGAACATAAAAAAAAAACAGAAATAAAATTAGCCGAATTGATAATTCTGTAGTACTGAGCTTGCCCTTCCTCACCACTTGGGTCAACCCCCCCACTCAAATTTCTTTTTTTGTACCTAATCTGCACACAAACATCAATAGTTTCAAGTTTAACAATACAACCAATATAATGGCTAGTGTCCTTTTACTATTTTGAATGTTTGCCATTTGTGGTCAATTTGACTATAAAATCAAAAATTCCTGGAAACAATTCCTGATAAATATTTTTAAAATACACACATAAAATGCCATTTAAATTTATATACATCTATTTTCTACATATTAACATCAGTGATCAATTTAAAGAGCACCTAAAATGGCCATATAAAAGTGGAATGTACTTAAAGGACATACGACTCTATTCTGTGGACCTGTTAAAGCACATATGAATGTATATAAATTCATCTATATTCAATTTTCAAAAAAGAATTGTAATTTCTAATCAATTATGTTCTGTGAAATATGTAAAGAGTCCAAATTTACGGCAGTCATTTATGCCTGCTTAGGCCATTCAACACTCTTTTCTTTTTTATTATTATTTTGTAGTTTTTGATTCAGCCATTAATAATTACTTCCACATTGTATTGTAGGATATGAATTTCTTTTTTCATTACAAAAGTTGCCTGAAACCATTGAGTAAACAACTCATGTACTGATTTTAAAATATTCAGTGTCTTAAATATTTGATATAAGGATCCCATACATGTATTTTCCAGGCAAGATAACAACATCAATATTGATTAAAATGGACCAATCTTGAATTCTAATTCGAATTTTAATTTAGAATATTATGGAAAATATTGAATTTGAGATTTAAATGAAATGAAATGAAATGTTTACAATAAAACACTTTACACCAAATTCACAACAATCTCATTAAAATTATTTGTTTATAACAATTTATGTCTGACTGGGGCAACCACATAATACGTCCACATGAAAATATGGGCATATAAAAATAATCTGTTCTTCTCCCTCACAATAATCATACTTTAAAAGTATCCCATATTTTGGGCAATAATAGAAATTAAGATCATTATCAATTTGTTTTACTAAAGAAAAATATAAAAATATTTCATTTACCGGTACTATAATATTGATAAATTATATCAATTGGATTATTAATATAAAATATTGTATCACATTCAATTTCCTCTTATTTAATTACCATGATAAAAAATACTGCTACAACACAGAATTAAAAATCTCTAAGTTTTATAAAACTAAGTTCAGTAGAAAAATATAAATACACCAGTATATATATATATATATATATATTTAAACAAACTGTTGTTATTAACAGTTAAAACTCAACATTATAAATATCATCAAAAGTTACTTCATTAACCGAAAAGTAAGAACTAGTAATCACACTGAAAATATGAAAACTATTGGAAAAAGGGGGCGTAGCTTTCAGACTTAAAGATATATTCTTTTGAGCACAATTGGGTCATCTATTCGACTACCAATGCTTATCTTCGATTTATCATAATATACAATGGCGGCAGTATTAAAATTATATAATACGATTATAAAATGGGCTTTACAAATAATATCTGTGAGAATATACTGTGTTTGGTAAAAGATAAATTTTTCCTGGTAGTTTGAATACATTTTTTAATTGATCGTTGTATATTTAGGATGTCAATTGTCCAGAAAATATACCCTAAAATATACCCTCAAGTGGAGAATAAATGTGTATTTATGTGTTGTTGACAATTCTAACAACAACAGAATAACAACTGACTATTGAACAACAGCTACCAACAATAATTAATAATATATCTTTAAACTTTATAAATACTGACATGTTAGACCAGGAGAGTTTAATATGAAATATACAGGGTAATATATAGGCTAGTAATGAACTACCTATTGCACCTGAAATTAAAACATTTAAATATATTATAGATAATCTTTAAATGTTTATTTGTCCTTTTGAGTTCATTTCGTGGCAGTTGATGAAGATTAATTTTAAATTCGAGCTTCTTCCTAAGTAACCCAATCATAATAGGCTGTTATGATATTTAGATACACAAACGATATTGAGATACACAAAGCTAATTTCACAGTCCAAATGATAGATTATATGCATATAAACTCAATTTGTATCAAATATGACCATTATAACACCCCTGCTACATGTAATTACATGTATGAACTTAAGTTCACTTCTGCTTCAAATGCGTATTGAGGTTCCAAAGTATACTCACTGCTAAAATACATCACACCAGGGCCCTAGACATTTTGGGGATCACGCTGGCTCGCTAGCCTGGAGGTCGGGTGTTCGATCCCTGCATTAGCCGAGAAAGTTCATTCAGATTTTCCGACGTGGTTCCCCCTTGTCAGTGATGCAGGACGGAGGGCCTGACAAGGACAGCTGTCTAGTCCTTCAGATGAGGTCCCGTGTATACATTGGAATGCACGTAAGAGATCCCTTGGCAGTTGGAATTCGATATAAGAGTAGGCGATAGTGCCTCCCTCATAGCACACTGTTTGTCTTCATTAGCCCAGCATAGGAGCAGAACAGTAGGACGTTAAACCCCATTTCATTTCATTCATATTAGCTGAGGTGAAATGGAAAACAAGTTAACACGAAAAATATAAAGTCTCATTGCGTTATTCTAGCACAATTGGAATCCCTTTCCAACTACAATATTGTGAAAGATAGATCGATAATCCTATCAAAGATTGAATTTCGTTCAGTTTTTACAAAGATATGTTAAATGTATTGGCATGGATTAAGCTGTGAGAAATTTGATATTTTAGCAAATAATGCAAATGACACAATTTTAAATGTACTTACCAACAAATGCTAAGATATAAGCAAAATTATTTCTAAATAAAACAGCTAGACCAGCAGCCATTAATACCAATAATGTTCTCAATATATTTCTCTTCCATGCTGGTATCTAAATTATATCAATGCAAAAAATGAAACTTATAATCTGATGGTATACGGTAATAAGTGAGGCTGATATCCCCAATATAAATAGAGGACACTCATTAATTACTGGCACATTTATTATTCTTACATACATTATGCAAGAGCTAAATCTGCCTATTGCAGGTCATTCTTTAGGCCTGAAATGTTGTCTTAATTATTAATTAGATATTAATTAACTTATCCAGACCATAATCAACTCTCGATGTCATTGCTAGTCTGCAATATTTACTGGATTAGGAACCAATTTGCTGCTCAACTTTCATTCAATTTAATCATGAAATGGCTAATCAAGACTATGTTTATTATTGTACCGACTTTAGTAATGATGATCGAGGCTAGGCCGAAAATTCAATCACTAAATTCTCGGTTCAGAGTGGACCAATTTGACTGAAATTTTCAGCAAATTCCCTTTACATTATCTAGTTTTTAACTATCATAGTGAGAACTGCCAGCTCTTTATCTAATCTCCCATAATGTAACTTTAAGCAATCAAATTGCTTATCACTTTACTGTGTATAAAATGCTCATTATTGAACTTAGTCAAGGTATGGATGTTATGAAACTATCGTATACACCAAGCCTAAGCATAAACATTTTTAATGCTCCTCTTCGACCTAATAAACACCTACATTCCAACTCAATTAGAAGCAGAGTTATTGTGTCCAAAAAGTATGATGTACGGCCAGATTTTAATTGTCCCCTGCTTTCTATGATAAACATAGCATACATACTAACATAAAATTTTGTCATATATGTAGGACAGTGGTTCTCAACCTTTTTTGCCAACGGCACACCTTGGAACACATGAAAAAATAGCGGCACACCTGGCTAAATATATATGAAAAATATTTGAATTTTACAAAATAAAAACATGGTAAGTCAGACGGCATACAACCATAGACAGAGACTAGTCATAGACACATAGAATGACTCAAACTAAATAAGGAAATACACAGCTATGAACTTCTTAGTAGACACCTGTGAATACTCAATTGGGATCACATGGTTTTTCGCATTTTCTTAGTGTGCCGTTCAAAATTTCGCGGCATACTTAGGAAGATCTTGCGGCACTGATGTAGGAACATGTCAAATTTGCTTATATTGTTGATAAAGACAATATGACATTATATGTACATGTATAACAGAATGTTTTTACAAAACCATGATGGCACAAAAAAAAGAACTACATTCTAGGTACAGTACTGGTAATACTTGCATACTTAAAGATACATTATGGGAGATTCCATAACGAGTTGGCAGTTCTCACTATAATAGTTAAAAACTAGATAATGTAAAGGCAATTTGCTGAAAATTTCATTCAAATTGATCCACTATGAACAAGAACTACATGTAAGCGGTTGAAATTTCCGGCTAGCCTTGATCATCATTACTAAAGTCAGTACGATAAACAGCATAGTCTCATTATCCATTTAATTGTTAAATCGTGAAGGAAAGTTATGCAGTAAATCGGCTCATAATCCACTAAAGATCGCAGGCTAGCAATGCCATCTAGAGTTGATTATGGTCTGATTAGGTTAATTAATGTCTAATTAATAATTTAGATAACATTTTAGGCCTAAAAAAAGACCTGCAATAGGCATATTTAGCTCTTGCATAATGCATGTTTAATTATAAACATACATGTACAATGTATATTTGCTACATGTATAGGGTTATTCTATAACAAATCATTTCATCATAATATTAGTATCGAGAGTGTAAACCATTATACTCAGATATCATAATCAATAAAAAAATTTGAAATAATTCAAGTTTAATAATACTAGTGCTCAAATGATCACCTCTTCGGTAACTTATATTTATGATATTGTAGTATGTGGGACAGAGATTAAAATTTTGAAACTGGTTGAAAATGAAACTTCATTTACCCTATTATAACACACATTAAAGTCCATCTTGTGTATTTGGGGTCTTATATTTTTAATTCGCACTTGAAATCTGTGCGGTGATGGAGTTTTAATAGCTATTATCAAAATTGTTGACGTTTCACGTTGATTTTAAAATAACTTCTAAATGACCTATATCGGTGTTATTTGACGGCAAGGACGTGTAGCAGATCAGCAGATAATACTATTGGATACCAGGTAACCTTAATTAAACTCTTGAAGAACTAACAGTAACCACAAATAAACAAACAGAAAGTCGTTGTGCATCTTACCCTTAGTGAAACTACAGCAGCTACAGGTAATACAGATGTTTTATCACCAATCAATGGTTGACTGTCATCAGACGTCACAAGTCCTTCTTCTTCGATTACACATTTTTTCTTCGGACCACAAATACGACCTAAATACAAACATGTTATTTCTGGTTATTTGACAATAAAAATGTTACACCACTCTTAACTGTATCAGACATTAAAGAAAAGAAATAACAGAGATTTTACATTGAAAAAATATTCATTTTTGAAAATCATCAAGTTTAGTTTTGGAAATCATCAAATTTAATTTTGAAAATCATCAAGTTTAATTTTGAAATCAATTTAAGTATATGTTAGCATTTATTATCAAAGGGGCATTATGGGAGATTAGATAAAGTCTCGCTATAATTGTTAAAAGATAGATAACATAATAAGAATATGCTGAAAATTTCAGTCAAATTGCTCCACTCTGAACCAAGATATTATTGATTGAATTGTATGCGTAGCTTTGATCTACATTACTAAAGTCTATGTGATAAAAAAACAAAGTCTTGATTATCCATTTTGACGTTAAATCATCCATCATCACACAATGAAATCAAACCCAGTAAATACTGCAGGCTAGCAATGGCATCGAGAGTTGATTATGATCTGGATATGTTAATTAATGTCTAATTAAGAAAGACCTGCAATGGGCAGATTTAGCTCTTGCATAATGCATGTTTAAGTTGTGGACAGTTTGATAGTTTCCCAAAAATAAAAATGATGCACAATGTTAAATGGATATCTTATGAAGTTAATTTACATGATTCAAAACTTACCGTCAGTAAAAGTATAGATTTCCATCAACTCTATCACCGGGTACAACATTAAAGGAAAAGTTAAAACTACTCCAATACACAAACATAAATTCACAGTCAGAGAAAAAGCACTGCCCAATGGAAGATTTCCATTTATCATCTGTGCCACATCCACTCCAAATCGTAAATATCCAAAAATACCAAAAAAAGACAACACCACAGAAAGGAATAAGATAGCTCCGTGTAGAAAACCAGAAAATAAATGACGATTCCCGACCATGCTTGATTCAATCGGGATAACCTTTAATAAACACAAAAATTAAAAGTTACTTACAAATAACTTAGGAAAGCATATACAGATTAATTAAGGTCATCTGGCAATTTGGTATTCCATCTATTTAATTTAGTGAATTTATACTTACTGTTCCAATACCTTCAAACGCACCAGTTACCATTCCAAAAAATACTGGAAGTCCTTCCATGTTGACAAAAAGTTTGTATGTTTTACTTAGTGTAAACCCTAAAAAACAAATTATCAATCATTATTATTAGAACTATATATACATTTTATGAGTAAGAAAATAAGGGATAGCATATTGTTATTATGGGTGAAATGTAGCTTTCATAATTTCCCTATTGTATGAAGAAAGTAAGCTTCGTGTATATTGTATCAAGAAAATGTGTACACAGTATCATAGTTGTTCTTCCTATCCGAACAACTAGACACTGTTGCTTGCAATCGAAAAACCAGACTGAAAAATCCCAAAGGAACTTTCTCAGCCAAAACTACAATTGATTCGGGGACCTCACTAAGAGTAGACACTACTACACCACTCCCTTGTATCGAGGAAGTAGGCATATATTGTGTCAAGCTAGTAAGCAAAGTGTATTTTATATCGAGAAAGTAAGCTACATGTAAGTGTATCTTGTATCGAGAAAGTAAGCTAAACTATCTTGTGTCAAGAAAGTAAGCTAAGTGTATCTTGTATCGAAAAATAAGCTAAGCAGTATCCAGGAAATACATTTAGCATTTCTTGTAACGAGAGAAAAATACATGTTATATTAGATTATTGTAAAACTAATATATGTAAAAGGTGATGACAGTTGTTCTCAACCGAGAGGTAGAACCATTTTGTAATGAAATCAGTAGGACATTAAACCCCATTTCATTTCATTTCTCCAGTCCAAAATTGTTTACAAACTGTCTACATGTAAGAAAATATTTTAAAATTATTTGCACAAGTTTATACAGCATGTTAACTTACCATCAAGAAGAAATACAGTTACAGAGACACATCCGATCAATATAGAAATATTAGCTGCTACACTTACAGGTCCAAGATGGCGGATATTTCTCATAAAGGAGAAACCAATAAATATAGGTAAAGGAATGAGTACAAGATATTGCAGCAATGGAGCCGTTGATGTATAAACATGATTAGATAAAACAGTCCATGATGAATTATTTTCTCCCAACATTAAACTATTCTCTAAACCATCATCATCAAAAAATGAAGAATTTCCTGAGGTTTCTGGATGAGACAGATTCGTTAAATTTAAATCAGGAAAACGACTGACTTCTCTCTTTAAATTATCTAATAAAGCCAACTGAGGATGTCTGGCATGTATTGGCATGTCTTCAGTAATTAAATGGAATTTCTGTAAATCTTTTGGAAGATCAGATTGTATGATAGAATTAATTTTACAGTTGGACATGTTAATGAAACTTTGATTGGTTGAATTTCGAAGTATGTCACAAGTCGCTAAAGGAAACATGGAGTAAATCGTGTTTCCTATCAAAATAAAATATCCAACACAAAAACCAAATTGTGTTAACAAGATACATGCATTGACAATATATAATCCGATATTTCCTAGAGCTATCTGTCCGACATCTCCATATGTCAAACTACGCTTCATTTTAGCTTTCATTTCTGAAAAATAATCATCCCTGTGATCATCTTCTTCCTCCTCTTCAGCTATATCCCCCAGTAACTGCTTTCGATGTTCACGTAAAACTTTTTTAATGGCTAAATTTTTACATTTGACAATCAGATGACAGCAGTGATCAGTTACGCTTGCAATTAGAAACAACCCGATCATTCCAGCCTGAAAAACAAATATACAATTCATAGAGCATATATAATTAATGAAACATATGTTTGAAGTTGTAGAATATGCTTTAATTAACATTAAATAACTAGACGTTACTCTGTATAATCTATTCTATTCTAATATAAGATCTCTTTTTATTTTAAATGCTTTGATCAGGGTGGTACACAGAAAATTATTTCTTTTAAATTAAATTTCTAAATTTCCTTTCCTTCAACATACCAAGAATGACATTTATTACGTGTATATACATGTTGCTGATCATATTTTGTGCAATGACCTATTGATATACAAAACCTGTGATGAATGCAGGGGCAGATCCAAACATAAAAAAATTGTAAAACAACACTTTTATGAGAAAAGTGTCACGGTCTTGTGCTTTATCATCAAATGGTTTGATGGGGTGGACATTCAAAGCGCGAGATAATGATAATAGACATATGTGATATCACAATTAATGCATTGCATCAATGAAATTGAATCACAATTTGATCCTATTAATTCATAATAAAAATTGATGTCAAATATGTTGAATTTCTCACTTTACAAGCTGTCTGTTTGTATGTCCGTGTAAATTGGAGACGATGGCATCATGCATTGCCAACTGTCAAATTTCCTTAACAGGAACCTGGCAAACACCCTCCCAAATTCTATTAAAGAAGTAAAACCTTTAACTCAATATCTTCCATAATATTTGAAATCAAAAACTAGTAACTATTTGTTGCATTGTATCAAATCCTGATTACCCTAATTATCATTATCTCAATACCGATTTGTTGCTATTATCATATCCTGACTTATCCTGCAGCTGATAGCTTGGGAGAATGATCCTGATAATGACATAATAATATTGAGTAAGTATAAACTTATGTTATCTTTAAGAATAGATATAGTTTATACTGAAGAGTATTCAATAAAATAATAATATTTAATATATACTTACAACTAGTCCACTCTGACTAAAGGCGAATGATATGCTAAGATAGTTGGATCCGATAAATGCCTTAACCATGTTAGCAAAATCAGATAAATTGGTGTGCCATTTTATCTGACGACTTGATCTAAGAAAAAAGATATAAAATTTATATATTTCAAACACACATTATAAAAGGCAATTACATCAAGAGTAGGCACTAGGCCTTGTGTACTGTTTGTAAATTAACTATAATAAAAAAAACATGACTATGGTATGGTCATTTTCAGTTTGTAATACAGAGGTTTACATATTCTTAATTCTTTTTAAATTCATACATATGAATTGCATATTTAATAATCATGGTTAAAACATACAAAACGGAAATATGCTGCTCATTATAATTATTAGTTGTCAATTATGCAGCTCATTATGAGCTGTCAATGTCAAAACAGGCAGTGCTACTTTCACTTTCATGTGGATATTATTACGTGGAGCAGGTGTGTGTGTCCAAATGGTAATTCACAATCCCTTACCCACTGGATGTTGGTGTTCCCTCTTCCATTGTTGTTTTATTTGTATGCCAAGAATGTAACTCGCAATATTTCAAAATATCTTCCTAAGTTTCCATTCATCAGATTCTTAGCTAAAATATTTCTAAAATCACATTATTCTTAGTTTGCTCTTCCAGCCATGAAATGCCATCTTGATTACGCCGTTTTGGATAAGCGGGTCTACGCAAATCATGTGACTCACCGTACCAAAACTTTCCATTATACTATAGCTTTCATTGGCCGAAGATTAAATTTAATAGCCAATCAGAGTGAGAACTATTTAAAGATGGCGGAAATTTCGAAGTTGATTAAAAACAAAAACATCTGTATACTTTGCTTCGATTATAACAAAGTCGAGATAATTGTATAAATAAAACGGACAGGATGTAAGTTGAGGAACCGTCAGGGCCTTAGATCTAGACTAGGCCATGGCATGACATGAAATAGGCTACAGTACAAATCATGATTATCATGATGTTGATGACAAGACAGACAGGCCATCATGATCATCAGGGCTAATGAATTATTTGACATTCATTTACATTCAGACATTGTCTCTTTCACTTTGTGATTGTACCGTACTCTTTTAATATCTGGATGCCCAAATCTTTTTTTCTGGCATTGCTGGCTGATCTGACTACTTTTTTAGGCGGCCCTTTTTTCACAAGATGATATCAGAAATGGAAAAAGTTAATGGGCACTAACCCTAACCCATATACAAACCTAAGACTAAAAGTAAATGAGGGTTTAGATTAGAAAGGGTTAAAAGAGAATGGATAAAAGAGAAGAAAAACAAATGAAAAGATGAATGAAAAAAGTTGTCAGATCAACCAACAGCGCCCCAGTAAGCCTTAAGTCATAAAGAAAGTTTATTAAAAAGTTGAGGACACGACGGACCAGTCACAGTCAGTCACTGTCAGTCACTGAAGCTAACTGCTGCTGTCTCCTAGAATCAGTAATGCTACTGCCACTGGTCATCCACTAATCATATGAAATAAAGAATATATCTATTAAAGTGCTAAATCCACAAAATGTGCATAAATGGCAAAATGTGATTACATGTCATTTCGGTCCCGCGTCATTTTGGACTTACGTCATTTCGGACTCCCAAAAATATGTCCGAAATGATGTGCTACCCCTATTACTCTACTGCCTATCTAATAGGCCTACAAGGAATACTATGCAGTAAATTAATTAAAACATAAGTTTTCAGGTCAGATTTCAACTGATGATTGAGTCTTAGACTTTTGTGGAGAAGGTAGTTTATTCCACTATCTAGATCCAAAGTCTTTAAAAGAGTGACCACCAAGAGACTTTAACTTCCACTGAAAAACACACAGTTTTTACTGATTAATTGATCGTAACTTCGTAGATTAGACATAAAATTTCAAGTAGACCTGGTCGTATGGACCATATATTACTGGTACTACTCAATGGTCAGGGACCAGAGTGTATTTTAGTACTTTTTGTCTGTAGATTATAAGTCAACTGCTCAGACATTTTTAAATCCTCGCGGGTACCGTAACTTCCCTAGGATTTTAATTGTTTCAAAATGTTGTGCTGTCTCCAAATATTTATATGTTTTGGTCTACAAAATGACACTTGTATTGTTATAGTTGACAGACTAAATATGGAGGAAGAAGATATGTATGAAGATTGTGTCTCACATGCTGGAGAAGCTATACTTGTAATAACAACAGAACAATTAGAATTTACCAAAATAGCAGAACTTCAAGAATTATGGGAGAAAATAAATATTTTAAAAGAAAAATCCAACCAAAAGATCAAGGAAGATATAGAAGGTCTAATAATCCTTCATTCTAGTTTATTATAAATAAATATTAAATTTTTAAAAGCAGAAGATAATTATCTGCTTGGGATTTTTTTTAGAACTCGGCACTGCTACTACTAGTACTAGTACTAAGAATTTATTCAAATTAATAAGCCCTCATTTCGGTAAGATTTCAATCTAAATTGACTGGTGCAGTGAAATTGAACAACTGAAAAACTTATCTGTCAGTTAATGGTACTTGAATCTCATAAAATTAGAATTTCAAAGAATTTAATCTTAGAACACAAAAAGAATAGATACTGGTACATGTAACTATTGTTGTTATGTGTAAAAACACTTTTTAAAAATATTCATGTATAAGTGTAAAAAAAATTGACATAATCACAAAAACTGTCATATTCTGTGAAAGAAATGAAATGAAATGAAATGGAGTTTAACGTCCTACTGTTCTGCTCCTAACCTAGGCTAATGAAGACGGGCATACGCCATACAGTGTGCTATAAGGGAAATTTTGCCCGGACAGCGGCACTACGGCGTACTCTTATATCGAATTCCAACTGCCAAGGGATCTTTTACGTGCACGCCAATGTGTACACGGGACCTCGGTTTTTCGTCCCATCCGAACGACTAGACAGCTCTCCTTGTCAGCCCCTCCGTCCTGCATCACTGACAAGGGAGAACCACGCCGGAAAATCTGGATGAACTTTCTCGGCCAATGCAGGGATCGAACACCCGACCTCCAGGCTAGCTAGCTAGCGTCTTACCCACCAAGCCACGTGATCCCCATTCTGTGAAAGAAATATATCCCTAATCTAAAGTACGGTAAACAAATTACATCAAAAATTGTCTGAATAACAAAACTTTATATAATACATGTAAGTATCTTACTACCATTCCAGTTACTTTTATTTGAAATTTATAGTTTTATGTATTTGTAGCTCTTCAATGCATATTACAAGAATTAGAAGATCCACACGAAAAATCTAAATTAGTGGACCAGGAAACTGAGCTGACAACAAGATGTGAAGAAACCATGAAAAGATTAGGCAAGGCATCAGAAGAGGGTCAACAACTACAATCAAAAGTCAAATTAGAAGAAAAAGAAAAAGAAACATACAAAAAGACTTTATTAGATGTCACAAAAAACAAAAGCTACTCACTACCTAAAGCTAAGTATGTTGATAGACTTTTAAAATAACCATGGATTATTTAATATTTTTTCTAAGGGAATTATAAAGTTTCTGTAAGCCATTGATCATCATTATCCATTTTTTGGACAATATGAAATTAAATCTTTCTCGACCTGAAATGAAATCAAATGGTTCATAAAGTCCTAATGAAGATTGCCATACGCCATACAATGTGCCTACTTTTCTTCAAATTCCAACTGTCAAGGGGTTTTTTGGGATATCCCATCCATCCCCACCACTGGAAAATCCATAGAATCAACACTAAAATGTACTGGAATTGATTATTTAACATTTGATTAAGAACTTAACGGTAGATAATGTCCTGACATGGATTCAATTTCAGTTACAATAGGCCAATCAAAAGAATTTGACATGCAGTATTTGTGCCACAGAGCCCCAGATCCAGTCTTAGTAATGTCCTGGCACAGGTGAGGTGGGGGGCCCAAAATGTGTCTTGCTCTGGCACATAAAAATTCTCTTGGCAGCTCTGGATACTTTAAGTAAACGTCTGATTATATGTATTACTTAATGCTATAAAATGAAAAGGCAAATGAAAAATGATTGTCCTTCACCCCTAGTAGTTGACAATGCTATAGTGAGGTAACAATATATTATCGCAAGAATATTTTCTCTGCACTATTAAATATGTCATAATCATTGGTTGTTCTTTCCTTTGTAGGTATAATGTGAACCTGTATTGTAATATCAGTAATATTAGATGGCAGCTAGATTCTACACAAGATGATATTAAAGGCTGTATCCTTTCACATTATTAATATATAAACTAATCAATTTCAGTACTGCTAAATATATTAGTTTATTTACTTGTAGTTGGCTTTACAATACCTTGCCACATTGTGTTGATGCTTTGCGATCACACAATAACTTTTATTCTAATTGAGTGAGAGTGGTAAAACTTGGTGTATAGTTTCATCACATCAATACCTTGACGAAGTTTGATGGTGAGCATTTTCTGCAAGTTCAGATGGGCAAGTAAATAATATGTGTCATCTATTTATTTTGGGATCGAGGCAGCGGGACATCAGCTCACTGTTGGTTTGTTATTCATCTAATTTAGTTTACGTTCTTTACCATAATGAGTTACTGTGGCTGGTTAGAAACATGTATCCTACATTTACAGAAAAGAAAATTTTAGGCTCAATTATCAAATATTGCAAACCTGATAAAAGTTATGATAAATGTAATTGACAACAATCATTATGAGATAAATATAGTGCTTTGAAACTGGATATTAATGAGAAGTCATTTAGCCCAGTAGAGAGGCTTTGGCAAAATAAAAACACCCCCACCCCCCTTCATGCACCAGATTTTTTAGGAAGGATTGGAAAACCTAAAAATATTTATGTATGGCTTTGCATTAGGTCCAATCTCTTCAGTTTTCATGAAGTGATCATGTTCACAGTAATGCAATCTCAGGAATATAGAACCATTATCAAATGTTGTAAAGCAGACAATAATATTCTATAAAACATAATAAAACATATGTTGTTTTTTTTTACATATTTTTCTTAATAAGATCTTTAGATGTATGTAAGAAATCAGATGTACAACCATTTTCACTCAACACCAAACAACATTCAAAATTCTACGTATCTAATTATTTATGGGATTTAATGGAAGAAGATTGGTGAAGGAACCAGATGATTATATAAACTTATTCAGAACCCAGTGCTATTTTATTTCTGACTCTTAAACTACCCACACCAACGGTGATTCCTCCATATTAATTCCCCAGAAATTTGACCTATGAAGACATAATGTTTGACAGCGTACAAACTGTGTGATTTGATGATATATTTGGACTAAAAACATATTCAAACTAATTTATCTATCAACAGTTTGCTTTGGATCCCTCTCAAAATATTTTAATCGGCAGAAAACTATTCTATTTTTAATCATCTGTGTTTATCACATGACTTGATCTACTACAAATATTTAAGCCTTCCTAAGTAAATTCCTGAATTATCCTATGTGAATTTCGTTTTCCGCCGTTTAATCGCAGTCTACTGACCGTCTAATTCTCTCATTGTTAGCCATTAGATCAACACTCAAGAGGCACATCTTATGCCACTAAAGCAGACAGCTAAACTGACAGACTGTCGTTTTGAAATACCCATACTTTTTCGTCTTGTGCACGCCCCATAAGCGTTTTTCAGGAAATCCAGTATTTTTCTAGTAAGATTGGGTGTGTCTACTTTCCATATTATGCCAAAATTGCCATACATATTGGAAATAACTACCCGATAATTACTTTTGTGGGAATGTATCTTTAACCAATATGTAGCTAATCCCTATAAGTCAAAACAGACATTATAGTTGGAGGAGACATAAAACTAGTCTCGGTCACCCAGAACCTCCTAGTCTTCAATATTTGACGAAAAGTTCCATTGCCCATGCGTAACCAGGAGTTTGTTTTTTTCTTTGGCTGATTATCCAATATCTTTGGCCAAGTCAAGTAAGAGTTGCGTCCCTTCCCGCAATAAATCCCATAATTCTTGCATTAATATAAACAAACATGAATCGTGACGACGAATTAGGATTAATTAAAAAAAAAAACTAGATATGGCCCATAAAAAGAAATTTTATTATAAAAAAAATTAAAGAGTGTTGGATATTGAACTGGCAATGCAATCAAATGGATTTTCTGAAATAGCATTCTTAAATTATTTCATAGGCGTCAACATCTTGTTTTAGGACTAGTTACCTCCCTTAGACTTTTGTTTGTGATAATGTTAAAGACCGGATAATCTAGCCATATTTTTCTGGATGATAGAGACTAATCTAAAACAAACAAGGTACTGCTACTTTGAGTAAACTAATGAAAGGAACATTTTGGTGTTAAATATATTTTAATTTAATATCACAGTTAAAGAGTATCTTTCCCATATACAGAGATTGTATGTCAAGTCTAGTTTGAAATATATTTCCCCATGTACATATTTATGACAAGTAGTTCAAAATTTCTGATTGTCTCGATAACAATAAGTGGTATACATGGGTGAGAAGGTATTTAAATGTCATATATTTTCTGAACAAATTGTCCCTTGAAATCCTAAAACAACTGAACCTAATCTTTGTATGGCATTTAGCAACTGGGAAACACATTAAGGGAGACAATGACTAGTTTTATTCTAAAAGCATGACGTGTCGACAAGTATCCTCTTATCGTTATCAAGAGTAATGAACCTGTCTAGAATTGTCTTCTTATTTATGTCACAGAATTGGACTTATAGACTATACAATCAGTTTACATTTCACAGGCTATAAAATTGATTTCTCATAACTTATACATAGATCCATTTCATAAAAAGTTTGGATTTTCTTGATATGGGGAAACAGTAATTTTAACTTCAGGGTTTATCTAGTAAAAAAATATGTGTATGTGCCTGTGTAATGTAATAATCTGCATGTACTGGTTGATTAATTTGAGATTTTTTGTGTTGACTGCAGTGAATACTAGTATTTTAAACACACATGTTGCACATTGTTTTGTAGAAAACAGTTATTTTATACATCTAACTTTTTATTTGAAGTTTTTAATTCCAGTAATCTGTCTAAATCGGATTCTGTATATTACATTTGTTGTTCATTGATGGGTTAATAAATATTTTAAGAACTCAAGTCTGTCTTTTTTATTTACTTTCTAGTGGATAAGTGGTATATAAGCTTACAAATTGTTTTGGGAAAAGATCATCTTGTGTCATCTATGTATTTAGAGATTACAAACATCAGAGTTACACATCCATTTGTATGCACTCACTTCTCATGTGGAAGTACATTCTTGTCACCTCAGTTCATTTACAATTCTTTGGATTGATCTACATGCCATATGAGGTATCCATTTGAACCTGTCACATTATTGTTAGCATTATTGACGTTCCTGTGTCAATTGGAAGACGACAGCCTCTAAATAACGTCATTTGGCAGACGACCATCGGCAGGTTGGGTCAGATATTTTAGATTGTTCCAAAGTATTTAGCATTAGGTTTTCTCTGTTTTGTAGATATAAGGACTTTTGCCACAACTTATTAATACATTTGCGTACTTTCTCAAGCTTATAGTGTTTTTATCCCTATTTTGCCGACTATATATAAAGCTATTTAAGATTACTTGCGCGTTTTACTACATTTCGCGAAAATAGTTAATTATAAAGGTTTTGAGATTTCTTGTAGCACATAGTTGAACATGACTCACACCTGTACGATACAATGTTTGGGAAAAATGGCCCCTTATATTTAGTTTGTTTTCATTTTGTGTGAAGCCTGTATCACTACAGGCCCTTGATCTATACTCAAGGTCTCTTTATGTGCACACCTCCACATAAAGAGGAAGCCAGACTGAAAAATCCTGAGGACCTTGGTCAACACAGTGATCAATCTCAGTACTCACGAAGCGATGGTGACTTTAATCTATGAGAATGTTTTACGTAACAAGATATTACTGACATTTTTAACTCTCCTAAAAATTTTGTTGGTGAGCATAAATATATTGCTGTCTAGCAATTCTGTGTGTAAATAGAGAGAGAGAAATGGGGTTTAACAATCACTTGACATAAACCAGGTCATTTCGGGACTATCATGGTTCAATTTTTTTTCAATAATTTGCTTGTGTGTAGGGGTCTTTAGCAGTGGGAGGACCTGGAGAAAACCCACGAGGTCGGACAGGTGACCCTACTCTTTGTCACTGCAACCAGGGTTGTGTTTAAATAATGACAAACAATTTGATTGCATACATACGTGTAAGAGTTTTATTTTCTAAACTCGATTCAGATTTTACATTTATCTATAGCACTTAATGTTGAATTTACAATTAAAATGTCTGAATCTAGAGAATAACCATTACCGTGATAAGAATGAAATATTGTATATACAAAGAATTAAAATACAACATTTATTTCATGAAATGTAAATGATTGAATAACAGTAGGCATATACATAAATATATGTTAGTAGCAAATCAAAGGGGAGTTCTCCTTTTGGCAAGCACACATGTATAACTGCCTAAAACTGGTCTTTACAGCCGAGTTAATTATTGTCACTTTGTGCACTATTTCAGATTTACTATTAGTTTGTGTGAAAGGCTTTGTCCGCTACTAATTCATATTTAATGATGTATATTTAATATGGAATATGAATATATACAATGATATAAACCAAAAAAGCATATATAAATATAATGTTATTTTAGCCCGACTTGGCTATCTTATACTCTCGGACAGATACTCAACATATACAAGGTTGGACAGATGATACTACTCCTTATCAGAATATCAAAAGAACACCACCTGACCCAGTGACAGACCTTATGATCTAAAACACACACATGAGGGTATTTTACACACTGTTATATAAGTAAATGTCCTTCATTTGAACCTACAAACTATGTACAAAAATACAGAACAGAGTCCCACCACTAAAATTAACCCAAAATATTGGCCATCAATTGGTAATGGTGATATATGTTTAGCTTAACTAGATTTAAAAAAAACATGTTGAATAAATGCATATTTTAAAATAGAAATTAGCCAACAATTCAAACAATATAATGCTACAATCTAGAAGTCGCTAACTCAATATCTCACTTTCTTTTCTGAGGCTTTATGGGCACATAACTCTGGCTACACAACTGTAAATATACTAATATGGAGAAGAGTATAAAAAAATGTATAACATTAACATGTATATGAGATCTTTAGTCAATGTATAATATTTTCAAAATGTAGATTGGAATAATATAGAGATGTATATTAAGATATGAATGAATCATAATTTAATGAACAATTTTATTTTGCAATAAACTGTATCAAGCTTGTTAACGTTAAGTATGTGTTATAGTTTATTAGTTACTCAATGCCTCTCAAAGATTACTATTTTGCAATATTACTGCCCATGAAATACAATTTTTTATCATTCACAAACTTTCAAAGATCAAACAAAATCTTATTCAATATCACACAAAATTAAATTTTATACATTTTATCAATTTACATGAAATGGTTTATAATTTTCCTTAAAGATGCCTTATGTAAGAGTTTGGCTTTAAATGTTATATAAATTATTATTTAGACATTTATTCACATGACAAGCCCATAATCAACTCTCCATATCATCGGATGGCCGAGATGTAAATGGATTGAAATACGATCACCATTTAATGATTTAATTTAAGAACGGAGAAGTGAGGCTGAGTCACGATTAACCAACGTTACAATGCTAATAAAAAATCTATGCCACATCTTGTCAAACAGTGATAACGTCACTCAGAATAAAGTTATTTGAATGAAATGAGCTATTTTGGAACTATTATAGCATGAATGGTCAGCTCTTTATCTAAATCTTACATATTGCATCTTTAATATATTAAAATGTAAAAATTGTGTTTTAACTTGGTGGTGGAGGTGGAGGGGGTGGGGCTACCATCATAGGGTTCATTCCTGCCATAGTGTTAAAACTGTTTGGTGGGGGTGGAGGGGGCACTGGGCTATAAGTCATCTGTTGACTAGTAGTTGGAGGTGGGGGTGGGGCATTCATTGTATTTTGCACTGCATTTTGTTGCCATGGAGGTAAAGCTGATGGGGGTGGAGGAGGGGGTGCTGCTGGCATCTGAGCTCCCCATCTACTTGTGTTGGTGGTTGGCGGTGGTGGTGGAACTCCAGACACTGAAAGAACAAAATGTAAGAATTCATGGAGAAATGTAAATATATTCATATTCAAGATATCAAGTTCGACCTGTGGTTTCCGGTGAACTTTGTCATGTTGCGACCATGAACGGTTGATAAACAAACTGTCCACAAGAAAAGAAATTATTTATTATTATTGTCCTCAATCTCTAATCAGTTTTAAAATTGAAAGGAAAATTGGATTAAATGAGTTGTGGTTGTTGAGAAAAATGTGTTTAATACTACAAAGTAGACTGGCCTGTACTCTATTATTAACATTACCGGTAGTCAAATGTTTTTGTCTTTTTTCCTAGAATTGATTAGAGTAAAATAGAAATCAAATCCAGGTAGGAGCTTTCAATAATTGATTCACCTATCTTGTCAATTACATATGAAGCTCCTCCCATGATGTGCCAGACTACTACCTGTATATTGTCCTTAGCAACCACACCTACAATCAGTCACACAAATCAACACGACTGAATGTTACAGTCCTCAACATATTAGTACAGTTCTATATGAACTTACAACAAAACGAACTATTAATAATATACCCAAGGTCGGTATACAGTCTAACTACATTGATGCTATGTGACCCCATTATCAATTGTATCTTAAAGATACATTAGTTAAGAGCTAACTATGCCTATTGCAAGTCTTTCTTTATGCTTCAGGTGTTATAGAAATTATTAATTAGACCTTTATTTACATGACAAGCTCAAAATCAACACTGTAGACCCCCGGATGGATTGGATACAGCTTGGATTTAATCAGTTGTCCATTTAATAATTAAATCAAAAATGGCTGACCAAGCTAACATGAAAGACCTGCCAATTGAGGGTACCGTAGTCATTGGGAATGTTGCTTGATATTTCTGGTCCAAACTTCCAACAGTGACAACACCATTCAGAATAAAGTAATCTGACTGTAATTTTCAATATTTTCTTTTTTTATCATCTATTTTTGAATTATTATAACAAGAATGGTCAACTCTTTATTAAACTCTTAACTAATGTATCTTTAAGCTTTCTCTTTTACAGTGAAATAAGAGAGAAAGAGACACAAACTATTTCATTTCGGGATTAACATATGGATCAAGTTTTTTTAAATAGTTTGCATGCGCGATGGTGTCTTAAGCCGTGGGAGAACAACAAGAGGAAACAGCGAAACCCCACAAGTTTAGACAGGAGACCCTACCCCTTGTCACGTACAAGAATGGGCTCAAAACCATACCACTTGATTCAATGACAGACTGGATGATCTAAAGCACAGGCATTAGACCACTACACCACCTAACCCTCTAAGAAATAAAAGCAGCATTAACAAAATTGTTATGCTAAAAATACATACCTTGATTCTGAAGCCATGGCATGTTTGCCATTGAATTCTGGGCTTGAGTTGAAGGTGGTGGAGGGGGTGGGGCTGTTATCATTGTTGGGGGTGGGGGTGGTGGAACTCCTGAAAATAGAATTATATGGTTAATTTCCATCTAGCACATTTGGCTTTGCTAAACCGAGTCTAAACCATTCATCCCAATTAGCGATTAAGTAGTCACAGTTGTACATAAGGATATATTTGTGGGACAGAAGTGGCCACCAAACACTATTCATCTTGTTGGGGGCGATGCTCTTCAAGAAATGGTTAAGACTCCGCCAACTCATGTACGGTCAACTTGAAACTTGGCATGCTTTTTCCTTGGACAATTGCAGTCAATTGACAGTCAATATTTGCAGACGGTTCCGATGATGTCATACTTGTTTCTTTCCAAATCACACGATTCACTAAAACCTCATAGAATTGTAATTCAACAAAAGTTTAAGAACTACTTACCTATCATCTGAGATGTTGGTACATTTTGCATTCCCATCTGGGGCTGTTGTTGTTGCCATGGTGGTAATGGTGGCTGGTTATTCTGTCCCATAGGAGGTGGGGGAATAGGGGGAGTCATATTAGGAGGTCTATTTAACTGAATCTGTGATTGGTTAATCTGTGCGTTCATCAAGGGCTGTGGTGTACCCGTAAATCGTGTTGGAGCCATTGATATTGGTTGTCTCATTTGTTGATTATTCTGGGGTGGGGGCATCTGTTGCTGTTGTTGTTGCTGCTGTTGCTGCTGCTGTTGCCATGGTGGGTTCATAGCCTAAAATTAATGAACGATATTGCATTCTGTTATTATTATGTATCTTGCAAAAAGGCATGATTTAATAATAATTTATGTAACAATTGAGCCAATACATCACATACTCAAACATTTTATGGAATTTCAGGCCTCCATTTATTCCATATGCAGCAAAGAGCAAAGAGACAATGAATGATATGGTGCTACTAAAGGGACACATCGATCATTTCCATATTTTTAAACATATTAATTTGTTCCAAATTTAAGATTCAGTACACAAATTGGAAAATATAGGTTGCATTCCACATACAAACCCCATAAACTTGGAATGGAGATCTGTAACTTACCATAGGATTAGGAGGTGGGGCTTGGAATGGAGTTCTAAAGTTCTGTTGTATCGATGTTCTCATTTGCGTAGATTGTGTTGTTTTAGGTGGAGGGCCTTCCCCTAATTCAGCCATTAGTGACATATACTGGAAATGTATCAATATAATGTATGAAAAAGAGAAAAGTTAATAAATTCTCTGATTTTTACCACTTAATACAGTGAAAATGAGACTCTAGAAGACAAAATGTTCATATTAATTGTTTACTGCTTTATAGCCAATATTTTGATTGAACAGACAATGAGTATTATATAAAACCTTTCAGTATAAGCATTTGAAGATGAAATAGACATCACTTTAATTGAATATGACTGATTTCTGTACTGTACTTAAAGAAGCATTATTTAAGAGCTAAATCTGCTTATTGCAAGCTTTATTTTGGCTTCAAATGTTTTATAAACTATTAATTAGACATTTATACACGACAAGCCTATAAACAACTCTCTAGGACATTGAATGACCAAGATTTAAATCGATTAGAACACTGGTGAGATTATAAAATTTAAAATTAAAATGGATATTGAGACTTAGTCTACGGTACATCTTGGTCTATGGTACATCTTGTCAAAACTACAAACAATCATACCCTCGCTCAGAATAAAGTAAATTAAATGAAATTTTTAATATACTCATTATGTATTTTGGAACTATTATAGCAAGAATGGACAACTCTTTATCTAAATCTTACATAATGTTTCTTTAATAATTTATGACTGTCTAATTCTGTTATAGTATGTAGCAATATCTATATTACCTCGCTATCCATTTTAGCTTTATCAGCTAGTGATGTTACAGGTAACTGCGTCATACCTCTAAATGTATCTCCCGGTCTAAAAAAAAACACAATGGATAAATTAATTAACATGCTTCAAAGTTAAGATACATTAATCCTAGCCTGCATCAAGTGAATAGTTCAATGTTTGCACTTTTGATCATAAGATCTGTCATTGAGTCAAGTGCCATGGTTTCAATTCCCTCTTTTTAGGGTATGAGTAGGGTCCGCCCTAGGTTTGCTCCTCTAGTTTCCTCCCACTGCTAAATACCCCATTTCTCTTAGCCTCTCCCTATAATCTAAAGTGGTATCAGGTGTTCTTTCTGATACTCTGTTTGAAATTAATATTAAACTAATTCTATTGTCAATAAATAGCATATTGTTTATCACTGGCCTACCATATTGTATGGAAGACACTTACCGTTTTTGTTTACAATCTTGTGCTATATGACCAGTTCCTCCACACAGACTACATAGTATAGTGTTCGTTATAATATTCTGGGCTGCTTGAAGTTGTTTTAATTTCCTGAAAAAATTATTTTAAAATTGTCAATAGCATAAAAACTTCCTATCTAATAGTTGATAGAATGTTGGTCAATGTCAACCAAATTTTAAATAATAATTTAATTGGATGACATTATGTCAAGGTTTTCTGTAATGCAGGTTTCAGTACAAAGGTGGCATCAACATTGCTCCAAACAGCATTGTAGTTCTTGTGTGTAATATATCAGGTTTACTCAGTGGATCCAAACATTTGCATTAAATTTGCATTAGACCGACCGAAAACATGTGCGGAAATGCTGCGAAAACATGTATATGGAAAATAGGCCTTATAGTCTCACTGTACTAGCACATGTAAATTGCTTCAAATATTTATAGCATTAAGTATAAAACTTACGCTAAACCGTCATTTTCTCGTAAAGTACCATTAAGTAAAGCTAATTCTCGTAATTGTTGACGTCTCAGATCATTTTGACCTTCTGGTACATCAATACCTTGTTTAATTATAGTCTTTATCTGAAAAAGACAAAAGTAACAATATTTGAACTAGAATTCTTAAAGTAACAAGATTTCAAAAATAAGCTTAAATTATTCAATAAAGATATTTCGGAAAACTGAATATTGTGATGCAGATTGAAAATGTTCTGTATTTACAATTTACATTGTTTGATCACATACAATACGCTTCATAATTGTAATTCATATATAAATATTGAAATTTGAAATGAAAACCAACCTTTTCCACTGCTTTTTTAACATTTTCTGGATTATTAGCAGTGACATATGCATGTAGTGGCTCATCTTCACCAGGAAGAGGCTGACCATCTTTGCGACCAATCTTGCCTTCTTTAACTGAACCCTTACCCCGAATAATAATTTTAGCACCTGTCTGAAATAACAACCAATCATTTCAATGAATATCTGTTATTCTGAATTATTATGGTTAAAAGGTAATAATAATATTAATTCATGCTGCATGAGAAACATTACAGCATTTATTAATTTAGATCTTTATTCAAGTCCTAGTCATCGAATAATTTAGGCTCTGTGTACAGTATACTGTAAGGGCACAAATCAGATTGTTTTTTAAGCTACAAAAATTATAGATTTTTGATTTGAAAACATATACATCCATAGACATTGAAAGCACCAACCAAAAATATTCAAATTTGGGTTATGTTATCATTGTTAAATTTCTGTGAAATTTTCACACCCAAGCACAGTTTACACAATCCTCAGGCCGGCATTGTGTGGCCTCACAGCTGAGTGTTGAAACTCATTCTGGTTGGGTCTTAAATCCCTGGGTCCTTGCATAAGAAATTTTATTTCTGCAGTTGTCCATGTATACTGGTAGAACTGTGCAAGTGTGTCAAAGAGAGAGAGAAATGAGATTTTATGTCCACTCTAAAAATTACTAGGTCATTTCGTTCAATTTCATTTCAATAATTCACTTGCGCCTAGGGGTCTATAGCAGTGGGAGGAAATCAGAGGTTAAACAGGTGACCCTACTCCATGTCACGTATCAGCTGGGAATCGAAACCGTGCCACCCGAAATGAAATGACAGACTTTATGGTCTAAAGTGCACGCGTTAGACCACCCAACCCTCTTTTAATTCAGAAGAATATGGATCATACTTTAACAACAAAAACAGCATCAAATTCTTATTGTAGCCAACAAAGTTCCTACGGACAACAATTCATATAAATATTTCATTACTGTACGTACCTCCTTTTCTAGACACTTAAGTGTATTTCCACGTGGTCCAATGAGAAGACCAACAAAGTTGATATCTGGATGTTCATCTTGGGGTATCATAACCTTATCATTCACACGAACTATAAGAGGCCTACAAGATTCAACCATTAAACTAAATGCAAATCTTGGATATCATTAAAAGATTTGTAATTCCTAATTAAAGATACATTATGTAAGACTTAGAATCTTAGATAAACAACTTGTCATTCTTGCTATAATAGGTCATAGATAATGCAAAATGAATATATTGAAAATTTCATTCAAATTACTTTATTCTAAGCAAAGATATTGACCATTGATGGTTTGACAAGATGTGTGCATTGATTGTAACCGATTCTCCATTTTTAAATTAAATCATTAAATGGCCAAACTGTTCTAATCTACTTAATATCGATGACATCCGATGGCATAGAAAGTTGATTATGGTCTTGTCATGTTAATAAATGTCTAATTAATAGTTTATGTAACATTCAAGGCCTACAGAAAGACCTGCAATAGGCAGATTTAGCTCTTGCATAATGCCTATTTAAATAAGAAATAATTTAATGTATATTCATCATTATTTACTAAGATTTAGATAATTTTCAAAGTAAGAGAGCTATATCTACATGTATTTAACACAGCAATCAATAAGGGTCAGATTATGCTAACAATGTTCCAGAACATATTATACCACTACTCATTTGTCTGGGCAATTCACAATTATTATACAATACAATACAACTAGAAGCTAACAATTTAAAACCTACTTATAGTCTGCCGGAGGTTTATATTCTTTATTTAAATCTACCGCTTCTGTAACTAAACGATGTCTTTCTTCTTCCAATTTTTTCCGTGTACGATATTCTCGTGTATTCAACCGCTTTCCTTCATTATTATAGATTGGCTCTGGTGATGGAGATCTGAGGAAGAGGGGAGATAATTTATGTTTGCCAAAACTCATGCAATTGTAGGATATCAGATGAACTCTGATTTCCAGTGAATACAAGTAAAGAATGACAGAAGGGGAAATGGTTATGGGGTGCCAGTTTAAGGGATAATCATTAAGTAGGTGTGGAATTATTTTTATGTGTATTAAACTATTATGTGTTAATTCAAAATTAATTGAAGCAACTCAAAATTAACCAAGAACCAATTAACCGTCTCTTAACAATTAATACCAAAGCGAACTTCTTGTTTTGTTATTCCCTACTATAGATTAGGGAAATCAAACGGTAAGCATAAATCCATTGCCAATATAGTATTAAATATAGCTTACAGAGAATACAAAAACAGGCTATTTAAGTAAGATACAAGTACCACAAATTATGTGTGCGAGCATTCCAATAACCATTGATTAACATTTTAAATATAGCCTACTAGTTCTGGAATAAAAAAATTTACAAAATGACTGGGATATCGTTTTCAAATTAAAATGTTTGAATACTTTAGATCTATCTCTAGTAGTTCTGGAAAATGGGAAGGCAGGGCAGGAAGGGTATTTGGTCATGGTATCCATAAACTATTCAATTAGGAATTGTATTTTCAAAATTAATGATTGAGAAGAATATGAAATCTGATAGATTTGTTTAGGAGGAAAACTATTTTAAATGTACTATAAACAATAAACTGAGGGTTAGAAATATTACTGCTCAAGCAAAATATCATCCCTGTAGTTGAACCACCAATATATCTCCTTTCATTAGGTATTAAAGTGGCATTACACTTTTGCAAGTTCAAATATCTTGCATTCATTAATTAGCCTTTCATCATGCCAACTGCTATGATATTAATTTAGAAATTCTAGCATTTTAAGAGAACACTCTCAAATAATTAAAATCCCTTGTAATAATGTTGTAAACCGACATTTGTTAACCAGCTAATTTACTAACATGTGGGAGGTTTTCCAATACAGTAAGCTATAAAATGGCCACACTATATTATGGTTTTACACTACGGACAAAATTATATGGATTGATAATAATATTGCTACTTTAAAATTTCTGTTTATTTTAATTGAGAAGCCTGGGACAACATGTCATTGTTCAAATTCATGCAAATTTCATTAAAAAGAAACAGAATTAATATACATATAGTAAATCAATGATAAAGTGTGTAATATCATTATATCATAATCATGCAATCTGTCAATCATAATAAAAGTTCAAAAATTAACAAAAAAAGAAAAGAAATTATTGATTAGAATTAGGATATAAAATTACTTATGATAAAATATTCAATTGATCATATCTTTCTATATAAATAATATGGTGTCAAAAATAAAATATTAATATAGTTTTTTTTAAAAAAAGAAAAAGTTAACCAATTTTGTTTGTGTGTATTTTTGCATGACGTTGATCTGTCTTTCTGCTGTAAAATGAGATGTGTTATGATAATGGTCGCGTTCAAACCTGGCTTCTGGATTCGGCGGTATTCCCAAATCTCCTGTACGTAGCTTACGTGATATTTCTTCAATCTGTAGGTGCACTGTAACACAATGATTAAAGTAGGAGCAAAGGTTAACATTATATATACAATAAATAATTAATCAAACCAATCTGGACACATAATTATTTGATATTTGATTTCAACATATTTTCTCAAAATTTTTTTTAGCAATGTTTGTCCTTTTCTAGGCCAAAATATGTCATTAAGCAAACAAATTTCTTCAAAGCAGAAATATGACATTTTGATGGGGTTGGTATTTTCAAAAAGATTTAAGACAAAGTTTAATAATACTAATATGCCATTTTTATGTTTGGAATTTTTAGAAAGGTTCAAGACAAAAGTTAAAGGAAATGGATTATCCAGATTGACTTAAAAACATGTAGAATAAAGTTGTTTCTCCACCTAACTGTAAATCAAATAGTCTGTTATTACTTCTTACCTTAGATCTACATATATTCATAAAACAATTTTATTTCATTTTCTGAAATAACTACATGTAATTTAGACAATTTCAATAGTGTTTTAATTTTAATGATACATGTCTGAAAAATGGGTTTAAGTAATTAAATTTTTCATTAAGGTAGGTCCCCTAGTAGATTTGAAATTTATGATGGGTAATTCAATAGTCATATGGAGAGTAATTATCAATATTTAAGTTTTAAACTAACTTTTTAACATTTACAGATCAAGTTATTCTAAGCATAAACTATGAAAAGATAGCCACGCAAACAGTGCAAATACGCTCAAACAGCAGCTTTGTCTAAACTCCAGCTTATCCGAAAGGAAAGTTTGGAAGATGGGTAAATAAATGCAATGTAGCAAAACGCTTAATATTGACAGAGTGCATCATTTCATGAACCCAATGGTTACCACCTAATTTGATAGAAATCCATTAAAACATAGCATCTATCATGTTCACAATGTTTTTGGCAAAGGTGCAATAACTCTGTAAAGAAAAGGTAGAGAACACTGAATACTGACAGGGTTATCCTCTCATGACCCCAATGCTTTCCACCAAATTTGAAAGAAATCTGTTGACAACTAGAGCCTTTATCTTGTTCACAAGATTTTCGGCAAACAGAACAGAAATCTGTAAATCAATAGTGTTTGTCCTGTCGTGACCACAATGCCTAACAAGGTTTTCAGGAAAAGGGGCATAACCCCAGAAAGAAAAGTCGCGGAATGCTGAATATTGATAGAGTTTGTCTTCTCATGACCACGATGCTCCACACCAAATTTGAAGAGTCTGACAAAAAATCTAGCCTCTATTACGTTCACAACCCAATTGTCGACAGACAGGGTGATGACATAATATGCCAACACTGAAATATGGGCGTATAAAAATATATTTTGTAAGTGTCAAAAGCTATGCAAACACTTAAACCCTTGTGTGCATGAAAAATCAGTTCTTTTTAGATAAGACCTATTAGAGGTACATGTACATGTAAACTAAAAATAGTAAGTCCAATATTTGTTCTGATATGCATAATTTATAATATATATTTTAAAAGGTATACATGTATTGTTATTTATTTCATAATGTAAAACCAAATAAACAAAACTATCAAAAAATTGTTTTTTTAAACTATCATTAATATATTTAGACATTAACAATTTTACATGTATTTTGATTCTTATAATTATAAGTGTTTTATTTTCACTATTGTCAAAAGGTTTTATTAGAATAAATAAATTTTCAAAACCAATTGTTTACGGGGACCCAGCTTAATTTTCAACTGCAAATAAAAACTGATTACTTATCAAAAAGAAATTAATTTAGTTACTACTATCATTTTACATGTGTCAGCTTCACCTAAACTGAAATTTGAACGTTAGGGGAGAAAAAAGCAAATGTTGCAATTATTAATCCTGTTGAAAAATTGATTATTTTCTTTTGATTATTACATTATTTAATTTACCACAACAATGGAACATATTATGCAATTAAAATATAGGTATTTTATAGAAATCAAACTTAATTATTTGGTAATGTCATGTACATGTTTAATGATTTTATGTAGTTGACTTAATCTTAATCAAAGTTTAAAATAAACTGTGCAGCAATTACATGCAGTACTAAGTAATAAATACAAGTTATTATGCAGAATTTTAAACGACGAAAAAGATTAAACAATCAACATAGAATATACTATTCATATACTGAGCTTCACTGATGTTTATGTTGGGGGTCCACAGTACATTCTTTTACCAACTGATTTCAAATTATATTTCAAACCAATAGGTATAATCATGCAGCCATTCCATATTGTATACTAATACAATATGTAGATTATCCAATGACTTCACTATAAGTACAAAGTTTGACCATTGTTCTGAACCAAGTGTTACACTGAAATTCAATTTTAATTTTTTTTGCCAGAACAACTGTATAATTTACATGGAAACAATTTACAAGTTTACACACCTATATATTGTCTTTGTTGTTCTGTTGATAAGTTACATGGTAATGCAGCAGGCATCCCGGGTATGCTTGTTTTATCATCATCATCTGTGTTCCAGCGACTTTTTCTTTTACGCTTTCGTTCACTTGCACTATCTAATGCTAGAAAAACAAGACAAATATTATTACTATTTAATGTGGCCATACATGAGTCAATACCAAGGGCAATTATTAACAACCAGGTCCAGTTTGAAGACTACCAAAATTAACAAAGTTACCTATTTGAAGTCCATAGTATATACATATACTGGAAATTGGCACGGACAAACTGCAGTAGCCTATACAATATAGGTCAAATCCTGTTGGTAGTTAGCATGAGAATTCCATAGAATGCATGAATGAAACAGGGTTTAACATCTTTTCTGAACCAACCAGACTAATTATAATGGACATATAGTATGCTCTAAGGAAAATTTTGACGGCAGCAAATGAATTCCAACTGTCAAGGGTTCTAGGGCTACACACTGAACCACCATACCATGACTCCACAGAAAAGTAGAACTTGTCTTGTATATCCTGACAGACACCTGTACCGTACATGTATAGGTCAAACTCTCGACACCAATAATGATTTCAACTAGTAGACCTGCAAGCAGCACTGAACCAGCTTTCAGGAAGGAAACAGGAAGGAAGCATACGATAAGACCATTCATTGAGTTATCCAATGGTACTTTAGTTGTTTTGATCCGATGAACGACATCCAATGGATAAATTGCATTTTTCCCAAAAAACATCTATTTTTTGTGTTTCTTTCAAACTATTGGATATTTGTTTGACTACTTCCATTTTACGGATCATTGTCAGGATAGTTTCCTCAAGTGGTTTGGTTACTTAACTTCCTGCACCAGAAATTTCAGAAACATCCATTGAGAAGTTTTGAAAGAAAAGAAGAATAGAAGAGCATATTCAATAAATTTAGAGGTTGGCAACTTTTCTCAAAGATTGAGGGCTGAGGCCCTTTTTGAACCACTTTTATCATTTCAAGGCTATTACATCTTGATTCACACCCCTGGACCGCCGATAGGACTCTAAGTAACAGAAGTTTAAGAAAAGAAACAAGAAAGTACTTGATTTTCGGCGTGTCATATTTTGTTTCCAGATTATCCTATCTGTATTAATTGGGTATCATACGGTAGTCCAGGCATCGGGCCACGCAACAATACTTTAATCGGTTTAATGCTGTGATATCGGACGGAGGAATCGCATTTTTGCCAAAAGCATCCATTTTTTGTGGGTTTTTTTTAAATATTGGACATTATATCGACCAATTTCTACGGATCATTGTTGGGATTGCTTTATCCATATGGCTTTATGTTCAAGAAGTTTCAGAAACATCGATTTGAACATGGGAAGAAAATATGAAAAATTAAGGGTGATATATCTGAATTAAACTTATATTACTACAATCGTATTGACTTTTAGTATTCAAAAATGTAGGTCAAATTTGAAAGTTTTGAAAAATGACAAAGATTGTCTGATAAACAACTAGTTTTCAATTTTCATTGATAGAAGTGAACGACAAAGTGACGAAATGTTCAACTGCGATCGTTGTGGGAAAAGTCTGAGGGTTTCCGAAAATGTCATTTGTTTGAAAATAGGTAAGTGACGAAACTACGGCTGATTTTGTATTTTTGGGCACCTTACCCATTTATGCCACTGCCGGGCTGCGCAGAAGTTTCAAAAATAGCCTATGGAGTAACTATCACCATGGTTTCCCGATAGAAAATAGATCGCAGATCTGTACCCTATTAATATTAATAATAGGTTATCTTATTAGCAATGCAAAAGCTCGCTAGAGGCGCCACTGATACTATTTTTATCAATGTCAAAGAAACTGACTGTAAAATGTGTCGTTTTTGCTCCGCGACTTTGTGACGTCGAATGAACACCAACATTTTGGACTTTGCGCAGAGTTTGTGTCAAGCATGGTTTAGACATTCAGAAACGTATTTACGACTTATTTCTTCTATTTTGAAAAAATAAAATTATCAGGAAAAGGCAAAAATGGCGCTCGTCACTGAAAGTAAACGTATTTCTCATAGAAAGACCCTATATCAAAGAAAATAAATTATATAGCCCAAATTTAAAAATTCCAATAAAAAGTTAATGGTTGGATGGATGTTTCCTGAAAATTTGATGTCAGTATCTTCAATGGTTTCTGAGAAATTGTCTTCGGTCACTTTTTTTACATATTCAAAAAAAAAGGTGTATAGTATATATACTGACAGTGACATCGATCAATTTTGGGTCATTAGAATAACATTCTTATTTCTTAATCGATTTTGAAATTTTTTGGGGTTTCTTAAATGGGAGAGGGGTTGGAAAACTAGTAAATATTCAGTTTTAGTCAGATTCAAAAATTTAAAAACGCTTTTGCATTGCGAATCTTTTAACTTAAAGTTAGATCTAGGCATTCTACTGCCTCCACACACTGGGAAATAAGGATATGCAGTAAAAAAAATGGTAATAATAATAATTTTAGTAAAAACAATAGTCTTTCAAACGAAATATAATAATTCTCAATCAAGTCTAAGACTTTGGGTCTAGTTGGTACATAACATTGTATGTACTAAGACCACCACCACATTTTATAGTACATGTACTGATGTAGGTCAACGACCACATCACCATCATGACCATTCTTTTTATTTTTACCGTTGGTCGTGTCGGATGCGTTTCCCTAGAAAATATACATACCATCAGAATTCTCCAACTCTCTTTTTATAGTGCTGGTCACAAATGAATAATTCATCATAATTACAATAAACTGGGTTCTCTTATCTTATACTGAAATTAATTTGGAAATTAAAAAAAAGCAAAACCTTCAACGTTATAAGACGAATGGGTAAAATATGGCTGCTTTACATTTACTCATTTAGACAACGAAACGAAAAAGAAAAAAAACATTAACAAACTGTACATTTACTCTCTTTCAAGATATTTATGGAACACTGTGGTGTGTTTAGAAATGCTATATAAATATCCACTACACACACGAAGACTTATAATTCCAATAGCTAGTGAAAATATATTAACCTTTTATTCGTTTCGTTTAATGTTCATATCGTATAATCCAATCTTTTGAAATAACCAAATAAAATTGATTTTATTACGTAAACAATATTTACCGGCCGCGTTTTGTCAATGTTTTTAATAGAAATGGTCACAGCCATCCAAATGAATGTCCAAATAACATGCTTACCTTTCGAATAAATCATTAATTATCAGACAAAGGGAAGTTATAAAATTTTAAGGATTGTCTCCCCTGTGGCGCTTATTGCAATATGGCTGATGTAAACACGTGAAAACTGAATTGCTAATATCCAAAAAACAATATTTCAAGAAAAAGAAGTTCTGACACGGCGTTCAGTCGTTGTCAACCCACAAGATGGTTAAAGAACAATTCAGAGAAGCCGATGTGGCTAAGAAAATGTAATAACTTCATTAACCTGCCGGTGAAAATTGGATAAAAATGATGCAACGGCATAACCGGCAGATTTTGTTCAAGAATCAATGTGTTCTGTTGTTTTCAAGGGAGGGGGTGGGGGAGTTGAGTTTTTCTTGGTTCTGTCTAAGCCCTAGAGCCTGCTGTTATTGTTTTTAATGGAGAGGACAGCACCTCTTTATTAGCAGTAATGCTTGAGCAAGGCTAGTTCAGCTCTGGACATAAGTCTTGTTACACCCGACTTCAACCTGTCAGTGGCTGTACTGTACTCTGTGTAGGCTGTATGTTCAAGTACGGTTCAAATGGAAACTTTTTGAGTCCCCAATAGATTTTATTGGATCACTTTTTACTGCTAAACGGTTGTGTGCCAGTCTCTGTGAATGCCTGTACAATGTAAAGAAACATTTTAGTAGCAAGGCAAAGAATTTTTTTAAAATTTGAATCAAGACTGACTCGCGACCGTTTAGCAGTAAAAAGTTGTGCAGTAAAATTTACTGGGGACTCAAAAAGTTTCCACAAGGAGTCAATAGGCCCGTTCTTGAATGTACAGGGTGAATTTAACAAGACTTACGTACAGAACTGAACTAGAGCAAGGTTTGCAATTTAGCTTCTAGATCCCATGGATGGTTTAAAACAGTCTTTTGGCATTATTATTACTGGAGTAGCAACAATTAAAAATCTAATTTGCGTTCCTAGATCTCTGATTGTATACAGTGCACATGGGTAGTAGAAAGGGCAATAGAATTAGTATGTGTTGATTTTCAAAACTGTTCCAGGTTAATTAAGAAATGGCGAACACAGAGACACTATGCCTTTTTAGTCATTTGGATAGTACATCCTGGTACATATGGGCCTGACTAAAATGATATTGACCTTCATATTCACTGCAACATATTCTGCAAACCATATGCAAACTGATATATTTTGCCCTATTTCACAATAAATGGGTTGTATTTGGTAAATTGTTCTGCCTCAATTTTTCATCCAATTTTATAATTTCAGAAGCCATGTTACGTTTGGGATGATGAATTCTCAACAAATGCAGCAGGTTTCTCATATGCATGTTGTCAGTAAAAATCTCTACAATCAAGATGGTAGTCGAAAACCTGTTATCAATGGTGTTCTTGATCATAGAATGGTATACACATTTTTATTTCTTCTCTCCTATTTCCTGTTAAAAGATAATTGAAACATACATTTAATCAGAGGTATCAATATATCTAAAACCAGTGCAAGGTGTATTTGTTAATACTATGATTGTGTCTGTAGGCCTACATATATTTTGACATAAGTCTGTATTTTCGTTAAAGGTAGGAATTTATTTTTACAGGGAACCAGTGATAAGGAGAATAGTTGTGAATCATGTGGAAAAGGATTAGTTGATTGTATTGGTCACTATGGTTATGTTGATCTGGAACTACCAGTCTTTCATATTGGTTATTTTAGAACAACGATAACACTACTGCAGATGATTTGTAAGGTGAATGAATGTTTGTACCGTTATACTGCAATGTCTACAAACTAATGTGTAGATGTTTCATATTTTTGTTCCAGTTGAAAGAAGAAATTGCAATAAAAAAATGACAAAACTACATTTCAATTTTGAATGTTCAGAACATTAACTGTATTCAAAATATCTAGCTTTGAAATTAGGTTTGATGTTGTAAATAATTTCATAACATTAATCTGTTATCTTTTTAGCGTTGCAGCAACATTCTTCTTCATCCAACAGATAAAAAGAATTTTTTGGATGCTTTAAAGCGACAAGGAATGACCTATCTTCAAAAGAAGGGCATGAAGAAAAAGATACACGAAAAGTGTAGAAAAGTTACTAAATGTGTACATTGTGGAGAATATAATGGTATTGAAATTGGTGTTTTACATTTTTACTGAAGAGTAGTCTCTAATAAGTAATTTTATCGCCAAAAAGTGCACACCATGGCTGATATCTTCACTTCCAGCATATTTTCAATTGATCACGCTTCAAAATTTTAGGATCATAGATTTAAATCTATTTTTCCATCCACACTTTATTTTTAAAGCTTACTACAGAGTTCACAATAAATTTTTTAGAACTTGCTCAGATGGATTGATAACAGTGATTTTAGTTTTAACCCACACAAAGTTAACTGTGTTTACAATTTTATGTTAAATTGTAGGAATGACAAAGAAATGTGGTATGCTGAAGATTATACATGATTGTTATAAACCTGGTAGAAGAGGGGGAGAACAAATTATTGCTGAATTTGTTGGTTCATTTGAAAATGCTAAAAAGCACAATGGTGAGATTGAACCATTGCTAAATAAAGTTCAGGTAGGTTCCATGTCTTCTCAATAACTCTTTGTCATCTTATTTCTCTGTAATCAAACTTTCAGATGATTTGCTTGACCTAAATTTGGGGATTTCACTTCAAAATGTTTATTTTTAAGGTTAAATTCTTTGAAGTTTACATAGGCTAAGCCAGTTCCCCAATCCCATTCAGACATCCTGAATAAAAATATTGTTTTAAAAAGAAAAAAAGTTCTCCAGTCAGTCAATTTTCCTGCCAGTAAGTCAATTTTCCTGCCAGTAAGTCAATTTCAAGACAAGCAAATGACATGAAATGTTAGTGCTGCCCACTATAGTCTGTCATCTATCAATGTTTGTTTGATCCCATAATTGTGTATTACACGTAGTAGGGTAGTAAGCAAACCTTGTGCATCTTTATTTTAAAAAAAAACCATATATTATTTAATTCAGTTATCAGTATTCGACCAGACATTTACATAATTTATTTCAGGAAATTTTAAATCCTTTGGTGGTTTTGAATCTTTTCAAAAAAATTAAAGATGAAGTAAGTAAATACAAATTTTTATAGGTCTTTTCTATTTTGGGATTATTTTTCATTAAGAGTTTCTGGCCCATGTGAGTAAAAATTATTAGAATGAAATTCTCTGCTAATAGTTTTACTTTACCAACCAAAACTTCAAACTTTTAAAACCTGTCAGTACAGACTCATAATTGTTTTGCATAAACTTGTGACACAGGATGTTGCATTGTTGATTATTACATATTTAATTGTTTGTTTTATAGGATGTACCTTTGTTAATGATGAATCCTAATGTAGGTCGTCCAGAAGATATGATTCTAACTCGTATAGTTGTGCCACCTATCTGTATTAGACCTTCTGTAGTATCAGATCTTAAATCAGGAACGTAAGTTTTTCGTATCAAGCATGATGTGAACGGTAAAACAATAAAAATGGACAAACTTGAATGAATAACTATCCAAACCATTAAACTGTTCATTCACAGGTTCCATTACATATATATATATATATATATATGTTATGGAATTAAAACTATTTTATAAAAACATTGTTTATTTATTTATCAGAAATGAAGATGACATTACTATGAAGTTTACAGAAATTATATTTTTAAATGATGTAATACAGAAACATAGAGCTTCTGGTGCTAAGATGCAGATGATCATGGTAGATACTTAACAATTTTCTTCTTTGTTTTTAAATTAACCAAATAAGGTTTAAGAAAGAGAAGTGCTAAGTTTTGTTGCAGAATCTTTATCTCTAATAACAAATGTTGTAAATTTTACTCAACAGATAAATATATTGTTGGTTTCAGTATAAGTTGTTTTGGTCACAACAAAAAATCGATTACATACATTTGATTAATTTATGAAGTCTTTTTGGTTCAATTTTCAATTTTCTAGAAATTTTGAATCTTTCAAAATAACACATTTTCCTTATACATGTATGTTGATTTTTTTTATATTACTTAATTTTATTGTATTTGATATATTAAAGATGCATTATATGTAATTAATTTACAGGAAGATTGGGATTTTCTACAATTACAAGTAGCTTTACTATACAACAGTGAAACATCTGGTATACCACTTCATATGCAGGTAATTGTCTTTTACATGTGTTGATGCTATTATTTCTTCTTAGTCCTTATTATTGAGTTATAAGAAACCTAAAAATGTTTTCAAGGTTTGCAAAGTGCATAAGAATTGTGATTATTCGTATCAATATCTGAAATTATATTGTTTTAGCCCAAGAAAGCCTCCCGTGGATTTGTACAAAGATTAAAGGGTAAACAAGGTAGATTTCGGGGTAATTTGTCTGGTAAAAGAGTTGATTTTTCTGGAAGAACAGTTATCTCCCCTGATCCTAACATGAGAATTGATCAAGTAAGTATTTCTGCTGTCTGGGCAAAATTCACCTCTTTGAAGTTAAAGTCTATTCCATTCCTAAAATGATCCTACTTCAAAATCAGAACATGTACAATAACTGGGTGTTGTATATCAAAAGCTAATCTCTTGGAATATTTTTACTGTTTGATGGTTGATGAATAATGTTTTGTCATCTATATAGGTAGCTGTACCAGTTCTTATAGCTAAGATTTTAACATATCCAGAACGTGTTACAGCAGCTAATATTAAACTAATGAGACAATTAGTATTAAATGGAGCTGATACTCATCCTGGGGCTAATTTCTTACAACAACGTGGAAATAACATCAAAAGGTAAATCACATGAAATTATTTTCTTCGTCTATGGACACTTTTCTTTGATTAATGCATTTGTGAATACTCCACATGATAGTGAAAAAAACATTCATTTTAACAACCGTATGTCCTTAGAGCTGGATTCATCATTTGTAATGTATTTATGTAGTTAGGACTTTGGACTGTCAACACTGTTCAAATCCCCATGTGAACTGGAAAATTCTTTGGTTCTCACTTACATTGGCCGGTGCCTGTAAGGATGACATGAAAATTGTGTGTAGTTGTACGTATCATACGAAAAACAAGGCCTGTTTACAAATTGGTAATGCACATTAAAAATCCCTTGAAGAAGAGTATGTGGAAATGCTGCTTGGACAAAATTCTCCTCACAATGTACATCTAACCATAGAAGTAAAACTACTGTATCCTCGTAAAATGTTGACAAGATGTTCCATTCTCAGTAACAGTTTACAATATAAGGTACTTATCTCAAGTGAAACCCTGGCCACTCAGTAAATAAACCAATAGTTATAATGAGGAATGTCTATTTATATTATAGGTTTTTAAAGTATGGAGATCGGGAGAAGATGGCCAGTAGTTTAAGATTTGGTGATATTATAGAGAGACATATGATGGATGATGATGTCATTCTGTTTAATAGACAACCCTCTCTACATAAACTTAGTATACAAGCTTTTTATGTAAGTTGTAACTCTAATCTTCTAATCTTAACATAAACATAGCACCATATATCTGTAACTTTCAATTTCTTGGTATTAAGACCTCATATACTATTAAAAAAACAAATAAAATCTATTTATGGAATAACAATTACTATGATTTATTACACTAGGACGTTTCAACAAGATTTTACAAGTCGTTATCAAGTATATACTCACAAATAGGTTGATAATTACTTTGGAAAATCATGTTCACACCGCTGTGTAATAAATCATAGTAATTGTTATTCCATGAATAGTGTTTTATTTAAATAGGCTCCAATTACTAAATGCCAATCAAAGAATATGTACTATAATAGTAAGTGCAGGAGAGCCGCACTACAAGCAAAATAAAACTGAGAAAACAAACCTGCGGCACAAGGCAAACTACATAGACAATGCAAGAAATAATCAACAAATATCAAATCAAGTGAATGGATAATAATTAAATATTTAACACTCAGTGATGATCTTTAAAATAATTTTAATCAACTAATCTTCTCAAAATGTGCTAAATGCAATGGTTGATTGTGAATGACAAAATAAAAGCTTTAATATGGGCATTTACTCATTGGAATTTTCACCCTTTTTTTTAAAGATCTGATTGTCTGCTTGATATAACTTACTTGTATTGTGTTATTATTTACAGGCTAAGATTATGCCACACAGAACATTTCGTTTTAATGAATGTTGTTGTAATCCATTTAATGCTGATTTTGATGGTGATGAGATGAATCTACATTTACCTCAAACAGAAGAAGCTAAAGCCGAAGCCATTACTCTGATGGGAGTGAGTAGATTTAGCTTGATGGTTAAAAAAAAAAGATTCTAAATAACAAGCTCAAAGGGAATTCTTGTCTATAAACAAAACCAAACGGAACTAGATATTTTTTCTTGCATGTGTTATAATACACCTTTCAATAAAAGTTATGATGGACGAAACGTTATCACATAACAGATCAGCCATTTTGATAATATCACTTCTGATCTTGAAATGTGCCATGTAAGGTATTTGATCTGGAGTAATACTCAGTGTAATGATCTATAACTAAATCAAGTGGGCCCAAAATCAATACTAAATGTAATGTACAACTTAACTAAAGACAAATAAATAATTTCGCAATGTCAAGACGAGAATGCTGTTTTTAAAAGAACTTTATGAACTACAGTATCCAAACCACTATAGATCTTAACTGAAGAGACAAATTTGCAAAATATTTTGACATTTAGGCTTATGTTTTAGAAAATGGTTTACCATTTGTTTCATTTGAAATTATTTCAGTCAAAGTCCAATATTATAACTCCTAGAAATGGTGAACCACTGATAGCCGCTATACAAGATTTTATTACTGGTAGGTTCTGTTGTATTGTTATCCTTTTCAGGAGCACATCATTTTATCGAGACTAGTTTAAAACAGAACAAACACGCCATGTTCTATTCATCTACCCCGATCTAATATCTAGGACGAAAGGCATCGTCAACCATGTTGTATTGTTATCCTTTTCAGGAGCACATCATTTTATCGAGACTAGTATGAAAACACGCCATGTTCTATTCATCTACACTGCATCTAATATCTAGGAAGAAAGGCATCTCCACCATGTTGTATTGTTATCCTTTTTAGGAGCACATCATTTTATCGAGACTAGTTTAAGAAAGAACAAACACGACACATGCTCTACATCTCCCAGCATCTAATATCTAGAACGATCATGTATTATACTTTTCTTTATAATGAGTAACTAAAGGGAGATAACTGTGTGCACTACACATGGAATGAGCATACTACAACAGAGTACAGACGGTTCTTACAGGAAATATATATATGGTTTTCTACTATATTTAATCCATAATAAAACCAAAAAACATGACTATCTATATTGCTTCCAATATTGTCTTCGTTTCATTGCTTAGCAAATGTTCTTTACATTTCAAAAATTCCATAATGTTTTATGATGAGTATGCCAGCAGACCATGGTCTTACCAAAGTTCTCGAATTTTGAAGGATCTTAGAACATCAAACGACCATTTGAATTGAATTTTAGTCAATTGTATAACACCCATCACATTTTTGCCGCAAACTTTTATTCAGAATCTAATTCTCTCAATCATACAAAAAAGTAATATGATAATAATCTCCACCAGTCATTACTGCAGAAACACATTTGATTTTATCATGGTTCTATTAACACCACATCTGTTATTGGGACTGGCAGAACTCAATTTCATGTGACTCGCTTGTAATTCCGTCAATTCTTAGCTTTCCAGACTCTCCACCGAGGTCAACAATATTATGTCTGATAATTAAAAAATTTGTGTAAAAACATGCATTAGCATTGCATTAAATTCCATGATATCAAAGAGATACTTGATTGTAAGTGGTTGGATTTAAAATTTGAAACCATGGCTACCCCAAATTTTAGATAAATTACAATTTGTGTTGTGCAGTACGTTCCTTAAAAATTAATCTTATATTTGCTGAATTTTCTAGGAGCCTATCTTATAACACAGAAAGATGTATTTTTTGATCGTAGTAGAGCTTGTCAACTAGTCTCCTCCATGTTATCAGCTAAAGATGAAAAGACCAGAATAGATCTACCTCACCCTGCTATATATAAGGTCAGTTATATGTTATTAACATAATTTATACTCATCGATCAACAGATTTGATACAAAAAGTGGCTGGAATTTGCTTTAATGCCTTTATAAGTATATATGCAAGGCAGAATATTCTGTTATCATTAATCAGCCTTTTATCATTCTATTTGCGAAATGTTCATGTAAATTGTGAAATTGTAACATTTTAATCTCAAATAATGTCTATTATTTATCTTCTTTTTATAATGTCACTTATAGACGTTATATCTATTTCCAACTAATTTATAGGGTTCACTAATAACAGACAGCTTTATGAATAACATTCACTAGGTTTATTAACTGCAACATTTCAATGAGGACACTCTCACCGTTATGAAGCAATGATACAATCAACATGTTACAGAAGGTTATATACAAACGGACAACAATAAACTAATTAACAATTTGAAGCTGAAGCCATTGGAAGTCAAACCATTCAAGATTCAATAAGTTTGTAGATGACAATAATATACCCCGGGGCCGGGTAGTATACTTTAACTTGATGCAAATATTTGACATATTGCTATTTTAAATGTCAATTTCTGAAGTTTATGTACATAACACTCATACTGTGTAATCTTTATATTACAGCCATGTAAATTATGGACAGGAAAACAGATATTTAGTTTATTAATACGTCCTAATAAACATTCACCAGTTAAAGCTAATCTGAGAACTAAAGGCAAAAATTATACTGTTGGTGAAGATCTGTGTTATAATGATTCATGTAAGTACTGGTTAATCAAAGCTCATATACAAAAACTGGATTACTTATTCATAAAATTAAAGCATATTTCAGTAATAAGTATTGTATCTGTTTCAAAATGTTTAGATCTTGTTTTATCGAAGTATTAATGGAGGAATTTTAATGTCATTAAAGATGCATTATGTAAGATTTAGATAAAGAGCTGGTTTTTCTAGCTATGATAGTTTAAAAAGGGATAATAGCGTTGACTTGATAATATACAAAGTCTCAATTTTCCATTTTTTTCGCTAGTGTATGGTCAAATCCAATTAATATCCAAACCATCCGATGATCTAGAGAGTTGATTATCTGTTTGTAATGTTAGTAAATGTCTAAAAAAATAATTTGAATAACATTTAAATTCAGAAAAGAAAGACCTTCATTAGGCAGATTTAGCTCTTACATAATGCACCTTTAAAGTATTTATGCTTTTAGCTGCAGGCATTTCATTAAGCATAAAACATGTTTTGCACATGCTTGCCAAATGCTAAGAATGCTTTGTGTAATATTTCACTTTATTTCAGTTATTGTAGTAAGAAACAGTGAGTTATTATGTGGTGCTATGGATAAAGGAACTCTGGGATCAGGATCTAAAGCTAATATTTTCTACGTCATACTACGAGATTACGGTGAAATATATGCAGCTGATGCTTTATCAAGACTCGCTAAACTCTGTCCTGCTTACCTATGTAAGTACGTTTTTGTTTCTTTCAATGGTTTCAACCATTTCTTGTGAACACTCTACACATTTTATTTATCATCCCATCTTTTTAGAATTATATAAGATAGAGATGTTTATTGCATCAATGTCATAAAGTACAGAATGCACACAGGTACATTTAGACAGAATCACTTATGTTGATAACATTAGTCAGACAAAGAAGCCTATTGAATTTCAACAATTGCTATTAATTAGCCCTGCTTGTAGTGTTATGACGCTCCTTTTACTTATTAACAAAAATTACTCGAACAAACAAAAATTATCATATGGTCTGTCTGAAATTTATATCCATTATTCAAATTTGTGAAAAGAAGAATCCTACTGAATTTCGGTTATGGACCTTGTTTCTCTGTGTAGAATCTTGTGAACACTCTTAACAGGTTGTAGAACCTTGTGAATGCTTTAACAGCAAAATTCACCTTAAGATTTACTGAAACGTATCTAATATTTTCAAAAGCTTCAATATTACTTCACATTTATATTACATGGATACAAATATTTATTTATAGTACCTTTATATTATAACTTCAGAAATTAGGATTGATTTTTTGGGAGAAATTTTCCTATTTCATGAATAAATGTTTTCTCACTTGAATCCATTAGTCCAGTTTCTGAACTTGGTGAAAATTAAGTGATGGTTTTTTTTCTGTATTTTCAGCTAATCGTGGTTTTTCCATAGGAATAGGGGATGTAACTCCACAGACTGGATTGATCAAGGCTAAAAATCAACTGCTGGATGATGGGTTAGATATTACATTAATTTGGTTTTTTTCCTTACTTATTCCAAATTGTAAATGAAATTGATCATGATATTGAAGTGCAGTTATTTTTTAATCTTGTAGATTACCCTTTGTATTAATATTATATAACAGTAAATTCAAGTTTACCGAATTCATTATCTTTTCCGTATTCTATTAGACTTGGATAACTGACTAATTTTGTCTCTAAAATGTATGGAATAGACATTATACAGATATTAAATAAATCTCAAATATTTTATTCTAAACAGCTAACGTCCGGGACGTTATTTAATTATAGGTATACAATGTGTGATGGATATATCCGAGATTTAGAAGATGGCAAATTACAAACACAACCTGGTTGTTCTGAAGAAGAAACTCTTGAGGTAGGATACTAAATAATGAATTACATTTTTACTTATTTAAGTTTTCTAAATTAGGGTTCTCTTAATGAAGTTGGCTTAGTGGGTAAAGACACTGACTAGCTAATCAGGTCTCGTGTTCACTCTCTATGTTGGTTTCCCACTTATCAGACGTGCAGGATGGAGGACCTGATGACCTGACAAGGAACAGTGTCTATTTGTTTGTTGGGACAAAAAATGGTTGAGGTCTAGTGTACACATTTACAGGCATGTAACAGAACCTTTGATATTTTGAATTTCGAATTAGGGTAGGTCATAGTGGCTCTGTCCAGGCAAAATTTCCCTCGAAGCACACTGTATGGCATTTATCTGTTTTCATAAGCCAAGCAGTGCAGAAAAGTAAGACGTTAAACCCCCTCTTCATTTTATTTCTTAATGAAGTTATTTTTAACAGCTGATTCCTGTATCTATCTGATTAGTATTGAAAGTTATTCCTGAGAAATCTGTTTGTTTGTGAAGGATATGTTTTAACTCTATCACACATCATTCCTTATAGATTAAAAATATATATAGTGCAATATTTGTTTGTTACAGGCTATGATATTACGTGAATTATCTGTTATTCGAGATCATGCTGGTAAAGCTTGTTTAAGAGAATTACATAAAAGTAACAGTCCACTCACAATGGCTATCTGTGGATCAAAAGGTATATTATGAACTATAGTATATTTTTGGGGGGCAAGAAGGAGGCTTTCATTTTTTTGTAGTTTATCTCATCATATTTTAATTTAATTATGCAAAATCGACCTACTTAAAGCTATAATCCTTAACATAAGAGTTACAGGTTTTAGAATAAATGCTGAAAAGTGTATTTCCTAGAGGATCTATACATGCTGGGGGAATCAGGAAACGTAGTAGAATATGTAAGTAAAGGAATCAGATTGTGTTTTCATATAAGGTGTTTACAGAAAAGTAAGACGTTAAACCCCATTTTTTTTATTTATAAGTTTAGCCCTCGGTTGACCTTCATCATATACATTCTCTAACATAATTATCATTCTAGGATCATTTATCAATATATCTCAGATGATTGCTTGTGTTGGTCAACAGGCTATCAGTGGACATCGAGTACCTAATGGTTTTGAAGATAGAGCTTTACCTCATTTTGAGAGACATTGTGAGTTAATTTTTCTATACAAATGTCTTAATTAATTGAAGAGAACTGCGGTTGCTCAGTGAGTGCGATGCTGGCTCACTAACCAGAATAATTTGCTCCTGGGGTTGGCCAAGGAAGTTCCTCAAGATTTTCCTGCGAGGTTTACCCATGTCAATGGTGTAGGACGGAGTGCCTGACAAGGAACAGTATCTGGTCGTTTGAATGGGACAAAAATTAAAGTATTGTTTTCTTAAATATAACAAGTATACAAATTTTTATATAATCTAATGATTGCCATGTCACGACCTTACAGCTAAAGATCCTGCTGCCAGAGGCTTTGTAGCTAACAGTTTTTATTCTGGTTTAACACCCACAGAATTCTTCTTTCATACTATGGCTGGTAGAGAGGGTCTAGTAGACACAGCTGTCAAGACAGCTGAAACAGGGTATATGCAAAGAAGACTAGTCAAGGTATTTGTCAAGTAAAACAAATAATAATTACAGTCATACTTTTGGAGCTACATTAATTTTAACTTGCCTTATTTACAGCTGGTTATGTTAGGTCCCCACTGTCGTGTGATGCATTACGTTACGATTGTCCCTATTGAGTCCACGATCTGGTACGTGCAGATACGTTCGGATACGTTTCAATACGATCAACACGACTGCTACGACCGACCTCAATATATAATAAGACCTGATAGGATCATCATAATTTATTAATTACTCACGATTAAAACCATGATTTCAATCATAGCATAAATCGTGATTGTGGGAACCTAGCATTAGACTAGTACACAAGTAATCATTGCTAAATCTGCCTATTACCGGTCTTTTCTCTGGCTTCAAATGTTATATAAATTTATTCTCATAATCAACTCTCTAGAACGTTGGATCTGATAGATATTGAGTGGATTAAGCAATGTCTGTAATATCTACATTAAATGATAATATTCATAACACTCATGAAGACTGCAGATTGAAACAAGACTTTGTGTATTATCATGACAATGGTTATATTGACAACTGATACAAATTTAGACTATTTCTTGTTATGGCAAGAATGGCTTGCTCCTTATCTAAATCTTACATGAAAAGAATCAGCAAGAAGATTTTAGATGTTTGGCAATATTCTAATTATTATTGTCATTTGAGGCTTAGCTTCTTTAAACTGTTTCACGGAAAGAGTGAATATTCTATTTTATTATAGTCATTAGAAGATTTATGTCTACAGTATGATATGACTGTAAGAACATCAGTAGGAGAGGTTGTACAATTTGTTTATGGTGCAGATAATTTAGATCCAGCTGCTATGGAAGGAAAAGAAAAACCAATGGAATTCCACCGAGTCTTAGATCATATTAGAGTAAGTTTATGTCTTTGTATTATAAAAAGAAATTCACCTAATCTCCTAAATTACATTTACTGCCAATATCATTATTTAGTACCATGTTGCCCAGTTTCTATACAGACTGCTTATAATATCTATTTCATTAGGCAACAACCATGGATACATACAGAGAAGAACCATCACTGGATGGACCTCTACTTCTCTCTACGACACAACATCTATTATCTAAAACACCATGGACAAATTGTTCTAAAGATTTTATTAAAGAGATATTGTAAGTATAAAGACAAAGATTCATTGTCTTATAAATTCAGCTTCTAATAAATTTCTATCTATGTAATATTATAAAGATATTTGTGCATGTCTGCCTTGGAACATTTAGATCATATATAGAATTTGTCATGTCTAAAGGCCCGCTCTCACGGTGCGACTTGTAGTAACTATTTGTAGTATCTACATGTAGTATCTACATGTAGATTACAAAATCGTATATAAATGAGTTGATACGACTTGGAATCTCGCAATAATCTCGTCTTGTCTTAGCATAATGGCGTGATCAAACGACGAAGAGACGCTGGCTATTATTGCCCTACATTTGATAAATAAGAACAACAAAAAAAAAGAAAACCCAAATCCGTCTGGGTTAGACAGTGGATACTGCGTAGACCCACTCCCTATTACGTGAACTTGAAGAAGAAGACCCTCTCAGTTTGAAAAACTTTCTGAGCGCGTCCATGTTTACCAACAACAAAGGGAGAGAACTCGTGTTTGTACTAATACTCGACGTTTCTGATTGGTCAATTTCATACGATCTGTTGACTGAAATAGGGAAGTTTCTATTTCGCTCAACTCGCTTTCAACTGGTTGGGAGCTTGTAAAAGTTGGTACGACTAGAGTGTTCTCACACTGCATCTCGGGTCGATACTACAAGTAGTTACTACAAGTCGCACCGTGAGAATGGGCCTTAAAGGTAACAGTGCACCCGACGATAATTTCAATTATCTGGACATAGAGATCATAATTTTAAAATTGTGGCTTATGACATTGCCTGTGCAGTGGTCGTATTTTGTGGATTATGGTAAAATCCTTTTTGTTGCAGTATTGCATCTGATGAAAATTAGCCTTTAATCTCCTGTACATGACAATATTAGTTAGAAATCAAACTTCTTGGCACCACAGCTAACCCAAAGAGATATGTTTTTATCCAAAACATTTCTGTCATGTTCCATATACGTTAGTGAAAGTAGATTTTGAAATAAGGAACAGTTGTAATATTACACTTTGGGTTTTTTCTCAGAGATTTTATAAAGAAAACAGCCAATAAAATAACACAACTGAGAGAGGAGTTTTCTGGAGGAGCACTGAATGAAACCCCTAAAGGTATGTCATACATTCATAATTTAGTTTTATTGAGTTTGAAAGTAGATGACCTATTAGTCTAAAACAGGTCTTAATGTTTTTCTTCAAAATTACATTTTTAGGGGTTTGGGGAAGGAGAGGTAGAAAGGTTAATGCTCCAAAGCTATATAGTCGCTGCACAGTTATTATATGTGAATAGTAATGGGGTCATGTTTTTCTCCATTGCTTGACTAAAAGACTAAAAAATTGGTATTGTTATATTAGACCTAAAATGATCTACTTTTGTGATTGTTAAACCTCATTTTTTTTTTCCTTCCTTTACCTTTATCTTTCCATGGGCCAAATCAACATTGACATTAACAATATATTATAATAGATTGTTATTTAAATAAGACTTCAGAATAAAACCGAAACATTTTGATGGAATAAGCCTAGATTGAAATAATGGATTGAGTCTTATTTTTCTTTCAGTTATTTATGAATTAGAGAGAGTAAGTCAGAGTCAACTGGAGAAATTTTTAGAATGCTGTCATGATAAATTTATGAGAGCTCAAATAGAACCAGGTTAGTTTATTCAAATATTTATTAATTAACTAACTTCTTTTAGCGGAAAAGAATCGTGTGGGTTCCCATTCTCGTGCTTGTGAGAAAAGTAGTACTTCGGTTGACTTTGTTGTGTGTACAAATTGGCAGTGTATAAAATTGAAAATGGGGTAATTGAAAATGCTACTCCCTAATCAAAATCCTCCTGCTATACATTCAACATCTGACCATAGAAAATACCATATGTTAGTCTCAAAGTAACCAAAAGTAGGTATAGTAGTTTGTAATTTATTTAATGTAATTGTTGATGTATATAATATTCCAGGAACAGCTGTGGGGGCTGTTTGTGCTCAGTCTATAGGTGAACCAGGTACACAGATGACATTAAAGACTTTCCATTTTGCTGGTGTTGCTTCCATGAGTATCCTTTACATCTATATATCTAAAGAATGTGAAACAGACATGTGATTGTAGATGATTTTATTGAAATGAAAATTTAATCAAAGTCTAATTACGGTAGACAGTGGAGGATCTGCTATGAAACGTATAAATTTAAGCTTGTTGTTTGGGTTGATGTAACAAGGACAGCTGTCTAGTCGTTCGGATGGGACGGAAAACCGAGGTCCCGTGTACATATTGGCGTGCACGTAAAAGATCCCTTGGCAGTTGGAATTCGATATAAGAGTAGGACGGCGAAAGCCCGTCTTCATTAGCCCAGTTTAGGAGCAGAACAGTAGGACGTTAAACCCCATTTCATTTCTCTTTTGGGTTGATGTAGCTCATGAAACTGAATATTATATATTGTCGGTGGGGAATCAAATTCTCCAGAATGAGAATTTTCTTGTGCATCTTTTCATCTAGTTGTCGTTTTTCTAAGCCAATAAAAAGAGGTTTTATAGATATTGTTTCAAAATATTGTGTATGGGATGTTCCAAAATAAATGTTGTTGAGCCACTACTGTGTGAAATCTATGAAATTGAAGCAGGTAAAGGTGAATTTTTTCCCTAAGGTAGCAAATAACTAGCTTTCACTCTTTATTTCTGCGCTAGATGTTTAGCTCAAAATATGCGGATAGCTACATATTGTTTAAATGGCTACACATACATTTTGTACAGAAATATTTGAGAAAATCTTCAGAAATACATCATTATACATATGATATTTTGACGTGACATTTTTATAAGACATTTTGATTCTTAACCTCTATGTGATTTTTGGCTCTCCTGAACAATTTTGCAAAACCCAGATATGACTCCCCACCTACTATATACAGGTCTAGATATGTCCTACAAATCACCATTGACATCCTGACGTTTCAAAACCTTTTGGTGGAGAGACCCAACCTCCCCAAACCAAATATTTAGCTTTAAATTCTGCTCTCATGAATAGATTATGTTTTCACAATTCAGGTATTTATCTGAATCAATGAGATATTGATTTAATACAACTCTAAGATTAAATGTGTAAATAGTTTTTGTTCACTTTAACTTTATAAAAGATATCACACTTGGTGTACCTAGAATTAAAGAGATTATTAATGCTTCTAAAAATATCAGTACACCTATAATAACAGCTCAGTTAGATGTTGAAACTGATGCTGAATTCGCTCGAGTTGTAAAAGGTAGAATAGAGAAAACTACATTAGGAGAGGTAAATAGAATTACTAGAATTTCAATAGTATCTGTTGCATCAAGACCTTGTTGTTTAAGTATATAATTATCTATAAATATGCATTACTAGCGGTTGACCCCATTTTGCAGGTGGTAAAGCGTTAAACTGGAAGTAATATAACTCTGGAAGTGGTAGTGTATAACCACAGGCCTATGTCACTCCCCGGCAAGAGCTGTCTTTCTACTAAAATTTTCAGACTCTTTGTACCCCAAATATTAGACTCTGGGCAGCCCTAGTGTAGTGGCTAATAGATTTAGATCATATAATAATTTATCGGTATGCGTCTCTAATTTGATGTAATATTTAGTTGTATATTTGTTATAATATTTTGTAGGTTTCTGAGTATATAGAAGAAGTATATATAGCTGATGATTGTTTTATACTAGTTCGTCTTGATTTAGATAGAATTAAACTATTAAAGGTAACATTTACATAGATCCAATTTATTAATACCTAATGTGTATTACACCCTTGGTGTGTTGAATGAAATCTAATGTGTACTACACCCTCAGTGGGTTGGGTGATACCTAATGTATACTACACCTTTGGTGTGTTAGGTGATACCTAATATATACTACACCCTTGGTGTGTTAGGTGATATCTAATGTGTACTACACCCTCAGTGGGCTGGGTGATACCTAATGTGTGCTACAACCTCAGTGGGTTGGGTGATAGCTAATGTGTACTACACCCTCAGTGGGTTGGGTGACACCCAATGTGTGCTACAACCACAGTCGGTTGGGTGATAGCTAATGTGTACTACACCCATTGTGTGTTGGATGAAACCTAATGTGTACTACACCCTCAGTGGGTTGGGTGATACCTAATGTGTACTACACCCCTGGAGTGTTAGGTGATATCTGATGTATACTACACCCTTGGTGTGTTAGGTGATATCTAATGTGTACTACACCCTCAGTGGGCTGGGTGATAGCTAATGTTTACTACACCCTCAGTGGGTTGGGTGATACCCAATGTGTGCTACAACCGCAGTGGGTTAGGTGATAGCTAATGTGTACTACACCCATTGTGTGTTGGGTGATACCTAATGTGTACTACATCCTTTGTGGGGTGGGTGATACCTAATGTGGGTGATATTATTGTATGAAACTAAGACACCACATCCCTCAAGGGGTGTAAAATAATGTATTTTTTTTTATATTATTTTACTTTTAGCTAGAGGTAAATGCTGATACAATCAAACATTCTATCTGTACATCAAAACTTGGAGTCAAATTTCAGGTAAACATTTTTTGGGTCACTTACTTTTTACATGATGTTTTTTCTGAAGAAGATCACCTGCCAACATTATTGTGTATTTTTACTATAGCCCCAAAACAGGTTACTAATCTCAGTCTAGTCTATAATAATTCTTCTAGTGTCTTGATTGATTGGGCAGTGAAAGCTCATCAGGACTTTCAGGCTTGATTACGACTTGTCAATGATGCAGGTCAGAGGTCCTGTATACACCTAAACGAACCCTTGACAGTTGAAATTTGATATAAAACTAGGCCATAGCACCACGGTTGAGGCAAAAGTTCCCTCATCATAAAACACTTTATTGTGTATGCCCATCTTCGTTAGCCCAGGTGGAGCAGAAAAGCATGACGTTAAACCCCATTTCATGTTGTTCCCAGTTGTATAACAAGTTTCTGATCACAAGACACCTATACTATTTGATCTAATTTATCTTTATGGTATTTAGTGACCGTTATATTCTGAATCATTGATTCTCTTATCATTATTGGTATTTTGGTCGTAAACTCTTTAAGCTAAATATTAGAAATAAGCTAAATTTACATCCAGAAGAAATACAAAAGGGAGATTATAGCTTATTTAATGCCTATTGAATATTCATTTCTGCTGGTCATTTTATTTAAATTCTTCTGTGGAAAACAGAATATAAAACATGGTTATTTTTAAAATTGATTAATGTGTTTTCAGGATATTGAAATCCACACAGATAGTGTACTAACTGTAAGTGCTAGAGAAACAAGTAAAAGTTCTATGTATTACATTCTACAAAACCTAAAGAAGATGTTACCATCTGTCATGATCAAGGTATATATGTTTCCATTTGTTATGACTAAGATATGTTTGTGTTACGACTATCGGTAATGTATGTTTTCATGTTATGATTAATGTGTATTTCCATTGTGTTACAACAAATGTGTATTTCCATTTATTATGACTTAGGTATGTTTCTGTTATGACTATCGGTAATGTGTATTTTCATCTGTTATGACAAATGTGTATTTCCATCTGTTATGACTAAGGTTGTTTTCATCTGTTATGTCCACTACCTTACACATAACCAAAGTGAAAATATGTCTCAACGTGACCAATTATTCCATTGATGAGAATACAAAGAACACATGGTTTGATAAAATTAAAGATTGATGGTAAAGTTATTTATATTTTATTTAGGGTATTACTTCTGTAACTCGAGCTGTTATCCATTTTGATGAAAAGAAAGGAGATAACTCATATAAACTGTTAGTAGAGGGAGATAACTTGCAAGCTGTTATTGCTACAAAAGGTAAGAAAAAGGAATATTCCTCCAATGAGTGCTTATTTATAAACCCAGTAGTGCAGGCCAAGAGTAATGTATAATGAAATGTAATCATTACACAGTTCGAATGAAATTAATAGTGGGACATTTAATGTCTTGATGTATCTTTTTAAGACTAGGAATCCCTTGCAAACTACAATATTGTGAAAGTTTAATCTCTAATAGGAATATCAGCCCTAAAGGGGTTCAATTCTTTTCAGTAAATTGAAATTTCATCAATCTATGCTGCTCACTGGTATTTTATCATGGGCGAACAGTAATGACAGGCCTTTTTTTTAAATCCGATTGAATCCAAGCCAGGAGGTTATCTAGTTTTGGTATTTTGATTGCTTTCTTATGTTAAATAATCAATCTGATTACTTATTAGCGTGGATTAAGCCCAGAGAAATTTGATATTTTCGCAAAATATGCAAATAACACATCGTTAATTTAAACAGGAAAGAAAAAGTAATTAATTACATTCCAAATATGTAATGGTCAACTACATTTCAATTTAAACATCAATTAAAATAATGTGTATCTTACGTATATTAAATACATTAGATTGTAACGTAATGTTTATCTTGCATAAATTCAATACATTATATTGTAACGTAATGAACCCACCTGGGAATCACATTGGCTCAGTGCCTTAGACGCTGGCTCGCTAACCAGGTCTTGGGTTAGCTATTGTATTGGCTGAGAAATTTCCTCAAAATTTTCCCACATTGCTTCCCCCCTTCTCAGTGGTACAAAACGAAAAACCAAGGTACTATGTGTTGGCTTGCACGTAAAAGAAACTTTGACAGCTGGAATTTGAATTAAGAATAGGCCATTTCCCTTATTGTACACTGCAGAAAAGTAGGACATTAAACCCAATTTCATATCGTTCCCCGGGCCTCCTGTATGGTCATGTTAATAAAGATTATATGTATATATTTGTAGGTGTTAAAGGAACCCATTCTACATCTAATAATACATATGAAGTAATGAAGACATTAGGTATAGAGGCAGCTAGAACTACTATCATGAATGAGATTATATATACTATGGTCAATCATGGTATGAGTATTGATATTAGACATGTTATGTTATTAGCTGATCTTATGACCTTCAAGGTAAGTTTTTACTGACAAGCACATCCAAATAAATAATATTTATAAATGTTTTAGGGGCCAGGATATTTATTAAAAAAATATGACAATTTACGCCTATTGACAAGAAGACTTATTTTACTGACTCCATTTATTTAAAAAAGGATGACTTAATTTTGAGAATTTATTTATTATGCAATGTGTATTTTAGGGTGAGGTATTAGGTATAACTAGATTTGGTCTGGCCAAGATGAAGGAAAGTGTTCTTATGTTGGCTTCTGTAAGTATATCATATGGATTTTGATGTATTTAACTATTACACCATTGTAGGATAATTAATGACTAATATTCAATGGAAAACACCTGATATCACTTCTTATTTATCTAGTTCATTGCCAAAAAATAAGGTGCCCCACATAGCCAAGAATTGACTCTAATATTTACATGACAGAGAAGCAGCACATACATTATCAGTAGTAGCTTGTATTAGTCTATATAAATAGTCATCGCATGTGATTTTGTCAACACATCTTTTGATTTACTACAATTCACATCTGTAGAGCCCAGCATTTATAAGAATAGAATACTAGTCATATTTTCCTTTGGCTTTTACAAGGTTCTTTTTAACTGAAGGGTTCTGAATTAGATTTTTATTCTAGCTTTCTGTAATGTTTCATATTGTATTTTTGTCAAATTACACCCATAAGATGGAATTAGAAATGTTGTATTATGTATTATATACTGTACTTTAAATGCTTTTATTGTATTTTAACTTATATTATTTATAATCTATTGTCAGGGTAATCTATGTATAAAACTGTATGACTGATGTTTAATTATTTATATACATTTCAACATCTCAAGATGCCTATGAAGGGCAGCCAGTTGGCTTATATCTATTGTAGATATAGAAGTACTTGTATTTCTGTTCAGATGTTATAATGTATATAAATAATTAAACATCAGCCATATAGTTTTATACATACGTTGAATAATAGATATCCATGTTTGACCTGTTTACACTACAAAAGAATTAAATGTTCTGTTCTTGGCACTCTTAAAATTTATAATGTAAATGTTAAAATTTATAATGTAAACAGGGTTTAAGTGCAGTGGCGGATTAAGCTCCACCAAGGCCTGAGGCGTCAGTTGCTGGAGGGCCTATTTAGTTTTTAAAGTTAGAGCCAAGGTAGTTGCTAACATTAAAGATAGGTTGCCAGGCAACGAAACATACGCCCACAGAAGCTAAATCGTCCGGGCAGTCAACAAGTGTTGTCGCATATTTTTACTTCTTTCGGTAATGAAACATTTATAATACACTCATGAAGTAATTATCAGAAAACCATTAGAATTTGTTTGGTTTTTAATATCATGGATTTAGCTGTTCAAGTCATAAAAATTCATTGAAAATAAATATACTTGTTCGTCTCAAGCTCTTAAACTCTGTGTATCAATCTGAAGTCAATCGGATGATAACTTTAGCCTCTAGAGCGTCACAAGATTTTTCAAAGTGATCAAGGGCCATAACTGTGACAGTAATTATCGAAAATCACTGAAAATGAATAGACTTCTTTGTCTCATGACCTTAAACACTGTGTATAAATTTAAAGTCAACCGGATATTGACTTTGGCCTCTAGAGTGTCCACAAGATTTTTCAAAGTGATCATGGGCCATAACTCTGGCAGTAAATATCGAAAATCACTGAAAATGAATAGACTTCATCTCATGACCCTAAACACTGTGTATAAATTTAAAGTCAATCGGATATTAACTTTAGCCTTTAGAGTGTCCAAAAGATTTTTCAAAGTGATCAAGGGCCATAACTCTGGCATTAATTATAGAAAATCACTGAAAATGAATAGACTTCTTCGTCTCATGACCTTAAACACTGTGTATAAATTTAAAGTCAATCGGATATAAACTTTGGCCTCTAGAGCGTCCACAAGATTTTTTTGAAGTGATCAAGGGCCATAACTCTGGCAGTAATTATAGAAAATCACAGAAAATATACTTGTTCGTCTCAAGCTCTTAAACTCTGTGTATCAATCTGAAGTCAATCGGATGATAACTTTAGCCTCTAGAGCCTCACAAGATTTTTCAAAGTGATCAAGCGCCATAACTGTGACAGTAATTATCGAAAATTTAACGTCAATTGGATATTAACTTTGACCTCTAGAGCGTCCACAAGATTTTTTGAAGTGATCAAGGGCCATAACTCTGGCAGTAATTATCGGAAATCGCTGAAAATCAATAGGCTTCTTCGCTTCATGACCTTAAACACTGTGTATAAATTTAAAGTCAATCGGATATTAACTTTAGCCTCTAGAGCGTCCACAAGATTTTTTGAAGTGATCAAGGGCCATAACTCTGGCAGTAATTATCGGAAATCGCTGAAAATCAATAGGCTTCTTCGCTTCATGACCTTAAACACTGTGTATAAATTTAAAGTCAATCGGATATTAACTTTAGCCTCTAGAGCGTCCACAAGATTTTTTGAAGTGATCAAGGGCCATAACTCTGGCAGTAATTATCGGAAATCGCTGAAAATCAATAGGCTTGTTCGTTTCATGGCCTTAAACACTGTATATAAATTTAAAGTCAATTGGATATTAACTTTAGCCTCTAGAGCGTCCACAAGCAATTGTGACCGACGGACGGACGGGGGCGACGACAATATACGACCACATTTCAATGTGGCCGTATATAAACGGGATTCGTTACTGAGGTTATAATATTATTAAAATATTAGTTATAACTATTGAAATTTGTTGTACAAAATGCTTTGACAGCAGAAAGGTCACCGGAAACCAACTGTACATACACCTATTTTCAAGGATAATATTTTCTCATGATGGGGTGTTTACATCGAAACTAGCGCAAGATCTTTTGCTAGATATGTTTTCTTAAGCCAAAGTCGTTTGATATTGGTAATGTAACTTTATATGCCCATAAATGATGTCACGTGGATACAATATATTAAGCAAGACATAACCGAAAACTTACAAGGATTTAACGTACATTGTAGGCCTACGTTTAAAAAATAAGATCAGATCTCCAAACAATAGGGCCTATTTAAAATGGCGTGGGCCTAATTAATTTCGGGTGAGGGCCTTTGTTGATTCCCGTTGGGCCTAAACCCCACCCCCTAACATTCATTGTCTATGCGTTTTTAATCGTATCAAACAAGTCTTAAAAATTTTTTTTTACAAAATCTTTTTGCCTGAGGCTGCAGCCTCATCAGCCTCGCTGATAATCCGCTACTGTTTAAGTGTAGATATAAATGATTTCAGTGTGGCATATTATGTTCTCATTCCCGTTAAGTCACAGTCAATAAAAGGAGGTATAATTTTTTTTAATAATTACAGTTTGAGAAAACAGCTGATCATCTATTTGAAGCATCTTATTATGGTCAAACAGACACAATCAATGGTAAGAAACTTATTAGAATTTCCAACTGACAAATCTGAATCATTCTGTTTATATAATTGGAAATTTGTGTATATTACGATGATTACAATTTTTTGTTTATAAAAACAAATTATATATTCAGTCCAATTTGTAGATTAGTTTAGCTGAAATCAAAGGATAATGGAAATGAATAGGCATGTTTCAAGAGTGAATTCTGATAGTTGAATGATGTAGAGATGTAGCTATAATACAACTAGTTGGAAGAATTATAAAATATAAGCCCTGGTGTAATCCTTAATTGCCGGTGTTCATAAAACGATTGTGAGTGTATCAAATTGTGTTACATTACAGGTGTCAGTGAGTGTATATTATGTGCTATATTACAGGTGTAAGTAAGTGTATTACAATGTTATTTTACAGGTGTTATATTACAGGTGTGAGTGAGTATATTACAATGTTATTTTACAGGTGTTATATTGCAGGTGTAAGTGAGTGTATTTCAACGTTATTTTACAGGTGTTATATTACAGGTGTGAGTGAGTATATTACAATGTTATTTTACAGGTGTAAGTGAGTGTATTACATTGTTATTTTACAGGTGTTGTATTACAGATGTAAGCGAGTGTATTGTAATGGGTTATATTACAGGTGTTAGTGTATTATTATGTTATATATTACAGGTGTCAGTGAGTGTATTATAATGGGTATCCCTATGAGTATTGGAACTGGATTATTTAAACTACTTTATCAATATCCTTTTTAAATAAAACTTTCTTATAGCTTCTTATTCACTGATGTTGCTAAATAATTTTTCATTTAACCTTATTATCATGGACTCTACTTTTTTCTGCCAGTGGTTGGCAAAATTATGTCTTTGCTTGATTAGGAAAGCACGCTAGGAGGTGAAAAAGAACACTATTCTCTATTGAAATAATGGGAAAGAATTATGGTCAGTCAGTGAAACATTAAGTTGTTTAAGTAATTTAGTTTATAAGGGGTAATAATTTAACAAACCACGAATCACGGCAAATAATTTTTACAACCTATTCAATGGTGTTTATACCATTTTCTCAATCTGTTTCACAGAGAATTACGAGTCTCGTATAATATCTCTGTCATAGATGACTGCCTTAACACATGCTGTCACAGCACGCGGTGTGAATCATTGGCTGAATGGCACGTGCATTGTTTACATAAGACATAACTGCTTCGGAGAGAATGCTGCATTTTAGTCAATTTAATACCCATTTACACTAAATCGGAAATAATTTTTACCTACAAATACGTCAAATGCCTTTATTTATTTTTCCAATAATATATACAAAAAATGTTTTAGAACTTAATTTGTCGCAGGAAAAAAGTTAATATTTCTAGCTCATTAAGCCGCATCAATGTCATCCTTATCAGTGATTGTCGCGGCCAAGCAAATATTCACTGCGGATCAGTGTGCCATTTTCTTTCTAAGAAATTTATGTCATCTTCCTTCATTGTTTTTCTTAACGACCATCACAGCTAATAAACCTTCAACTTTATCTCGACGTCCATTAGTCTTCAATAATCAAGAATTCCATATACCTGAAGCAGGATTAAGTTAGCAAAGAAGGATATACCAAAAATGCAATAAATAAATTGTCTCTAAGAACATACATGTAGTGCTCTAACAGTATTTGAACTCAATCATGGAGAAAACTGATTCTTTGTGTTTATTTTATACTGTTTCGTGAAGATGGGATTTAAAGGATGAAAGTGTGTATGCAATGAAAGATATATGTCACAGGTACAGTGTGTAGACTTCTAAGAAGTGTGATATATTAAAGAAGTAAAGGTTTCTGAACATTCATGTGCCCATATTTCTACTTAAAATACATAAGTAACATCATCATTTGATGTTGGTGTACCATTAATTCAAATGGTGATGATTTTATTGATATGGAGGCGCTGGATAGTGTCTGTATGTAAGTTATTTTAATGTCCTACTCAATATATTACTTAATGTCTCAATCTCCATTAAACCACACATACTTGAGGAGAACATTTACCACTGTTCATAACACATGACACAATTATATAGTACAATGACGATATATGTTGATATGTTATATATATATATATGTTCATGTTTCCATATCTTGTTTACTAGTAGAAATGGTTATAGACTATTGTCCCCAAATAAGTGCAGGTTATTTCCCTTTAATAAGCATGATGAAATCAATATATTTTTTTTTTATTTAATGTTGATCACGAGATTCACACTCCGAACCGTTTGGTATATTTCCAGTTAATGGTATTGCAAATAACTTTCGACTAGATTTAGACTTAAACTGCCTTACCATTTCTGAGCTCAATTTCTGTTTCCTGTATATTCGATTTATTAAAACATAATGGAACATTAATGTTTAAATCTGTTTGAACCAAACATAGGAGTATATAAAGATTTAAAACAAAATATGAAAGTGGTTGATTTTATAATATTTGTTTTCATTATGAATGTTTAATTTTGATTATTTATGCATACATGTATTTTTTTGTTAAAAAGCAGAGAAAATGCAGATTTTTTTTATGTTATTTATATATTAAAGAAATAATTATTATTGTAAAGGATCAAAGGTTATGGCAAGGTCTTTAAACTTATTGGGTAGACAGTTTACCAGTGGGTTGTTTACTGTTAAGACTTCCTTCCACAGAGTCATTGGAGAAGATATTTTACAAATGGGTCATAGTCTTAAACCGTCCTGTTACAGGGTCAATGGAAGATAGACCACAATTAATTTCCCTCATTGACTTTAATGTTAATTTTGTTCTCTTTTCCCAGCTACAACTTTTAGCCATAATTACTTTGGGCTGAAAACTTCTGGCCAGGTCTCTGTTCCAAAGCTTGTATTAGATTGACCATTGAAATTTTGAGAAACAGTAGGCTACTTCAATTTTTTGTAACTATCTGCTGCAACCAACCTCTTAATTCTGTTATCCATCAACCTCTAAACCATGGATATTCAACAAAATATGTTAATTCAAGCCTTCTTCTTTATTTCAAGCCAAAAAAGTCAATAAAAGTCCACAGGGGAGAGAAAGATTATTAAAAGAAACAACATTCACAGGTACCGATAAACACCATTGGAGAAGAAAAGTTATCTCCCTTTAGTGTTCAAGTAGTTCTTTTTACTAAACCATTGACAAAGACAGTTGAATTAGATATATTTCTCTATTTTATTCCATTACATGATACAAGCATGTGACAACCTTTCAATCCATCAATTCAACAAATATTTACGAGGTAGATAAATTTTAACTCTTGACATCTGACAAGTGGAATATTATTAAAAAAGGAATCAATAGGGAGACAGTGCAACATTTTGATTTAACCTTTATCTCTCACCACACTTTGGTTTAAAGCTATTTGGAGATTCAAAATTTTAGAACTACATTGTTACTGTTAATTTTTCATCAGATACATAAAGTCTTGGTAATCTCTGACCTAAACTTGTAGCAATTTCATATGGAATAGTCTTCAACTCATCTGCAAGTTTTGTTAATGAATGTCCCGAAGTATAGTCATTCTTCATCACATAATAGACTTTCTGTGAGTCAAGGTTATCCAGTTTAACAGTGATTGCATCCATTGAAACACGTCCAATTATAGGAAATCTTTTACCATCAATAGATGTCAGATATCCACCACCAGATGAAAGAAGTCTTCTGTAACCATCAGCATAACCAATACTAAATGTTCCTATTATTTCTTCTTCCTTACATCTGAAAAATTTCACATATGCTATACCTTTATTCAAATATGTTCTAGGATGGGTTTGGGCCTTGGGGACAGTTTAAGGATCAAAACCAGTGTGACATCGCCATACATTTTTCAGTTTATAATTATTGTCTTGCTGAGACATTGAGTCCTTTCCTTTCTAGTCATTTCTAGATGGTTCTAAAGAGGGAGGTCCTGTGTATACCATAGACAACAAGTTAAATATCGTCAGAGCAAAATTTACCTCATAGAACAATACTTCATTAGCATAGCTGGTGCAGAAAACTTGAGAAAAGACAATATTCATCAATCCAATAACACATTCAAACCCTTTGTTTTTATTACCAACATATATAATACTTGGGATATGAAATGGAGTTTATAATTAACATCTTACTTTTCTGCACCAACTGGGATAATGAAGACAGGCATACAGTGTGCTTTAAGGGAAATTTTGCCTGGACAGCAGCACTGCTGCCTACTCTTAATATCAAAATCCAATTGTCAAGGGTTCTTTCACATTCACAGCAACGTGTATTTGTCCCATCCAAATAACTAGGCATTGTCTTTGCCAGGCCCTCTGTCCTGAACCATTGAAAAGGAGAAACCATGCTGGAAATTCCTTTATCGGCCAACAAGGGGATTGATCACAGACCTCCAGGTTAGCAAGCCAGCGCCTTACACACAATGCTATCACGGCTCCCATATTACTTATGAGATAACTTTTTGACCATGTTAGTGTGAAGCATTGTTCAAGCTAAGTTTATTTGTATATAAATGAACTATAAACTACTTACTGGTATGTTTTATCATAACCAACATAAGATCCTGGTGGTAATAATTTAACTAATGTAGGTTTGGCTAACCATGATAATGCTGGTTTTAAATTCAGTGATTTGATTTTTTCTACAGTAGCTTTACTTGGATCTGGAACAAAACAAAAAGTGTCAAAACATTAAAGACACCTTATTTTTAAGTAATACATGCACATAAAACAAAACATGATCTTGCAAGAAGGGGTAGTATATATCTTCCTTTTTTCAGTGTACAAGTATTGCGTTGCTGAGACATTAACCCCATTCCATTCTAGTCATACTTAAAAGCAAGTTGACAACAAGTTAAAAAAAATTCCCTTACAGAAATCAAAATATCTTTAATTGTAACATGGGCGGGAAATCTTCTTTGTTCTTTTCGTTGAATAAACAGATTGTTTTCCCTCTAGTAGATTCGGTGGAGCTTAACAGTGCAATAACTAGACATGTTCAATGTTATTGCACCCTTTTGCTGGTTTACACTAGTTTTAGTAGAAATCATATAGAGAAATGTGGTGGGTTTTCTGTGCGATAACAACAAGCATGTTGAGCAGATGTCAATGTTACAAGTCATTTATAGCATGCTTCATTCGTTAACAGGTTTAACATCTCGGCCTATGGCCTGGATATTTAAACCTGTTAACTCATGAAAGCCATGCTATAAATATAACTTGTTAACTGGCAATAATTTGGAATCAGTTTCAACTGCCACTGACCTTCAACTATAGCAGTAACATTTGTTTTTCATACTAATATGTCCAGTTGTTTATCATACAGATCCACACTACTTGAGCAGTATACTAATATGACCTGTTGTTATATATCTTTATCATATAGATCTATATATATCTTTATCATATAGATCTACACAACTAGATATATGACCGGTTGTTATATATCTTTATCATATAGATCTACACAACTAGATAATATGACCTGTTGTTATATATCTTTATCATATAGATCTACACAACTAGATAATATGATCTCTTGTTTATATATCTTTATCATATAGATTTAATCTACACTACTAGATATATGACCTGTTGTTATATATCTTTATCATATAGATCTACACTACTAGATATATGACCTTTTGTTATATATCTTTATCATATAGATCTATACAACTAGAGCAGTATATAAGAAATAGAGATTTTAACCTGGTGGAAGACCGTACATACAGATTCCTGGCCTAACAAAATCTAAATCTGTACCATAACCCTGTATTATAGCAGCTGAATTAGCTGCATGTAGTTTAATTCCTCTACATCTGTAACACAAGTTCATCATAATAAATATATTTATCTGTTTGGTTTCATGCTTTCCTAAATTTTCAACATAAAAATATAATTGCTTGACATAGTGATATTTTATAATGTAAATACCCAGTAATTGGAAGCTTCTTGATAGACTCACTAAAAACCTTCAATATGCATGCTCCAACTTGAAGACTAAAGGGAGATATTCCATCTTAAATTTCTCGTACATTGAGGTTCGCATATTGATAGGTAAAGCTATTTATATAAAAAAAATATTTAAATAAAATAAAGACTTGAACTCCAGAGGAGTACTGATATGTTTCGGTACGTCAGGTCACGCCTTCTCCCGTCAACAATCATGTTACAGCATGAATTGTTGCCATTTGGAGTAGGTTCAAAACAAAACAAAATTTTCAAAAATCAAAATCAAAATGGCGGTTGAATATCGATTTGAAGGTTTTTTGTAAAATCCAATATGCACAGCTATGGCTGCAAACTACCCCCCCCCCCCCCCCCCCAAAAAAATAAATAAAAATTTAATATTTATGAAAACAATACGTAATTAATATTTGTATTATTGTATAGGAGTTGTTCAGATTTTAAAAAAGGCAGTCAATTCACAAAGATGAAATCAAACAAACATTTGAAGACTAAAGGGGAATAATACATTTTGTTATTTTGGACTCCGACTAGTAATCCTTTCCCCCATTGACTTAAATCTTAAAATCCATACCATTCTTTGGCTTAACCAATTTTTTTCTACATCCAGTCAAAGGAATCTACAGATTGCATTGTCATTTTTGCATAGGAATTTTTTAAAATCATATGTTTACTTTCTAATCATTCCACCCCCAAATTCTGGCAAAAAATATTAAATGCAACACTCTTCTTCTATTGTAGACCAAACAGTAAAGAAAACTTGCAGTACTAAGGGGGAGGGGCAGGGGAGAGAATTAATATAAATAGATGAGTATAAAGCTTAGGAATTACCGTAAGTCTTTAGTAGCTGTAAGAAATGTATCTAATTGTTGTTGAGTAAATTTAGGATCATCCCAGGCCTGGCTAAAATGTGTCATAACACTATGAACAGGTATCTTCAAATCATCACATTTCTGTAACAGGAATATATATCATGTGACCATTTTATTCACTGAATTCTCGTGTTTTAGTGTAGACTATTCAATTAATTATGGGGGAGCCACAGTGGCTCAGTGAGTATGGTGTTGGATCACTAACAAGGAGAAAGGTTCCTCAGGTGTTTTTAAGTCTGGTGCTGTATGGAGGGTCTGACGAGTCAAATGCTATTAGTCAATCGGATGGGATGAATTGGCATTTACTTAAAAAATAATCCACAGTTGGAATTGGATGAAGAGCAGGAGGAAATGCTACATTTGCCCCTGTCTTCATTAATCTGGTTAGTAAAAAAAAGTAGAATGTTAAAAAAACCTGTTCATTTCATTTTATTTAATGGGGTGTAATGTCCTGTTCTGCAACGACTGGACTAATAAAGACAGGCATACAGTATGCTATTAGGAAAATTTTTGCCCTACTCTTGGCCTACTCTTATATCGAATTCCAACTGTCAGTGGTTCATTTGCATGCATAACAATGTGTACACAGGACCTTGATTTTTTCCCATCCGGACGACTATACATTGTCCTTTGTGAGGCCCCTCGTCCTGCATCACTGACAGGGGGGAACCACGCTGGAAAATCCTGATGAACTTTCTCGGTCAACAAACGGATTGAGCAAGGGACTTCCACTGACCTCACTGAGCCACCCATATGTTAAGAGAACATAAAGTATTCATTGTATTGTTCACTTAAGCGGTGGACACACTAACCGAATGATTCGTTCGAATTGTTTGTCAAATTCTTCGGTGTCGAAATTCGCCTAGTGTGTCCACTGTCATTCGGCCGAATGATTCGCCTGAATCAAACATGTTTGATATATTCAGACCTCCACTGATAGCCGGGGAGGGATTATGTTTTACCCAAAACAAATTGCAAGAGAAACCAATGCAGTGTGGTTCAATTATATGTATGTCAGACAACGTCATACTCAAATTCGGCTGAAATAACATAATTAACAGAAGTCAATATGACAGTCTTCAGAAAGTTTTGGAGAGCGATATCTCGTAACCAGTGTGTTTAATGGTAGGAGAATAACCACTCTTTTTTTTTTAAATTCTTCAAACAAAAAGTAACTATGGAGGCGAAATGTGCTTAAAAAACAAATTTGAAGAAAAAAACAAGAAATGTATTTTTCACATGGACGGTTGGCTGCCAAATTTGGTAGTAGACAGGCTTTTTCCCTGTATAAACAGCACGAATCTTAGAAGATGTGACTTTTACTGTGTCTTTTATATGGTTTTCGATGTCACTGAATTTAAAGATAATTTCAAAAATCCATCTTGATACCAATTCAAAATGGCAGCCAAAACGGAATCCAAAAAGATGGATTTTAAGTTAATCGTCATGTATTCCTGTTGAATATGATTTTAGAGAATCCATGATGGTAGAAATTCTAAATTGCTGCCAAAATGAAATCCAAAATAGCAGAATTTTAATTAATCGTAATAAAATAGTATTGTCTTCATATCACCAGCGAAAATATCGTAAGATATCACCTTTATTGTGTCTTTTATATGGTTTTCGATGTCTCTGAATTTAAAGATAAATTTCGAAAATCCAACATGGCAGCAATTCAAAATGGGCTCAAAAATGGCGGATTTTATGTCAGAGAGAGAGAGAGATGGGGTTTAACAATCACTCGACACAAACTAGGTCATTTCGGGACTAACAAATGGTTCAATTTTATTTCAATAATTCGTTTGCGCGTAGGGGTCTTTAGCAGTGGGAGGAAACTGGAGGACCCGGAGAAAACCCACGAGGTTGGACAGGCAACCCTACTCCTTGTCACGTACAACCGGGGAATCGAAACACCGCCAGTTGACTCAATGACAGACCGTATGATACAGCCCGCGCGTGCTAACCATTTGGCCATCCAACCCCCCCGATTTTAAGTCAACTGTCATTTTTTCCAGATGGATGTGACTTGTAGCATGTCATTTATGTAGTTGTCGATGTCACTGGGTTCAATTCTGATCTCAAAAATCAATTTCGAGAATCCATAAGTTCAGCAGAAATCCAAAATGGCTGAATTGTATTTAATCGTCATTTGTTTCCGTTTGATATGGCTTGTAATATATCTTATGTAAGGGTTTTAAGGTTGTTGAGTTCAGTTTCTACCAAAAAACCTAGCCAAGATGGTGTAAATTAAAAACGACAATCCAAATTTGCGATTTTTGTTGTTGTGAATATTGCTTGTAAAATAACGTTTTCAGGGTTACTTAATTCAATTTGGGGTTCAAAAATTAATTTCCGATAAGATTTTTCACACATCAAATTTGTGCATAAGCTAAAAACATCAGGTCATGCCATAGAAAACATGATTTTGCAGTCAGTTTTTCAAAAGAAATTTTGCACTGGGGAGAAGAGAACCACAACGGACCCCCATAGAGTGCGATCCCCTTGCGAAGCCAGGTTCAGGAGCCTTTCGACCCCCAGTCCGTCTCTGGTATCATCTAGATTCTAGACCGATTGTAAACACAGGTTCATTTCTGTCTTTTATTCATTTCACGATAAGTTCTTGCAATTGCCACGGTAATACTGTTTTTCGCCAGCAATGGACACTAGACAACACATATATGATGCCAGGGACAGGCTGATCTTTGCTCTGTGAGGGGAACGACAGGGTTCTCTCCAACCAGACTCGAAATTTCTTTTGAAAAAAACTGACTGTAAATGGTGCTTTCTAGAGTATATCCTTGTGTTTTTAGCTTATGCATACATCTTAACAATTCATCAAAAACTACGTAAAATTCATGACTACGCAAGAACATTAACTAGTTTAGGGACCCTTGAAATTACCATACTCCTTTATTCAGTCCATCCTTGAAATGGGAGTTGAAAGATAGGATGTTAAAACGTGTTTCAAATTCCCACATTATTTGATTACTTTAATTATCAGTAAAAATACACCATATACAATAATTATTTGCATATTATTTCATAGTTATGTGTCTGTTTTATCCAATGAATAATTTATTGTTAGATCATGTAGAAAGATAGAAAGATATTGTGTTAAAACGTGTTGCAAATTTCCATATTCCATAGTAGACCTATTAGAAAAATTAACTGGACAATTTATTGTTAATTTGCGTAGAATGATATAGTGTTAAACATGTTACAAATTAACAACTGGTATATTAGTATTTTACAGCTACAATAAAGTTTATGTTTAATCAAAAATTCCAATAAACAATTCATTTTTAGGTTGAAAGGAGTGACTACATGTCATAGACCATATTTAAATGTTGTTTAAATGTGTATTTTCATAAACTTTAATGCAGATAGATTATTATACGGAAGGTCCACCTGAATAGAAAATAATATTTTGTGTGAAACGGGTGTCCTGGAAACAAATGGGTTCACTAACATCAAATATCTGGTTCTATAAATTGTATTTGTCCCTTGTAAGCTAATTCCTATGCCGAACAAACCTTTCCGTTTCATCAAAAATTCCAATAAATAACTTATTTTTAGTTTGAGGGGAAAGTTCTACAACAAGTGGTAGGCCATATTTAAATGTTGTTTAAATGTTGTGGGGATTATACCATGCGCTGATTTCCGGTATATAGGGATCCTGATCCCACACTATGGGGAAGTGGGGTTCTCTCCAAACGCGGCCGAAATCTTTTTGAAAAACAGTATGTAAATGGTACTTTCTATGGTATAACATGGTGTTTCTAGCTTATGCACATATTTTACGTGTGGCATTCTTAACAATTCATCAAAAACAACGTAAATTTATGACTAACAGGGGACCCTAAACTATGCAAGAACATTAACCAGTCCATCCCTGGAAATGATACCACAAGTGCTGTAAACATGGATCGCATAACCATTTCTGACCTAATATTAGGGCTCAAATTCTTAACAACTAGATGTATCGAAACAACTTTTAACGCACGTGAAGACAGTATCAATTTTATTTTGATAGCCGTTTTAAATTTATACCATCTGGGCTATTAAAAGTTACAAGTCATATAAAACGGAAAAAATGATAATTAATCAAAAATCTGCCATTTTGGACTTCATTCTAGTGGCCATTTTGGATTTCAAAATTAATTTTTTCAGATCAGAATTCAAAGAAATGACATTCAAAATGTGAAAGACATGTTACAAGTCGTATCCAAACGGGAACCAGCTGCTGCCAGGCAGGATACGCCCACATTTTACAGGAGATGGATAGAGAACAAGCTAAAAATAAACGCGATTTTTTGTACAATCAAGGGCAATAATTCAGAAAGTTATGGCCTGAAATGTGCAAATATCAAAAGGGACTGAGATCTTTGGGATATAAAGATATGTTTTAAGTTTCATCAAAATCAGATAAAAATTGTGACCTCTAGAGGGTCCACAACCTTGGTATTACACACTTCTACACAATTTGCGTACAAAGAGCGGCCATTTTGTCGGGCAGTTTATTTCGATTTCCCGAAATTCGAATTCAACCTTCATTATGGTGGAATGGTTGAGTATTTAAACGGTTTTTAAAATTGGAAAAAAATTGTGACCTAAAAACGCGATTTTTCGTACAATCAGAGGCCATAATTCAGGAAGTTACGATTCGATATGCGCGAATATTGAAAGAAACTGAGATCTTTGGATATAAACTTGCATTTCAAGTTTCATCAAAATCGGATCAAAATTATGGCCTTTGATATGCCAGATGTTTACACTACATGTATTTGCATACGAAGGGCGGCCATTTTGTCCAGCAGTTTTGGTCCGATTTTTACGACATTCGAACTCAACCATCCTTAGGGTGTAACAGTGATATATTCAAACATTTTTTTTAAAACGGATAAAAATTGTGACCTCTATAGTGTCCACAAGCTAAAAACACGATTTTTCGTACAATCAGGGGCCATAATTCAGGAAGTTATGGTCCGATATGTACGAAAATCAACAGGAATTAAGATATTTGGGTTATAAACATGCATTTCAAATTTCATCAAAATCAGATGAACATTGTGACCTCCTGAGGGTCCACAACCCCGATACACAATATTTTGACACTATTTGCGAACGAGGGGCAGCCATTTTGCCTGTCAGTTTCAGTCCTTAGGGTGTAACGGTGATATATTCAAACGTTTTTTTAAATCGGTTAAAAATTGTGACCTCTATAGGGTCCACAAGCTAAAAACGAGATTTTTCGTACAGTCAGGGGCCATAATTCAGGAAGTTATGGTTCGATATGCGTGAATATCGAAAGGAACCGAGATCTGTGGGTTATAAACATACATTTCAAGTTTAAACCAAATCGGATAAAAATTGTGACCTCTACAGTGCTCACAAGTCAAAAACGTGATTTTTCATACAATCAGGGGCCATAATCCATGAAGTTACAGTCCGATACATGCCAATATCGAAACCTACTGAGATCTTAAGGTGATAAACCTATATTTCAAGTTTCATTGAAATCATATAAAAATTGTGACCTGTAGAGTGTTCACAAACTATTGTGGACGGACGGACAGGGGCGACAACAATATAGGTCCACATGAAAATGTGAGCGTATAAAAATAACAATTAATTTAAAATCTGCCATTTTGAATTTCTACCAAGTTGGATTTTCAAAATTCATGTTTAAATCCAGAGACATCAAAACCCATATAAAAGACATAGTAAAAGTCATTTCTTACGACGATGCCATTTTATTGCCAAATTTGGCAGTCATTTTGAAAAAATGGCCGGTACAATGTGAAAATTTAATATTTTAAATTTGGTTTGGTCAAATGTGTTATTTTCGCCTCTATTACCACTTTGTATTGTATTGTGGCTCTCGTATGTTAAGAGAACATTAAGTATTTAATTGTATTGTTCACTTAATCTGTGTGCTCAATTTCTAACCAGTATTGAATATTAAACATCTTAAAATCTGTATCTTTAATCTGACATTCCACACTTTCAGACCCCAAGCTAAATCACTGCCAAACAACAATTATATACAACAGATTATAATAATTATAATTATTGTTATGCGGATGCCCCTACCTGAATTAAACTGTTTAATTCTGTTTGTTGACATCCATTTCTACCCATACCAGTATCAAATTTTATCACTACCGAACCAGTACTCTGATCAACAGAAAAGGTGCATCATATTAAGTCTATTTTATACCGGCATGGCTAATTAAACATACTGTGACCGAGGTCTGTCAGATATTACACGAGTCTGGAATGGTTCTTCAAATCAATACCAATTGAAACTTATAATAATAATTATCTACATACACTTACAGGATAACTGACTAGTACCTAATGCTACTAAGTCAGATAGACCTAAAAGACTAATGTATCAAGTACAATGACATATTTATATGAAAATACTTCTTATCACATGGCGCGATCAAGTGTTGACATAAACAAGCAATCAAGTATTGATGTAATAATTTACAATATAAGGAATAAAACAATGGTAAACAAGCCAACAGTGAGGCTGATGTCCCCGCCGAAATCCCGAAATAAATAGATGACACATACATGTAGTAATTAATTGCACATTTATCTTTTTCAAAAGTATCAAGCATCAAACTGATTATCAACTATATTGCATGGTGACTTATTGTATGCTAGCTTGAACTCAGCCCCTTCTTCTGACCTTGACCTTGTAGATTGATCGCATCAATTATTAATTTCCGTTCTAGCCCAGACTTTTTCCATAAGCAAATGAGATTCATCGTAGATCCCACATAAGGTATCTGTTCTAATATGCTAAGTTCTATTATGCAAAATGCAGAATGGAGAAGTGTAATGTGCAAATAACTATTATACTGTATTTTGTATTATTGAAAAGTGTAGTCTGTATTTTAACACAATTGTAAATTGTAAAACTAAAATATGTATTTTGAACTGCTGAAATAATATTGGCAACGTTATCCTAACACATGGTTCAATTTTCTTTCAATAATTTGCTTGCGCGTAGGGGTCTTTAGCAGTGGGAGGAAACCGGAGGACCCGGAGAAAACCCACGAGGTTGGACAGGCAACTCTACTCCTTGTCACGTACAACCGGGGATTCAAAACCTCGCCAGTTTTGTATATGAGATTTGACTTCACGTCAGTCTGTCTAAATCAAGTATTTTCATTGGCTGTTTGAGTAACCGCCTTGTCTGCTTCGATTGATAATAGGTCGTTCCAGTCTGCAACGCCAGACCCTCCAACAAGGAACTTTCTTGGCCTCCTGGTTAGTAAGCCAGCTCCATATTCACTGAGCCACATTTGACAGAATATAATTTATCTTAAATATTCTGTATTTACTTATGACTTTCAGTCTTTTAACTTAATTTAACTTTTCCAAAAGATTGAACAATAAGTTTATGTTTGGAAATGACAAGTTATTTAATCCTGAGGGATCATATCTTTGAACAACAATGAGCAGGTAAATAAAATGGCCCTGTAAAATTGCAAAAATAATATTACCTTGTTTTGGTTTAGGTACCAATCTGACCATGCTTGTAGAAACTCTGCCGTACATATTGTAGGAGTTAGATTAAACTTACAAGTTGTGTATATATCTTCTTTAATACAGCTTCCTATAATATATATATATACAGTATATAAAACATAAACTACAACATTGTATAATAAACCCTCAAAATATAACAATACACAATTACCTACATATATATATATATATATATAGCCAGGAGCCGCAGTGGCTCAATGATTAAGATGATGGTTCGCTAACCTGGACGTCCTGGTTTCAATCCTGGTGGTGTGGGCCGAGAAAGTTAATCATGATTTTCCAGCATGTTTTTCCCTTGTTCAGATGGCAAGGACACAGAGGTACTGTGTACTCATTGGCATGCACATAACAGAACCCTTGACAGTTGGAATTCAACATAAGAGTAGACCATCACCCACTGTCTGGACAAAATTTGTCTCATAGCACCTGTTGGCCTTGTCTCCATTAGCCCAATTGGGGCCGAAAAGTAGGATGGTAGACTCCGTTTCATTTCATGTGTCCCAAAAATATAAGTACATAGAAATAAAATATAATAAATATACTATTCAAAAAAAGTAGGGGATATTTGATTTTTAAGTGTTATTAAAGTCACCTAATGAAACTGACGAAGAAACAAATGACAAAATGAAATGAAGTTCACATTCATCGATTTATTCCAAATGATCGTTAGACTAAGTAAGGCACAGACTGACCATTATAAGGGTAAAATGATACCCGGGGTCAAACAGCAAAGTTACCACAGCATCACAACCAAGTCAGTAACAGGTAAATCCTCCTCTGTTTGCCAAACAAGCATTGATCCGACGTGGCATACTCCTAATGAGACGTCTAAGGTCATTTTGGTCCAGATTGTCCCATTCCTGTTGCAACGCAGCAGCAAGTTCTTGGACATTGGCAGGACGTTGTTGACGTTGACGTAACCTCTGTCCAAGCATGTCCCAGACATGCTCGATTGGGGAGATGTCGGGACTCAGTGCTGGCCAAGGTAATGTGGTGATGTTCTGTTGTTGGAGGTAACCTGTAACGATCCTGGCCCTGTGACATCTTGCGTTGTCATCCTGGAAGATGAAACGGCGGCCATGACGTCGTGCGAACGGCACAACATGGACTGCCAAGATGTTGTCCCGGTAGTACTGGCTTGTAACACGCCCTGCAACAACATGTAAAGCTGTTCTTCCAGCAACAGTGATGCCTCCCCACACCATAACAGAACCACCCCCAAATCGATCATGTCTGATGACGTTAACGTCTTGGAAGCGCTCGTTTCGACGACGCCACACCCTCCTACGTCTGTCCAAAAAATCAACAGTGAACCTTGACTCATCTGAAAACATCACATTGCTCCAGCGTCGATTATCCCAGTGTTGACGATCCCTACACCAACGACGTCTTGCCTGAATGTGATGATCTCTCAAACAAGGGATCACGCGAGGACGTCGGGCGCGAAGGTGACCCCTATGCAGTCGATTCCGAATCGGCTGGCCACTCACTCTCACACCAGTGTCTGTTTGAAGACGAGCGCTGATCTGATTTGCTGTGATGACACGTTTTCTCAAGGCCAAGGTACGGATAAATCGATCCTGGGCTTGAGTTGTCGCCCTTGGTCGACCTGAGCGTGGTCTGTCCTGTACAGATTGTGTATCACGGTATCTGGACCATAGCCTGCTTATGACTTATGACAGACTGAGAAACATTCATCGTCCGCGCCACAACCGCCTGTGTTGTGCCGATCTGTAGCATGCCAAGGGCACGTAACCTTTCATTTTGGGTAAGCCGACGCATATCAAAATTTGTTTTCTGGTCACTAAAACAATTAAACTGATGTTTCCACCCTGGAATTCAATGCCACAATGACTGTAACATTCAAAGTCAGAGTCGTGCAAATCTTGGGTTGGACCCCCATGATGATCCCAAGCATCACCTGCATTCCATGCGGTAGCTATTGGTGCGTTTGGGCGTCACATGTAACTGGAAATGTTTCTTCTGTTAGGTTCTATAGTGACTTTTTTCGTAGTCATTTGCATATTTTAGTATTATGCCCCCAAAATCAAATATCCCCTACTTTTTTTGAATAGTATATATACCCAATATATATAAATATATACCCAATATATATAAATATATACCCAAAAATAATATTACATACAACTGCAATTTAATTCCATATAATAGGAAGAAATAATGGATAAATAATTAATAAATTACTGATGTCCTGTGGAGTAATGTTTAATTACATAATGATAATGACATTTGGATTTATTGTTGGAGCTTGAAATATCACTGTATTGTCATCATCTTATACTCAAAGCCATTAAAAATGCAATGCCTAATTTGTGAAATATTTCTGGTAAACGTTTACTTGGACTTTCCTATCTTATGGGCATGGCACATAGGTGAAACTAGTGATGGGTCTCTTTTTGTGGAGTTCTGGGTTTGAACCCAATATCAGTTCTCGGTAATGAACTTTGTTCCTGCAAACGCAACACTTGTCTTTTTTCACGATTTTAAGCAGTCCCATGTCACACGTTTTGACATTTAAATACAGATTAAAATTTCAACATTCATCGCAGACAACGCTTCCACGCCACTGGAAGAGTTGCCGATCAACCCCGACCTGGAGTGCCACCTGTAACAACCGCTGCTTAAGATCGCAACATCCGACTAGAGCATCTGCGCAACAGGTTCCAGTCAGCTACAGATACTGCCAGGGGAACTGTTGGAACATGGTAACGTCAGATCATCCCATAAACAGTCCAAAGGCGTCTGGCTGCTCTTGGGTTTCGCTGCCGTCAACCTTACCAACCCGATCGAACACCTTTGGGATGAACTTGGACGACGGGTTCAAACTCAAGCCGTGCCACCACGAAATGTTGCCGAGTTGACACAGGCACTCCAAAATCATTGACAAACAACCCCACAGCATGTAGTGAGACATCTGTGCAAGTCCATGCCATGGTGACTTCAGGCATGTGTAAGAGCTAAGGGTGGACATACCCGATATTGACTTCAGCTGACCCCTGCATTTCATGGTTCTCTGAAGTTTCGGTTTTGTGCATTTGTAGTGAATTCTTTTATGAAATTATCCACAGATGCTTGTTATCTCCATTTTGTCAATTGTTATGTACATTTGTTAAAAGTTTTTGCAGTAAATAAACTTTAAATTTGGCATTGCATTTTTAATGGCTTTGAGTGTAGTTTTGTAGCACAGTTATTCCTATCTGGTCTGTTAGAAAGGTAGTAATAGAATTTTATAAAATAAATAGAAATGAATTAGTTATAATTAATGAAAAATTATAATACAATTTCAAAACCTCTGATTTTTTAATTGGAGTCCGATTAAAATATTTTGAAATTTGACAAAGCATCGCCTATTTCAGTTTTACAAGAATAGTCCGTCTTCATTATAGAAAATATTTTACATCGATTTTACTATTAGAATATTCTTAGTCATTATTCAAATTCAATTCAATTTAATTCAAATGATCATTTTTTGTGCATTTTCAGATTTCTAGGAATTGCATATCTTTCAAATCTTTATATTTTCCTTCTTAGTTTTGTACAGGATCTACGGTGGCTAAGTGAGTAAGACGCTGGCCCACTAGCCTGGAGGTTGCGGGTTCGCTGCTAGTGTTGGGCGAGTAAGTTCATCGGGATTTTCCGGCATGGTTTCCCCTTGTCAATAGTGCAGGACTGAGGACCTGACAAGTCGCTTGGATGGGATGAAAAATCGAAGTCCCGCGCATACATTGGCGTGCATGTAAAAGATGGCAATTGAAATTTGACATAAGAGTAGGCCATAGTGCTGCTGTCCGGGCAAAATTTCCCTCAAAGCACACTTAAAGGTGTATGCCCGTCTTCATTAGCCCAGTCTGAGCAGAACAGTAGGACACTAAACCCCATTTCATTTAGTTTTGAACATGGATTGATTTCATTACATTAATATTTTAAATAATTCCAATTTGAGACAAAAACTTGATAAAATTCTATTAGTTTTAATTGACAATACTCACCTAGAATCTGTATATATCCTGTCACACCATATTGCCTCAACTGAGCCCCCTCCCAAGCTGTGGCAACGGCAAAGTGTGATATTCCATTAGCTTCCAGGTATCGTGCTATTTCCAAACTTCCATGGCCATAAGCATTGGCTTTAATTACAGCTATCACATCTAAATATTAACAAGCCAACAGTGAGGCTGATGTCCCCCGCTGAAATCCCAAAATAAATAGATGACATATTAATTAATCGCACATTTATTTTTTTCAAAAGTATCGAGCAATCAAACTATACACTAAGTTTCATCATTCTCTATCTGATAGAATCACGATTATCTTGTCCCAAAGCATGCAGTCATCACTCTCACTTAATTAGAATTAAAGTTATCATGTCCCAAAGCATCAACCAATCAGATTGCTTATCTCTGTTTACCATAAGCAAACAATGTTCATCATCGAACTCTATCAAGGCATTCACCTAATGAACGGCTACACCAAGTTTGAACATTCTACCTCAATTAGAAGGAGCGTTATTGAGTTCCAAAGTCTCGACCAATCAAATTGCGTATCGCTCTGCTTACCCTGAGCAGAAAATGCTCATTATCAAACTTAGTCAAGGTATTACTGTAATGAAACTATACACCAAGTTTCATCAATCTCACTTAATTAGAACTAAAGTTATCGTGTCCCAAAGCATCAACCAATCAAATTGCTTATCTCTGCTTACCCTAAGCGGAAAATGCTCATCTTCGAACTCCATCAAGGCATTGACCTAATCAACACATACACCAAGTTTGAACATTCTAGCCCAATTAGGAAGAGAGTTATCGTGTCCCAAAGCATCAACCAATCAAATTGCTTATCTCTGCTTACCCTAAGCGGAAAATGCTCATCTTCGAACTCCATCAAGGCATTGACCTAATAAACACATACACCAAGTTTGAACATTCTAGCTCAATTAGGAAGAGAGTTATTGTGTCCCAAAAAGTGTGACGGACAGACAGACGGACGGACAGACAGACGGACAGACAGACGGACAGACAGACAGACAGACGGACGAACCCATTTTAATAGTCCCCTGCTTTCTTCGAAAGGCGGGGGACAAAAATCACATATTATTGTTATGATGTAAACCCACAATCAACATCTGTGTAAACAAGATGTCATCCAACTTAATACCAAAATAAATAGAGGACACTGTGACACTTACATACGTTTAACTTTTCATGAAACATGAAGCAAGGGGCAAGGGCATGTAAGGTTTATGGTTAAGGTAACAACATTTATTAATATTTTCACAAGTCTTGAGAAAATATTTTCAATTTGGCATTAAACTAACTGACTAAAATAATGCAATTTTTAGAGCACTTAAAGATGCATCATGTAAGAGCTAAATCTGTCTGATGCAGATCTTTCGTTTGGCCTCAAATGTTATATAAATCATTAATTAGACCTTTATTGACATCCCAAGCCTATAATCAATACCGGTACTCTAGACCATCACATAGTTTTGATTTTAAACGATATAAACATGATTGCCAATTAATAATTTAATTAAACCAGCTGTTGCCAGCCAAGATACGCCCACATTTTACACGTGATAAAGGGAAAGAGAACAAGCTAAACACAAAAGCGATTTTTCGTACAATCAGGGGCCATAATCCAGGAAGTTATGGTATGAAATGTGCAAATATTGAAAGGGACTGAGATCTTTGGGATATAAATATATATTTTAAGTTTCATTAAAAATCGGATAAAAATTGTGACCTATAGAGGGTCCACAACCTTCGTATTACATACTTTTACACAATTTGCGTACAAAGAGCTCCCATTTTGTTAGGCAGTTTCGTTTCGATTTTCCAGCAATTCAAATCCAACCTCCAGTATGGTGGAATGGTGGGTTTTTAAAATCGAATAACAAGCGGTTGCCATGCAAGATACGCCCACATTTTGAAAGAGATGGACAGAGAACAAGCTCAAAAAAAGAAGTGATTTTTTCGTACAATCAAGGGCCATAATTCAGGAAGTTACAATCCGATATGCATGAATATTGAAAGGAACCAACATCTTAGGGCTATAAACATGTATTTCAAGTTACATCAAAATCGGATCAAAATTGTGTCCACTCTCTAGAGGGTCCAAAACCTTGATATACAATATATTTACAATATTTGCGTACGAGGGGCAGCCATTTTGTCCGGCAGTTTTGGTCCGATTTGTACGAAAATCGGACTCAACCATCATAAGAGTTTGACAGAGATATATTTTCAAACGTTTTTTAAAATCGGATAAAAATTGTGACATCTAAAGGGATCACATCCTAAAAACGCGAGGGCCATAATTCAGGAAGTTATGATCCAAAATGTGCGTATATCGAAAGGAACCAAGATCTTTGGGTTATAAATATGTATTTCAAGTTTCATCAAAATCGGATCAAAACTGTGACCTCTATACGGTCCACAAGCATATTTTTACGCTATTTGAGAACGAACGGCGGCCATTTTGTCTGTCAATTTTGGGCCAATTTTCACGAAATTCGAACTCAGTCGTCCTTAGGGTGTAACGGTGACATAATAATACGTTTTTTGAAATCGGATAAAAATTATGACCTTTAGGGTCCACAAGCTAAAAACGCGATTCTTCGTACAATCAGGGACCATAATTCAGGAAGTTAAGGTCCTATATGCGCGAATATCGAAAGGAACCGAGAACTTTGGGTTATAAAATTACATTTCAAGTTTCAACAAAATCGGATAAAAATTGTGATCTCTATAGGGTCCACAACCTTGATATACCATATTTTTACGCTATTTGAGAACGAACGGCGGCCATTTTGTCTGTTCATTTTGGTCCGATTTTCATGAAATTCGACCTCAGCTGTTTTTAGGGTGTAACGGTGAAATAATAATACGTTTTTTTTAAATCGGGTAAAAATTATGACCTCTATTGGTTCCACAAGCTAAAAACGTGATTTTTCGTACAATCAGGGACAATAATTCAGGAAGTTACGGTCCGATATGCGCGAATATCGAAATGAACCGAGATCTTTGGTTTATAAACTTACATTTCAAGTTTCAACAAAATCGGATAAAAATTGTGACCTCTATAGGGTCCACAACCTTGATATACCATATTTTTACGCTATTTGAGAACGAACGGCAGCCATTTTGTCTGTCAATTTTGGGCCGATTTTCACGAAATCCAAACTCAGTCGTCCTTAGGGTGTATTGGTGATATAATAATACGTTTTTTTAAATCGGATAAAAATTATGACCTCTATAGGGTCCACAAGCTAAAAACGCGATTTTTCGTACAATCAGGGGCCATAATTCAGGAAGTTACAGTCCGATATGCGCGAATATCGACAGGAACCGAGATTTTTGGGTTATAAACTTACATTTCAAGTTTCAACAAAATCGGATAAAAATTGTGACCTCTATAGGGTCCACAAGCTAAAAACGTGATTTTTCGTACAAACAGGGACCATAATCCATGAAGTTTCGATCCGATACATGCCAATATCGAAAGCAGCCGAGATCTTTTGGGGATAAACCTATATTTCAAGTTTCGTAAAAATCGGACAAGAATTGTGACCTGTAGAGAGTCCACAAACAAATTGTGGATGGACGGACATCCGGACGGACTGGGGCAACGACAATATATGTCCACATGAAAATGTGGGCGTATAAAAAATTGTGACCTCTTGAGAATCCACAAACTAAAAAACAATCAGGGGCCGTAATCCAGGAAGTTACGGTCTGATCTGTGCAAATAGCGAAAGTAACCAAGATCTTTGGGACATAATTTAAGTTTCATCAAAATCTGATAACAATTGTGACATACTTTTGGTCCGATTTTCACGAATTGGAACTCAACCGTCATTAGGATGTAAAGGTGATAAATTTTAACGTTTCTTAAAATTGGATAAAATTGTGACCTCATAGAGGTTCCACAAGCTAAAAACAGGATTTTTCGTACAATCAGGAGCCATAATCCAGGAAGTTACAGTCTAATATGCACAAATATCAAAAGGAACGTTGATCTTTGGATATAAACATACATTTCTTGTTTCATCAAAATTAGATAACAATTTTGACTTCTAGAGTGTCCACAACTTTGGTATTACATACTTTTACACTGTTTGCGCCCTTTTTGTTTGGTAGTTTCGGTCAGATTTTTACGAAATTGATGTTTTAAAGGTGATATATTAAACGGTTTTTAAAATTGAATACAAATTGTGACTTCTAGTGGGTCCTCAAGCTAAAAATGTGATTTTTCGAACAATCAGGGCCCATAATCAAGGAGGGGATCAAGTGGCTAAGTGGGCAAGACGCTGGCTCGCTAGCCTGGAGGTCGGGCGTTCGATCCCTGCATTGGCCAAGAAAGTTCAGTCAGATTTTCCGGCATGGTTTCCCCTTGTCTGTGATACAGGATGGAGGCCTGACAAGGAAAGTTGTCTAGTCGTTCGAATGGTACGAAAAACCAAGGTCTCGTGTACACAATGGCGTGCACGTAAAAGATCCCTTGGCAGTTGGAATTCAATATAAGAGTAGGCCGTAGCGCCGCTGCCAAGGCAAAATTTCTTTCATAGCACACTATATGACGTATGCCCGTCTTCATTAGCCCAGGTTAGGAGCAGAACAGTAGGACGTTAAACTCCATTTCATTTCATTTCATTTCCATAATCAAGGAAGTTACGTTCGGATATGCGCGATTATCGAAAGAAACCAAGGTCTATGTGATATAAACATAAATTTAAAGTTTCATCAAAATCGGATAAAAATTGTTGCCTGTAGAGGATCCACATCCTTGATATACCATATTTTACACTATTTGCGTATAAGAGGCATCCATTTTGTCTGGCAGTTTCAGTCCAATTTTGACGAAATTCAAACTTAACCATCATTAGGGTGTAACGGTGATATATTCAAATGCTTTTTTAAATTGGATAAAAATTTCGACATATAGAGGCACCTCAAGCTAAACACACGATTTTTCGTACAATCAAGGGCCACAATTCAGGAAGTTATGATCCGATATGCGCGAGTATCAAAAGGAACCAAGATCTTTGGGTTGTAAACATGCATTTCAAGTTTCATCAAAATCAAACGAAAATTGTGACCTCTAGAGTGTCCACAAGCAAAAAACATGATTTTTCGTACAATCAGGGGTCATAATCCACGAAGTTATGGTCTGAAATGCACAAATATCAAAAGGGTCCGAGATCTTGGGAGATAGATCTATATTTCAAGTTTCGTCGAAATCGGATAAAAATTGTGACCTGTATACTGTCCACAAACAAATTGTGGACGGACAGACAGGGGCAACATCATGAAAATGTTGGCGTATAAAAATGGATAATTGAGATTTTGTTTATTATCATAACAACTGTAGCAATGGCAATCAAGACTACATTGTACTTCAAACGGCTATAACTCTGCTCAGAATGAAGTGATTTGACTGAAATTTCAACATATCCCCTTATTCTTTAACTATTTCCATTGAAGTGGAACTTGCACCTTAAATTCCATGTTGAATAAACCAAGTTTAGGGAGTACTGTGGGTGGCTCCTCCCCACATCCACCACTGGCGCAACTTAAGAATTGGGTTTCTGGGGTCTCCTAATCGAGCCATACACCACTAGCACCCCAAATCTTCAGTATCTTCCATGTTGAACAAAACCCACCTTAGCTCCCGAACCAATGTTTTTGCCGTATTGATGGAGTTAACATTATTTTAAAAACATGGAACCCCAATGTTTTAAGAATCAATCACAAATTGTGGGGAAATAGAGAACTTATTCATATCAAAAATATAATTACAAAAACAACAAAAATTGTACCGTGTACCTATTAATTATATTTTGGGTACTGGTGACCTGTAGGCATTTCAGGAACACGCTTTGGGAAACCCTGGTCTATAATAAGGTATCAAATCATGCAAGCAGTGGTGTAGTGGGCCAGTCACAGAAATTACGCGGCAAGTTTTTATTAGTTGCCACAGAAAACATCAAAACTTGAAAACGACCAAAAAGAAGCTTTACTGACTAGATAGTTGATTTGGGGTAGTAGCATCAATTGCTTTATAATTATATATACCGTAGCCAAAATTAGCTAATCACACATTTCCAATATTTGCTTATAATTATAAATCTTCCATGTATGGACAAATTGCAAAACAAATTGCAGTTGACCTATATGAAACAACGAAGAACTGCGCAACTACTATTGGCTTATAACGTAACCACTATAGCCCCGTGTCAAAAACTGCGATTCCGTTTTTGGCACCAGCAACAATAAAATAGTGCCGACTGATGTTCAATCAATGTACGGGCTTTGCGTGCATAACTTGCTGTCACTGCTCAATCTGCTTTGACTCTATCATCCAATCACAGGGGACGGAGAATGTTTCTGCTGTCTTGTCTGGCTTCTCAGTTCAAGAATTAACAGTAACACTAAACTTAGAATACTTCTTACTGTAGGTTAAGCCATGCCATGGTTATTGGTAGTCAAGGATTGATAAGCCAGAAAAGCTAAAAATAACCCTACCTGTTGTTTTACTACAAAACTCTCTCAACGTATTTATATTGTGTAATATGGTATCCAGATCTATTCTCAAATAAGACGAACGACCGGCTAACTCAAATTCTTTCTGTATTCCATCCATTTAGGCCCACAGAAACACTAAATAAATGGCATTAAAATATCGATCGTAATTTCAGTGGCCGAAGGCCAAGACAACCAGAACGAGACTAACACGCTTCTATGGAAACCAGCCGAAATGGATTAGATCTTTCATCGACATTCATTTTGAGACCAACATAATCTTAGTTATATCTATGGCGGATGCCTCGAATTGCCCCCGAACACAACCGATGACCGCCGAACACCACCGAAGTATCTTATCAGTTAGTAAATATTAGGTTCCTAACTAAACCGTTTGTACAAATATGAGCCATATAGGCCATGTCATTGACACCCATCTCAAAAACATCACAGAAATACAGAGTTACTTTGCGCGTTATTATTTTAAATGTGGGGCATTTCCAGTATAGCCTATATAGCTAATTCTACAGGAAATTATGGTCCAAAATATTATAGTTGTCGATGTCTGTGTACGGCTATAGAGTATTTTATTTATAATTTGATTGCATCGAAATGAAATGAAATATGGTTTAACGTCCTACTGTTCTGCTCATAACGGCTGGGCTAATGAAGACGGACATACGCCATATGCAGTGTGCTATGAGGGAAATTTTGCCCGGGCAGCGGCGCTACGGCCTATACTCTTATATCGAATTCCAACTGCCAAGGGATCTTTTACGTGCACGCCAATGTGTACACGGGACCTCGGTTTTCCGTCCCATCCGAACGACTAGACAGCTGTCCTTGTCAGGCCCTCCGTCCTGCATCACTGACAAGGAAAACCACGCCGGAAAATCTGGATGAACTTTCTCGGCCAATGCAGGGATCGAACACCCGACCTCCAGGCCAGCGAGCCAGCGTCTTACCCACTTAGCCACGTGATCCCCTTATTGCATCGAAAGGATCGACAGCATGCAATATATAAAAGTAAAACACAACAGTAGGCTACAAAAATTATGCACGGGCAAAGTTAATTAATCAAGGTATTCTATTAAACCGACATTTAGTAGGCAGATAGCCTATACATATATATGAAAACTTGATATGGGCCCCCTAAAGCAGGCTCCGGGTCAAGCAGAAGGGCCGTTAGCGTGGTTTCTACATGGCACTATGTATACTGACAAAAGGATCAGCGTCTAGTCGTTCGACGGCGGGTACGAAAATCTGAGGTCCCGTGCACACACCGTGGCAGTTCTAATTGGAAAAACAGTGTGTAGCCTACCCGTCTTCAGACAGTATAGTTGGTGCAAAAATGTAGGGCATTCAGCCGATTTCATTTCATTTTACAAAGCGCGAATCTTATGGTGCATGGCGGTCCGCTGAATTCTGTGTATGGATATTCTTTAGCGGTCGCTATAATGGATGTTTGCCGATATGAGCCTTTCCCCCATTGCCTATGATATATACCCAGTATAAACTGGAGGGATACAGTAAAATTTACTTCTCTCGGGATTGATCGGTGACTAACTATAAGAGTTTAGCGTTCCTTCTGAGCTCTTGCTCAAATCAAGAATGGCCAGCGTTCACCAAGGGAAGGTCATTTTCTTTGTCAATGGGTGATTTATTCATTGCAGGGCTAAGTACTGTCGAATTAGCATCCTTGCCAGAAGAAATGTATTGTTTGAATAAACTTTCCATTGGCTTTTCGTCATGTAAATTTCACTTTTGCATACACTTTTGCCGCGCCGAAATTCCCGAAAATATCAGATGCTTAATTTAGTACAATCAAGATCTTTTTTCGTGAGATTTGGGCAACGTAATCACTAGTATAAGGATTTGCATTATGTGAACTGTATGTTAACAGAAATGACATTTGAATTATTATTTTTACAGCAAATTGTAAATTAACTGTTAAATAGTGACCACATCGTTTGTTCCCTCTTTGGCCACCTGTAAGATTACATCAAACGTAAAGTAGAAATACAACCATATATCATTTTACATTATGTGAGCTGTATATTAACAGAAATGCCATTTGAAATAGTATTTTTACAACAAATTGTAAATTTACTGTCAAATAGTGTTCATATCGGTTATTCCCCTTCGACCACATATCCAATTTTGTGCAAAATATTTACTGTTATGTCAGTCAGATTAGTCTATTTTAGAGAAATAAGTGATTCAAAATCGGAATGCACCGTATGAAGACAGTGATATGCCATACATTGGGTGGTGTGGGACATTTTGCTTCGTGTCATGCCTCCCACTCTTTCTATTGTAAGAAGCAGAACCCCATGTTATTTAATTTCTTTCCATTATCGAATGAGGTTTTGCATTCTCGGCTGAAAGGTAAGCAAAACTTTATGTGTTCGCCAGGATCGAACTAGGGCTACTTAGCCGAGTGGGGACAAACACATTCCATTTAAAGATGTCATCTTTTCAAAGCATACTACGCTTCAAATTGTATTTTTACCGTAAAATGACTGGCAGAAAGTTACCAGTAAAATCACTGTATTTTAACACTGGTTTGTAAATGTACCCCTAAATGGTAGATTTAGATTTACAAACACCACGTAAATTTACAGTGAGTGTAAAATAACTTTGAGGTAATTTTATCAACCACAGTGTAAATTTACAGTGAGTGTAAGATAACTTTGAGGTTAATTTACAACCACAGTGTAAATTTAGAGTGAATGTAAATTTACCTCACTTTCTATTTACAAGCACAATGTAAATTTACATCGAAGTTATTTACGCTCACTGTAAATTTACATGCTGTTTGAAATCTTGAAAATCCAAGATGACCACCATGGAGGAAGTGGTGCCTATCAAAAATGAAAAGCTACAGTTGTAAGTAGCATTTGTGGAACATTTGGAGCTTTTGTCCGGAACGTTTAGATCCATCTCAAATCTGCTCCTGATCTGTCGAAAAAAGGATCCGGAGATTGGCCGTAACCGCGCTGTATGACCGTCTGAGACTTGCGGCGATACAAGCATCTTAAAACAAAGCAAAGGGCGTCATTTTGTTACAATAAACATCAAAACTGCTTGACAATTTAATTTTTTTAAGATTTATACTGAAATGTTGACAGGTGAATCCAATCATGTTTAAGATTATGTGTAAGAGAGAGAGACGGTGGGGGAGGGGGGGGTAACGTCCATTCGATACAAACTAGGTCATTTCGGGACTAACACATGGTTCAGTTTTATTTCAATAATTCGCTTTCGCGCAGGGGTCTTTAGTGGTGGGAGGACCCGGAAAAACCCCACGAGGTTGTATAAGCGACCCTACTACTTCCCACGTACAACCGGGGAATCGAGAGAGAGAGAGAGAAATGGGGTTTAACGTCCACTCGACACAAACTAGGTCATTTCGGGACTAACATATGGTTTTAATTTTATTTCAATAATTTGCTTGTGCGTAGGGGTCTTTACCAGTGGTAGGAAACCGGAGAAAACCCACGAGGTTGGACAGCGGGGAATCGAAACCACGCCAGTTGACTCAATGACAGACCTTATGATACAGCGCGCACGTGTAATATAAAATAACTTTTAGTAATAAAGATTATTCCAAGCTTAATTTATGGTAATTTGAAATTTACGTTAGTTTTCAATTAGTCAGGCATCCGGGGGCAGATTCCCCATTGACTTCAATGTTAATTCTGGTCCCTTTGCCCGGCTCCAACTTTTCCCTAAATGTTCGTTGGACTGAACGCTTTTCACTACAGACAAAGCAACAAATGGTCATCCCTTTGCTCTGCATTTTGCCTGAGGTTGACCAATAAAACTTGAAGTATGGCATACTTCAAACAGCTACTCCTGTACATATAATCGTAATTAAGAGAGAGAGAGAGAGAGGGGGGGGGGGGAGAGAGAGAGAATTGCTATGAATTAGACAAAATTTAAAGATGATCTTTCTCTATTCCAAAAAATGTAGTTATTTCCCCTTTTACGCGAAGCCTGTGAAAGTCTTTTTAATTTGCAGATAGATTTTCCTTCATTAGCTGTGGTAATACTATTGAGCGTCTGGCAGTAAATAACTTACCAAGGAGTGTACCGCCGGATTGGGTTAGGGCTGCACTGGGCATGAAGTTGCTTGATAGGGGCATGGTGACACACCGTGCTTAAATAGACTGAAAACGTCTGTTCCACATCCGTATAAAATATGGGCAATAAAAGAGCCTTTGTTGATCTAAGATTCCAGTTATATAATGTATGGGGAGATATGCGTATCTATGTTTAGGATAGCTCTATAACGCTTTTCTCGAATGTTTTACGTAATTTATAAATGCTCGCTATGAAATTTATATGTACAGACTTATTGGGGGTTTATACCATTGGGATCTAACTCCTGCAAAGAAAGACGCCTATAACTAATATGAAGCTTTTTGAATTCTTCGGTTTCTGTTACTACCGTATCACTTGCAATAATTTATCTGTGGTTTATTGGGTATATATACCGCACTATAATTGCCGTTATTTTGTAAAAGCCTTTAATTGGACTGTAACCACTGACTCGCATATTAGCTTATTAGCAATTACTTCTCACCATGCTAAACTTATAGCTAGAGCGGAATTCACAACATAATTCTAAATGTGAACCTAGGAACGTGTATC